CTGCATGATACCTTACATTGCATATACATTGTTTTTCAATAGTTTTGAGGCCTATAACGTGTTTATTTTGTAGATATGGTGGTCCCTGGTTCCCATCACTGTACAGAAATCCACGTCTGTAAGTTTCTCTACAATGATACCATTTAACATAAAATAATTTTGAAGGACTTCATTTACATCTCAGCAAGTGAGCAATGCGGGTATTTTGAAAAACTAGTGGATTTCCTCCCTAATAATTAACCTAATCTTGGTAGCAGATGCCTCATGTTCCATAAGAATATCTGGTTACTAAGATATTTTACTGTGGAACTGGCATCTGGTTGGTTGTGATGGCTTTCATCACTCGTCTGTCGGTAGAAAGCCCTTCATAAACTTTATGATCACCCAGACAGTCCATTCCTAATAAGCCCATCACAAGCAATGTTAGCTAGCTGAGCTAGTAGAGGTCACAACAAAACAAAGACAAAAAAAAAAAACAAAACTGAATGGCTATGGATAATAAATAATGAGGCCAAGGTACAGGGGATTACACAAATCCAGTATGTTTACATGATTAACCCCAAGTTCTTTTTCTGTTTCAGAGATGCCCACCACAGTATCTGAAGACTGGCTGCCAGATATGACCCAAGAGTCTGCTCTCCCAGACTGCAATGCAGAACATTCCGGAGTCTGCAACTACAGCATACCTTGGGCCCCTACTTACCCTCCTGACAACAGCAACAATGACAGCATACCCACCGGCTCCTCCAACCAATCACAGACCCCCATGCTGTTTCCATCCCTGCCCATGTTTGTGCCACTATATTCTGATTGGAACAGTGCTATGGCAGCCTGGGGTTTGGCATGGGAAGCTCACATTTATGGCCTGGGCACTGTGTTCTGTCTGATCTCTTTGGCCTCCGCCCTAAACCTTCTCTGTCTGCCCCTGTGCTGCCCATCGGGTTGTGGTTACTTTGCTCTGGTCAGCCTCTTCCTGTTGGCTGCTGGCTGCACTAGAGCTTTTGCCCTGCTCTACGATGCTTATGGACACCAGGACCGCATGGCCTCCACAGAGGCATCCCTGCTATTATACGAGGCCCCATTCCCTTGCATGACTGCAGCCTTCGGCCTGGTTTTCCTGCTCCTGTCCATGCGCTCCCGCATGCAGCTCTCCTACTCCACCTTCCAGAGGCCTTGCTTCCTGGCCTGTCTGGTTCTGCTGCACTTCACCGCTGCCTTCGGTCCAGTCACGCTACTCCGGGTTGACCAGCGGGGGGCACCACTCTGCCTCTTCCTCTCTCTGATCTCTAGAGGTGCCTTTGTGGCTCTAGCAACTTTCTTATCTGTTGCCTACTTTGTGTTCTACTGCTACGTACGTGCCGACTCCAAGCATATTTACCATCTGAACAACACATCACCAACCCCCTGCCGAACGCTACAACCGTTGTCCCTTCGCAGAGAGCCAGGACTGGGACCGAGCTGCAGTTGCAATGTTCCTTTCAGCCATCTTTTCTCTGGCCTGTGCTGGCCTCCAGCTCTATGCCATGCTGCATGCTCTGGGTGTTGCTGGAGGGGCTGATGTCTTCCAGCCCTGGCCCTGGTGGGCCTTCCAGCTAAGTTGCAGAGTATGTGAGGCTGTAGTCTGTCTCACACTGGCCTTAGTGGTGTCCCAGCCCGTTTACTGCTCTGAACACCTTCCGCAACCTGGCAGCTGCTGGATGGAACTCTTAGCTGCCAAGTCGCCCATCATTCCTGGGAGTTACCAGTGGACCCTGACGCAGCAGGAGAAGCTGGCTATTTGCGACCCAATCGGACATGGTGAGATAGAATGTCTGCCCCTCTACACACTTGTGGATGACCGCATGGGCAGCCTGAACGGACTGGACCTCTTATACCACAGTAACCGGGCTCTCGCGTATCGGGACTTGGACCTGGATCTGCCTGAAACTGTGCCAAATACCGGAGCTCCGTCAGTGGGCTCCTCATACACCAGTGACTCCACAGCAGACCTGCGTCCTCCATCGCCCATCAACCTGCGCCGCAGCATTGACGAAGCTCTGTTCAGCGAAGCACTTTTCCCAATGAGTCTTTTCAGCCCTATGAGGCCTTTCACTTCCAGTGACCACTCCCTGGAGGGCAGGGACACAGGTTCTACTAGTGGCCCAACCCTTAGAGACACCCACCCATCTGATCCAGGCTTGTACCGGACCTCCTCCTGCATGGAGATGCAGGCCCAAGCACCTCTCCCTGTTCAAGCCCAGCAGGATGCACCATCCCTGGCCTTCCCTCCCTCTCCATCTCCATCCCTGACATCGTCCTGCTGTTCTTCTGCAGAGCGCTGGAGAGGGAGTTCCAGCTCTTGCTCCCTCTACAGGCCATCTCTGGCAGGCTCTTCTCTGAAGCTTTGCTCCAGCCCAGAAGGACACAACCCTGCCCTTTGTACGATCAGTGATGGCTCTGGATGCCCTGCCACAACTGGCCCCCAGGGGGCCAGCCAGCAAAGACACTGCAGGACTCAGAACTCCCAGGAACGTTTAGAGCAGCAACCTGAGCTTGATCAGTCCGTGCAAGAGGAGTTTATCAGTGTGTGCAGACAGATAGATGCTCTCAGCGTCTGCAGTGAGACCATTGATCTGTAAAGTAAACCTTCATATAGAGCACATTTTGGATATAGAACCGTACTGATGGCAATGGACTGAATGAGTAACAGTGAAAGTATATGAGCGAGAGGTTTGATGATTGTCACTAAGGTGCTATAGCTGATCTTGCCTGCTCCAGATTGTGGCCTAAAAACAAATGTTGTCCAGTGAGATGGAAACGTGCCAAATGTTTGATGGATAAGAATTTATCAATAAGTGGATAAGCTACCTTTATGGGACTATTCCATTCTGAATAACTAAGTGCCATCAGCTGCCAAAAGCTATGAAGAGGTTTTTGTACAATATTTCTCAAGATTATTGGTCATGAACATTTGTAAAGCTTTTATGGATTTTCTGAAGTAATTTGAAAGTTTGTACAGATTTGTACAATATTGACTCCTCGGCGATATGGATATACTGTGAGTGAAATAAGACTACTGACTACCATAATATAATACATGTATTTTGAACTGTAATAGCACTACAGATGTTAAATATGAAATATATATTAACACGTCAACAGCCAATATCCTTAGAGAAGGCCTGTTTTGCTTTAAGCCTTCATTTGTACAGCTTTCTCATCTTGTTATTCTGAAGCAAATACCTGTGACAAAATTTGCCATGGTTTGAGGATTGCAGGTCTAGATGGAGAAAACTAGCCCCATACCTTCAGGGGATTCTATACTGCCAATGCAGCACCCTCTGCTGGTAGCTTTAGGTAAAAACTCATTTTTTTAAAGCTTTTCTGTAGCATCAAGTTGACTAAGCACTTGAGTGACTGCCATCCATCTTTCTCATTTAAAACGTTTGATATGAATTTCAGTAATTTATTTATCTGTGGAGTCTCAAGCCGTTGCTTCCATGCATTTTAAAATAAAGGCAAATAACTTTTTGTACATTTGGAAGTGCATAGTTTGATTCATCCTGCATCCTGATACAACTGGGGCCTCATTTGTAAAATGTGTACATACTGTCTTAATTTTATGTGAAAATTCATGTACAAGTTGTGATTTATAAAATGTTCATTTGACATGAAAATGTGCATGGATAAATGCAAGTTTCCAACCTGACATACGAATGGCAGTGTCCATGTGCTACAGGCAATGCAGCGTGCAGTTCATGAAAACTGCTTTTATTAATCAGTCATACACAAATGCTGAGAACTTATTTCAAGAACAATTTAAAAATGTAATTCAAGTACATCTCATAAATGAGGCCCCTGCCAAAAATTGATAAATTCATTTTTCACTTACATTCAAACAAACAGCAGAAAAAAAACAAATATTCTGTTTATTATTGATTATTTCAATTTATTTCTTCAACAATGGCATAAGCAACCTCAGTATGGGCATACTGCAGTAAACAAAGCTGACTTCAGGTGTAAGGGCTCCAACAGTGGTCAAAGAGACTAAACAAGCAACATCCAGTTAACGAAAGGATGCAGATTTCATCTTTGCACATCTTAGTGTAAATTGTCCTCACAACAAGGTTGTGTTCATGTCAGATAGTGATTTACAGTATAGTATGCATTGAGCTAGACATATTCAAGAATAGTCTACAAAGACCAAAAGCCAGATAAACCGAAGTACACAGTAAATTACACATTACACTTGTCAAACATTATCTGAATTTTATATTTCAATCTGATAAGAAACGTGAAGCTATACAGACAGAGCGAGCGGATCTAACAAATGGAGCTTTTTGGGTCAAGTTCATCACTTTCCCTGCTTCAAGGCATATCACTGGTTTTACCAACAGGCAAAGCTGTGGGTGATGATCGGACACAGTCGGAACATAAACTTTGGGGCCCTGATTGCCCAACAGTGCTGGAAACATTTATTTTGGCTTTAGTAACAGATTAGATATCATGGTGGGAAGGGAACAAAACAATGCAAATGCACTTGGCAGTACGTAAATTGTAAAAAGAGAAGTATAAATATAGCCACGTTATGGCTTAAAAAAACAGCATGCATATCAAAACCCTTCATGCAAGCTTAGCACCCAGAGTCACACTTGCATTCAGTACAAAACTGATCATTCATTGTATTAGAATTCCAGTCACAAATGACCAGTACTTAGTAACTGACCTCACTGCTCCATACCAGTTCCACCTTTTGGTCCAAATTAATGTCAAGCGAATCACTAACGAACTTCAACAGCAATAAGTCATAATCATGGTTAAAGTTAGGTGATTTGGGTGACAGGTGACAGGATTAGGTGACACTAAACGACATCCATCATTTATATTATCCTGGCTTGGGAATACTGACTGGTAGACAAATAGATTACAGTAGTTTTTCAGCAGAATAGAGTAACACACTAATGTGTCACACTAATAATAATGGGCATAATTACGGGCACTCATTCACAAAAAATGGAATCTAGAAGTAACATACCTCTTGTTCATCAATTTATAAAAAAATGTAACAAATCAAACTACACAAAAGATTGGCTCGATAGTTCTAGCGCACTGTTTTTTTTTTTTGGAGGCTCTCGCACAGGGAGTATGGTTGAGGATGCTGGCTTTGAAGCTTTAGTCGCAGACTTGCTGACAGAAGCAGGGTCCGCAGTGTGGTACAGCACAATATCACAGCTGAGGCAGGAGAGTCTTTACTCTCTAGTACACTCTCTACACTCCTCCTTCACTTCCACTGCGTACACACACGCAGATTGAGGACATGCAGCGTCAGATCTTGTTTTTGGTAAACCTTGATACTCCATGAGTGCAAAGTGTTTTTTGTTTGTTAGGTTTTTTTGTGCGTTTTTGTATTTTTTTTTAATTTCGTTAGAACCAGTTGTGTTAACGCTACCTCTCTCTCCTTCTTCCTCCTCATCTCTCTCTATCTGAAGGACAGTGACAGTGAAGGACGGCAAGGCAGAGTTGGGCTGGCTAATAGGGTGTTAGTTTGGGGATGTCAGTTGGGGCAATTGTTTGGTCACTGCCGGGGTCACAACATCCGGCCTCCGCTTGTCCACCACTGTACGTCTACTTCAGTAAAGCCGTTTCTCATAACTACAAAAACACAAAAAATAATCAGTCAGACGTAATAAACAGTCACATTACAGACAGACTGACCACCAGAAATGATCATTAGAAAGACTGTTTACTAAGAACACTGAAGTTGGAAGCAATGTCAAATCTAGGGACACACCAAAAGTTTGGCCACCAAAAATTTTTGTCTGAAAATGGTTGAAAGTGGCAGTTTTAAAAAAAGCCCAAAAAAAATTTTTTTTTTTTTTTTTTGGCCAAAAAGATTAACTAGGTTTACAATGAAGTATCAAAATAAATACTTCATCATAAAATAAATACTAAATCATAATTTGGATGGTACTGAAAATAAGAAATAGTGGTAATAAAAACAATGTTCCCATAAACCAAAGTGTCTTTTAGCAAAGACACTGAAATTCAGCTTTAGATGCCTTTATGAAACCACAAAGGATTAAATTATCACTATACTGTCTACTGTTTTAGCAAACTACAATTAAATTGGTCCTTTAGTTCTCGGTCAGTTTTCTTTTCCCGACATGATTATTGTCTGAATTCTGTTCTTTCTTTGGTGCATCACTAGTCAAATGTAATGCAATTGTAATCAAATGTAACATTACATAAATTAAACATTTCCTTTCGCTTGTCTTAGAATATGAGGGCACTTCCCTAGTTAAAACCTGAAGTGCAAAGCTGATTCAGTTTAGCAAATCTGAATGTTAGAAATGCTGATTATATTAGTTTATAGTCTGTAACGTATGCTATGGTGTCCCGTTTACTCACGAGTGAAGACCGTGCACTCCTCCCTCCACCTGTGCAGACATGGTCCTCTTCTCAAACTTCAACTCTCCAGAGTACATCATAGAGCTAAGAGAACACACACACACACACACACACACACGAATTAGAACATCAACACAAAAGGCTCAAACTGCACTACTCCTGGGCGATAATTACTTTTGTATTATCAATTATACGCCCACCCCCTCACCTGCACCTGTCGTTATGATAGGTGCTACCACAAACACGTGCATTTACGAGCTTCTACAGGTGCAGAATAAACATGAACTGCGTGCTAACAGCGCTCACTGCTGGAGGAACTTCAGACTGAATGCAGCTATGTTTACATGGCTTCTATATTAAAGGGAACCCTGACTTAAGGCTTGTACACTGTTTTAAAGACATACATGTCCAATACTATTAAAATATGACATAAGCCAAATGAAAAGGTTTTGTTTATTATAATAAAACCTGACAAAGGGACAAAATTCTTCTACTACTAGGCCACCATTAACACGCAGTGATGCCATATGGTTGCAGTGCAGTCCGTCCTACAGAAAAATAAGATCAAAAATGTTTAACGTCATGCTCTAGCTAAAGCTGGAAAGGCTGAATGATATATTACAGTTAAATGAGATATTTAGCTTGCTGTTCCTCGCTCAGTGGACAAGAGAGAGCAACTATTTGATGTGGCAACAATGGCAGCCTAAATTTTCTACAAGTAAAGGGATTTTGTCTATTTTTAATAATAAATAAAAGCATTTTGCTTGGTTTATACAACGTATTTGAATGGTATTGGACATGTACACAACATGCCTGTGTGTCTTAACAGTCAGGGATCCCTTAAAAAAAAAAAAACAAGACTTTCCATTTTGTCATTACAGCAGCATCTTCATAACTCAACTAACCACAGGGACACTTAAGCTGTAAAGAAAACAGGACAGGATTTTGAATGGAGATTTTCTACTGAAATGAAAATAGGTTTATTTTGTTGTCCTGCAATTCACACAGCAAGTTCACCAAACTGGTGGCTTGCATGTTAAATGAAGTAATAGTGAAATATGGAATAAATAATAAAAAAAAAAGAAAAAATCCAATCACTATACAGATGAACAAAGCACTGTTAGCAAAACTCACCGAAGCATGGACAGGCTCTTGGCTCCAATGTCCTGACAGCCATGTTGGATTCCAGCGATGAGATAGGGCACAAATTTATGGATGGAGCCTTTGTCCTGCACTGAGCCCGATACTCCCTGAGCAACCTTCACTTTATCCCCTTCACTGTCAACCAGGTGCCAGAAAAAACAACAAATCATTAATAACATGCTAGGCTTTCCCTGAAAAATAACTGTGCATTCTCTTTCACATAGCCAAAGAACGATATTTTCCCTGCTCTAAAATGTCTAAATTATTCCACATCCACATCTGTGCACATACACTCACCTGAAGTAGCGTTTCTGGCTGCTGGTGCTTTTCTCCATGGCGTCAAGAGAGCCCATCCCTCTGTACTTCTTCAGCCTCACTCCATCAGAGAAGAAGTACTCACCAGGAGCCTCTGTGGTTGCTGCCAGCAACGACCCCATCATAACTATGGAAACAAAGTTCATCGATTTAAGACTGGTGATCATGACTTATTTTTACATGGGGGAAAATGAGATCACTTTATACTACTACTGAGGACGTGTGCCTAAAAAAAAAAAATATTCACGTTCTCACTGCAGACACAAAGGCATGTATCTGATCTAGTCATTTAGGACCACATAATTAGAAAAAGATCATATATACATAACGCTGCTGTCTCGTATCTCCATTTTTGTCAGTTTTCAGTTTTTGACTATCTGAACATGCCTGTTACCCTTTACACTGAGTGTAAATGTCAAGATGAATGGACCAAAAGAAACTGTCAATTTTTTTTTTCAGAAAAAAGTCTGGTTCCATAGCTTTACATTAAAAGTAACCTAGGTTTTTTCCTTCTCCTTTCAAGCCATCAATTTGGAGATATCAGGTTTTGTTCCAACAGCAGCAAGACACACACACACACACACACACACACACACACACACACACACACATATATGTATGACACCCCCCCACCCACATGAGGAGAAAGAGGTGAAATGAATATTTTCAAGATGCATGGTCATTTGCATCATAAATGTTCTATACAGAATTTAAATTAAAAAAAACAAAAAAAAGAACTAACATTACTTTTGTAACTTCTCTAACAGAATTCTCTTAAAAGACAAAATAATAAAAAATAAACAACATTTCAATATCTATATAAAAGCAAGCCAAAAAATGTAAACTGTAGGGCTACATCTCGATATTAAACTGAGCATTTCAAGATCATTTACAACCTGATCTTGTGTTTGTATATAACGTGTGGCTCTGATCTTGTGTGTCATTTTACTGCTGCTCCAATTAAGGTGGGACAGAAAATTTGAATAAGAAGCTGCCCAACACCATCACTCTTTGGACTTCATTACTGCACTCAACTAACAAACTGCACGATTTCAAACAGCTTAGCTAATCAACCATCCAAGGTAGGCCGTCCTTTCCAGTTTGGAGAGCTGTGCAGTGGAGTTTATGTTCGTGGTTATCACTTTTCAGGACTACCAAGGACTGTGTTAAACAGAACTACAGAAAAGACCACCATTATTATCACGCATTCATCATGAAAACAACCATATTCAATTCACAGCGAGCAGCTTCTCTAAAACAAACAAAAACAAAAACATTCATATTGTGACACCCCCTAACGAAAACAAAAACAGAAACACATTATGATCTGACTGGTTTCATTAAGGTCACATGGGCAGAAATCTGTTGGAACATTTACCTGACCTAGACCCACAAAGTGATCAGATCTGATTTGAGATCAGATGTTTTCACATTTCACACAGCTCCAAAGACATCAGATCTGGGTCACACACTAGGTAATGTGAACATGGCCTTCAAGTAAAAAGCACACCTGTGGATGCTCCCAGTGATAAAGCTTTCACAATGTGGCCCACAGTCTGTATGCCCCCGTCGGCGATGACTGGAACTCCAAACCGCCGAGCGTACTCTGCCACCTTATACACTGAAGTGCCCTGAGGCCTCCCACATGCCATGACTACAAATCAAAAGAGAGAGAGGAAATATTAAAGAACTGTAGAAAGAATTTTGCACTATGCCACAATGAAACAAAGTCTGGTCCAAATAATGCTTTATGAACTGTTAGTTACTGCACAGTAAACTGTGGTGCCTGATGTGTTAACAACGGCAGCAGTTTTCAGCTGTAGAGTGAAATACTTCACAAGTCTCTTTTACACTTTTACTTGCTGTGAAAAGCTTCACACTGACCCTCCTGAGTAATGCAGATAGAGCCGCAACCCATTCCCACTCTCAGGGCGTCGACTCCTGCATCGATCAGATTCTTCGCCTGTGCTGCTGTCACCACTGCACACACACAAACATCACTTTAAAGTAAGTAATCATGGTACAAAAAGGACTTGCATGAACAAGAAGTACTAGGAAGAGTGACCCACCGTTCCCTCCCGCAACCTGCAGATCAGGATATTTCTGTTTGATGTAGTTAATCATGTTGATCTGATATACAGAGTTGCCTTGTGAGGAATCCTGAGGAAAGAAACAAGACATTGATTTATCTTGTTCTCCTTCAATAACTACATATGTTCACAGAGCAAGCACAGCCACCTCTTCATTGAACCGTTCTCACAGAATCCAACTCCTACAACTTAACATTTGAAATACAACAGCTCAGTAGGTGCAGCTACTTTATACCTACATTCATTGGCCATTTTATCAGATACACGAACAATATTAGGTGCATTTGTAGGTTTACAATTACTCACTGTAACCTGACAGCTAAACTGTGTGTGGACAATCACAGTACTACTTCAGACCAGTTACTAATTGGATCACTTGCAGGGTCACTCTGTGTCAAGAATAGTCAAAAAAAATAAAAAAATAAAAACACACAACCTGTACTTCTAAAGGTCCCCTTCACTTCTACTACAATGTACAAGATGGCTGATAAGGTATGCAGATGTTTCTAAGCAGAGGGCTTTAAAACAGTTCAAAACACACATTCTCTACTCCATCACATATTCGATTCAGTTTGCACCAATCCGAATTAACCCTTTAAAATCACAGGCTTATTACATTCTAAAGCTTATCCAGCTTATCAACTTATAACTGCAGGGACTTCAATGCAAACTGGTTGAACTATTCTTAGGTTATAGAAGTGTGTAATAAAACTTGACCATGTAAGAAGTTAACTGTGCATCTGATGTTTCAGGATACAATAACACTGAATACACGTCTTATTCTAGCGCATAACGGACAATGCACTGCTGAAAGCAGCAGGTACTTCCATGATACACATATTACTTGTAATAAAGTTTGCCTTGTTTACAATTTTAGGACGAAGTCTCAGCAGCACCTGCAGAAGGTCATGAGTGAATAAGCTTAGTAGGATGAAGTTTTATTCACATCTCCATTAGCACATATGTAACTCCATGCACAGAAAACCCAAGTGTGCTCATACACCACGAGCGAAAAGGAATGTGCGCGAAACTGTCAATGGCCACACTGCAAAACCCAGATTTTGACATTTTGATCAAATGTTCTGAACGATTTGGAGCGAGCATCATTAAGCTACAGTCAGTAACCTTAAACCTACAAAGGGCACATTTGGTAGTGCATATATGGTAGGTATACCTGCTAACATGGCCACAATGGGTGCAGGGCACAAGGTATAAATGTCCAAAAGTGTTCAGACACAGAGCTAAACCACCAACATCAGTTCCTGATCTCACTAATGCTCTTGTGGCTGAGCGCAAGCAAATCCTCACAAGTATGTGAACTTTTCCTCAGCCATCTGTACGATATGCAAAATAATCAGAGCACTGACCCAAAATCAGGTTTTGCACTTCTCCTAATTTTACAGTGTCAAATCTTAGACAAATGCTGTGAGGCACATTTTATATATGAACCCGGCTGTAAAACTCACCAAAACCACCATATCTACACCAGCCTGTGTGAGCAGGTCCAGCCGGTACTTGTCGTCCTCGCGGGTGCCGATGGCCGCACCACACAGCAGCTGCTTCCGAGAGTCTTTGGAGGCCAAGGGGTAGTCCCTGTTCTTCTTCAGGTCAGTGCGGGCAATTATAGCCACCAGCTCATCGTTATCATTTACTATGGGTAGCTTACCTAGGGGTAAAGTTCATGGTTAACACACTGAAGATACTGCATGCATCATGTGGGCATACAAACTATGGTAAACAGCTGGTACTTTATCCCATAAAGTAGGTTATTTGTATTTCATGTGCCAAGTGACTTTCTTACTGGAATCAATAAAGCCAAGCTACAACCTTTTGTGAATGTGTGAACTATGCTTATAACAAGTTGTGTGTAGCCTAAAAGGCACCATTAGGATCTCTAGCCTCTGACCTTTTTTGCTGCGTTGCAGAATGTCATTGGCCTCTTTCAGTGTGACACCAGCAGGAGCAACCACCAACTCTTCTCTTTTAGTCATAGCCTACAGGACAGGCACAATGAGTTAATGCCATCATAATTCTCAGAGATAAGTAAAACACACAGTGCAGTGAAACCTGAACTTATTACTGTGATACACAGTTTAACATTTTCCCAACCAACACACCTGATTCAACTACGTGGCTAACTATTCTTGCTGCAGCAGTCTATGGTCTTTTTTTGTCTTGCCGAGCATGCTGCTCTGCATTTTATTCACAGAGTGCACATGCTACTGACAGTACAACCAATGCTTCCAGCAATATTTGGTGCCAAACTCTCCTTTACCTCAGAGATTTATTTATATAGCACTGTTCTGTTTTATTTATATTTCATTTCAAATTGTAGAGAATGAAGAAATCCTAATGCTGATAAATGTGCTTGAGCCCTGGAATGATTTCCAAGCACACTGCATTTTTACACAAGTAATTTTACATTTACTTTTTAAACCACATTACAACATTCAAAATATTTACTCCAGTTGATGTTTAATTCTACTTGCTTATTTGTTTTTGCAACAATTTTGTAAAAGGGGAGTTCTAATTTTCTAAGCCTAAACCTAACCTATACATCAGTAACCAATAATATAGCCCTTCACAAAGTATAGACAATTTTGCAGGTTAACCCAGTTTTTCTCTTTTTTTTCTCCTCCTTCATCACACCCACTCGCAGTCACTCACCTCCTCCAGAGGTCTGTTATGGTCCTTCTCAGAGAGAAAGTCGATGTCTCGGGAGGTGACTATGCCCACCAGCTTGCTGCCCATCTTGCCGGTCTCAGTGACAGGGATTCCAGAGAAGCCGTGTCGCACCTTTGCCTCAAACACATCTCCCACTGTGTGGCGTGGGCTCATTACCACTGGATCTGTGATGAAACCCTGCTCAAACCTCTACACACACATGCATACACACAGACACACACGTTTACAGAAGACAGTATACGAAACTCGCTTCAGACAAAGTGACAGACAAACATACAACCCATCAACTCTCGGTTCCTGTTTTCTAATTTAAACTTAAACTATAATCATGATAATATTTGTTGTCACAGGCCCAGCAGAATCCCAGAAATATGATCGTCACTACAGCACTGCTGATAAAAAACTAATACTATACAGACAAATAATTTACAGTTACTCACCTCTGATGACTGCAATCCTAAAGCTAAATTAGTCCTGTATCATTATGCTAATTTAACTATCTTTCAGGCAGTCTTCACATAGGTGAGTTGTATAAACCTTTCTCACAGTCACTGTGTCATCAAATCCGGCTGTAAATAGTAGTGTTATTGAACTTCCGCCTGTAGCGTTTAACAGAGCGACAAGGGAGGGTCGCTCCAAGAAAACTTTCTTTCCGCCTCAGCGCGTTTAATAGGCATGTCTGGTAGTTCCTCCAACATCGGCAGAAAGGCTAGTCTGACTTGGCCAAAGTGTGTCACATAAAACAAAGACATTTGAACTCTGCAGACCCTGTTTACTGCTGTGCAGAGCTCAGGGCGAACCCGGTAAATGGAGTACATCGCAGCAGACGACTGTACCACGCATCCCACGTTTGAAAGCGCATCTCCGTTTCAAAGCAGAACTCGACGGCAGAACAGATTCCACAAAAAAATAAAAAATCTGCATCTGCCTGAGACATGTTTTGCAAGCAGGAAAAAAGCTGAGCGGATCTTTATGGTCAACACCACATCACACATCCCTAAACAGATTTGCACTCAACCCGTGTAAACATTAGCAAGCCCTGAACAGCACAACCAGCACAGAGACGCATCTTATTTCCAAGCTACAGTGGTGAGAGGTCCATTTCTCAAGGTTTATAAGCAAGCCTCTGTGATGACAATCTCCAGGATTGTAAATACACCAGTGAATAAATATTTATCTTGGAACTGAGAATTTTCAATCACAATTGTGAGTAAGTCTCCTACTGTACAGCCCACATTCGCTCTGCAGTTCAGTTTTTTGATCAGTTACCTTGTTAAAAGTGAAACATGACTAGAACATCATCTCAGCTGAATTAGAACATTATTAAACTTGATCGAGTGGAAACACAGGTAAGGCTGTGTAGTTCAATTATTGATGCATTTAAGAACGCAGCAATGATTACAGGCAGCATCAGCTACTGTTTACAGTGCCTCCAGAAGCCGTTTAACGCTACCATTTACTCTACCACATTAACAAACACAGAAGTGTGAGAATGGTCTATTACACCAATACAGGCCGAACTGGTAAACCCAAAACACCATTACAGTTCATAACCTGTATTAAGGACAACATTCGGGAGAAAAAAATTTTAATAGAAACTCTTACAAATCCACATAATGAAGACTGTCAGACTCTGAATTGTCAAGTTTCTAAAACAGTGACATCAGTCATTAAAACACTTAAAAACTATTACAGTCCTTCATTTTTCACCAGGAGCAACATGTCAGCACAACACACATTCACAGAGCTAAAAATAAAGCATACAGAGTCACTTATAATTTATTAAGTCCTTTAGCAACCATACCTTCACTTTGCGAACCTCATTAGCCTGAAACTCTGGGGTGCAGTTATGGTGAATGATGCCGATCCCACCCATGAGCTAGATAACAAATGCACAGCAGTTACTTTAAACAACAGTCAAATGTTCAATTCAATGAGATTAGGTGTGTGATAAAGACCAAAACCTACTGCCATGGCGATGGCCATCGACGACTCGGTTACAGTATCCATGGGGGAGGAGATGAGAGGCGTCTTCAGAGTAATTTTTTTGGTCAGGGCTGAAGTCAAGTCCTGTTGATACAACAAGATCAAATGTTGGAATGCAATAACGTATGACTAACAGATAAAATCTTAGGAACAAAGCTTCTCATGCGTACCTTTCAGGCACCTGACATTTTCTTAACAGCTCATTTTCTATCAGGTGTCATGACAAGTGCAGTAATATACTTTACCATAAGAGGGCAGTAGCGATTCTTACTATCTTTAAGCAACATAGCTCATTTAAAAATGATAATAGCCTAATAATAGACTGCAAGTGACAAAGGAATGAAGAAGGGTGAAAGTTGAGCTGGCATATTAACTTGTAAGCACAGGTGTGCATTCATGCCCTGCTGCCAGTTACCCTTTTCAATAGCCAGACAATAAGAATGACCAACTCCACTGGGTGATTAGCATACAACAGGACACGAGCACATGGTGTGTCAGACACTGGTTAGTTAACAAACCCAAGATATTCACAGTCTTTCGTCTGGAGGGGCTCCTGAATCACCTGGCATGCACTAAGGTGGAGGTATTTATATTCTAACTGACAACAACAGATGGTGCGTAGAGGCCCTCTCCTAATCATGCTTGGCAAATCAGGAACTGCATATGATCAAACACCTGCACCTTTAATTTGCAAAGAGAAGACTTCAATTTTGACAAAGCTGCTGAAACAAAATACATAAAATATCATTTTAGATTGATTGCAATGAACGTAATGTTTGTAATGAATGGAACATCAGAAAATGCCTGACACATCACAAAAACACCCCATTGCATCTCTTGGTGACCTTCACAGAGACACAGTGGCAGGCCTGAGAAATGCTTTTCACTCAGATAAGCTCAGAAACATTCAACATTCTCCTCATCACCACCTGCTTCTCACGTCTCCATCCGTAGTTCCCAAAACATGACAATGCACAGTCAGATGGAGAAGACGGGAGATAATGAGAGTTTCAAATTCCCCAAAATGACAACAATGAATAATTATTTCTACACAATAAAGAATTCATGTCATTCATCGATGGGCCAGCCAATGAATGAGCAATCTCAACAGATGGCGCTCTCATACACATGCATGAAAGGTTATCAGTGACAATTTGCAGGAAAATATCATCTAAAACGCACCATTTGAATGAGCCAGAAATGACTGGTGACTTACACAACAATAATGCACGTTTCAAGGTCACCTGGTCAGAAATCATAAACCATTCTCCTTCCAGACACGCCTTACTAAGTCGTAGCCATGACTTAATTATCTTGTTCCCATGCCTTACTAAGTTGTGGCCACGCATTATTTTCATTTAGCAGCACTGCTGCGTCTGATCCACTCAGATCAGCGCAACACACACTAACACAGCAGCACCACCATGTCAGTGTTACTGCAGTGCTGAGAATGATCCACCACCCAAATAGTACCTGCTCTGTGAGGGTCCATGGGGGTCCTGACCCCTGAAGAACAGGGTAAAAAGGGGGGCTAACAAAGTATGCAGAGAAACAGATGGACTACAGTCTGTAATAGTAGAACTACAAAGTGCACCTATATAGTAAGTGGAGCTGATAAAATGGACAAAGAGCGTAGAAACAAGGAGGTGGTCATAATGTTATGCCTGATCGGTGTATATACAAAAGTAAAAGATGTGTATGTTGCACATATGTATTTGCCAAACGTGTCTTATTATGACTCATAGTAATAAAAGTAAAACAAAAGTTTAACAAATTTACAGTCAGACCTTGTGTTTTTGTATATAAAGCGAGGTTGTTCTTGTGCCTGAGAGTACTCAATCACTTCCAGCAAACTGCAGACTCTCTACAGCGGAGTAGTGGTGCAAATCTGAACGTGTAAACGTCACTGTGGAGTTATTCGTTTTGCCAGAACTGGCACACAGAGGCTGTTCGAATCCTCTTTGTAAAAGAAGTTGCTGCGTTTTCTCCTCTCTCCGGTAACATATTTGGGTGAGGTCTTCACAAAGGAGTTAGAACCTTTGAGCTATGAACATGAGTACTGGGCACAGTTTACATGTCATTATTGCACTTGACCGGGAAACCAAAGTGTTTCCAAACAGGCAATGAATGCGGGGATGACTTGTACCAGCTCAGGTTTGCTCTCTCCACTTGCCATTTCAGACAGCTTGGCAAAGGTAGACAAAGCTGAAGTTAGCTTCTTATCCGCCAGCTTCTTATTCAAATTCTCCTCAGGTGCCAGGTGCTGCACCATTAAAGATGGAACAAAAAATTGGAATAAGAAGCTGGAGAAACTAACTCCATTTTTATCCAGTTATGAGAGCTGAGCAGCATTTTTAAGTTGATGGTATTACTTTTAGAAATATAATGGACTGTGTTAAACAGAGCTAGGGCTGAAAGATGAATCATTTTTTAATCGAAATCGCAATTTGAAAGAGTTCAGTTTTTTAGAAATTATAGCCTCCACTATCAAAAATGGGGGAAAAAGGGGAAATTTAACCTAATAACACAGCTGTATACTGCCTGTAGAGTTCAAATGCTCAGCAGCAACATAACCTCCATGTGTTGTGACAAATACCACAACTTACAGGCTTTAAGGCACACTACATTCAGGGGTCAAGCCTCAAGCCAGAAAAAGTGGACACACACACACACACACACACACACACACACACACACACACACCTCAATCTAAACCCAATTTAACTCACCATATTAGCCAGAAAATTATATACATGATCTACTGATTTAAAGCATTTTCTAATGCTAACCAACCAAAAGAGATTCTCCAAAGCTCAGGCACAAATGTCACAACAAATACTGCACTTCGATTAACAACTCCCCTGTAATCCTGTTTAGTACAGAAAACTCACATTCAACTCTCTGGATAAAAGTACAGACAGATGACACAGACTAATCCACACAGTAAAAGCCAGACTTAAAAAAAAAAAATAAGATAAATTAAAATAGTGAGTGCGTACATGAAAGTATGAGTGTGTGCATGTGAGAGCTGAAGTACTGAGCTCTGTAGACAACCACCCTCTAGAGCCACAGGAAGGGCACACATGGCTAAATATACAGTGCACATGGACAAACCACAGGCGGCTGTTAAACTGAAGACAAGCCCTGCAAAAATAAAGTGAGTAGAGAGCAGAGGGAGGGACTCACCACTTCGTCTGAGGTAAAGTCAATAAAGCCAGGCAGAATCAGGAAGTCACTGTAAGGCAGAGACAGAGAAAAAGATCACATTATATGGTGGTCCATCACATACAAAGTTCTGATATTTTAAACCCAGTAGTGCCGGGTCATAATCCAATACCACAATATTTCTCAACTATACCACGACATGATTTTTAAACTGCATTAATGACGTTAATAAACACATTAGTGCTGCTACTCTATGCTCAAAGAATGTCTTATAAACCAGACATGGCTTATTTTGATTGGACCATTTTGTTCTGCTTCTCTTAAACTTACACCAAAGACAACCTTACATAGTCCTCTAAAATGTTACCCAAAAACACAATTCAATGGAAATTTTACTACCCATTTAGTTTTTAATGGATTCTACAGTGTTATTTCAGAACAATCTGAAGCTCCCAGTAATCCACACTTTTTTGCTAATCAATACATCAATACTAAAAAGCAAAACTGTTACTATATAAATATACAGATACATCACCGAGCACTAGTACACAATATGATCCCTGTGCAATTTAGTTTGCATCTTACATCTCAAAGAGGAGCATGTGATATCACAAGAAGGTGGTTCATCAAGAGAACATGAAAGGACAAGTGGGAACCTGGCTCTTAATGAGTGATTTAATTGACCTTGGACATCTAAAAGGTCAAGCATGGCTCTAGAGGAAAAACACACATGGCCCTTATTACAAGAGGACCAGAATAGTGATGAGGTCACATGTCTAGACATGTTCAAAATCTTCCTGTTTCTGACATGGTGTTGGGTACATTACCAGTAAATGAGAGACCAGCCTTCACCAGCCTCCTGAAAACCACAGGAATGTACAGTATAAATTCAGCAGACCTTAGCAAGCAGATTATATAAACAACACTGGCCAGTGGCAGGGAAGAACAGACAGAGAGGGAATCGAGCATGCTCCTCACGCAGTCAAAATGCGGTTTGGCGGACGAGTGCAAGAACGCAGCAAGGGCCAAAAAGGGGAATAGGCATAATTTTTTCGCGTTTAAGCCACAGAGGGGCAAGACAAACCCTGTCTGACATAACTCAGACATCCCAATGACTTCCCCTGTCCTCCTCCGCTCATGGTGAGCAAACTGAGGCTCAAATGGGAACCGGTGCTCCGACAGGGGAAAGTGAAGGGTGTGTCTACACACAAACATACTGACCACATACTCACAAACACCAACACGAGAGACAGAAAAAGTGTTGCTGTTTTCCTCAAACTCTGAAATGGACACGTACTCAAGCCTGAAGCATTTCAAAGAGACTGGGCAAAATCAATAACCGGCGCATTCACAATTAACAAGTCTAGGCAAAAAAAATAAAAAATTAAATCTGAAACAACTTTCCTTTAACAAAGCCCATCAAGCTATTACCTACATGAGCAAGAAAACACCATGTGGAAAACGGCCAACACTGGATAAACTGGTTCCCCAATTACAAAAAAAACCTAGTTTTAAGCTAGTTTAAAAAATACAGTTCTGTGTAAAAGACAGAGACTAACCATCATTTATTTAATTTCCAGCCAGAGGTTATTCATTCACAAACTACTCAACCAAACTGGCAGTTTTTCTTCTTTTTCTTTTATATCCTTTTATTGGTAACATTAACTACACATCCTTTCAGACTCATAGCCTCGAGCCGTCTTCTTGCAGTGGAAGGAGAGAGCACGAAAAACCTGTAGATTTTTTTAAGATCTGGAGCCAGAGGGGAAAGCGTGAAGTACTGTTTATCTGATGGTGACAGTTTTCGTGATCCACTAGGTCTCACCAGGTTGTTAGGGTTCCCCTTTTCTTAACATCTTTTAATCATTTTTTGAAATCCAGCTTGGAAAATCCTACCCCCCCACCTTTTTCCTTTGATTTTTCCCTTTTTTATGCAAGTGCATTACCTTCTATCATAACTCCTGAAAATTAACTTAATGATTGTTTTGAATGGAAATTAAATAAAGGGTACTGAATGTAATCAAAGATTGGACAGGATGCCATCTTAGATGTACTCATTCCAAAGACATCTTAATCTGTTTACCCAAAAATTTGTATTAATTTATGCTTAAAAGGAAAAGTGCCTTAATTCTTGCTTCAAAGCATTAAATTGTGAACATCATGCAACACGATTGCACCTTGAGTGGAAATGCTGGTAAGCATCAAACATGCACAAGGCTGCCCAAGATACAAACAACATGGCATAACTCACTACTTACCAGGTACTGCAGGAAGCGGATTTATAAAATCCACTGGCTTCAAAATCACAGTCAGCAGTTGCCATTCTAAAATGTTTAATTATCACGCAAGCAAGTCTAAACACACTTCAAATATCTTTGGTCTGGCTGAAGGAACGAAACTTTAAATATAGCACTTCCAAATTTGTTATGTCTACTGAGGACTAGTCATAAAACCTTGTTGCCTTGTAAGAGGTTCTCGCTCTCTCTGTCAAGGTTATATAAAAGGATTAATTATTTAAAAAACACCACACACACACACACACACACACACACACACACACACACACACACACATAAGGGGGATGAATAACAAACACACCCTTCAATTACACTAATCTCAGACTGATGTGCGCTCCCTGTTAGACCAAATATGACCAATAAAGCAGAAGAAAGTGCTCAAAGCCTGAGCTACGATCATTCACAGCTCAGACCATATAAAACATGTTTCCACTGTAAAATAAATCTCCAGCCCATCTCAGTGGGCTCAGCTCATCTCCCTGACTCAGTGTTTCAGTCTCTCATTCTTTACGGAGCCTGTCACAGAGTGGCAAAAATAGCCTCAGTGACTGAGAAGGCCATTAGGACTTTAACAGGTGTAATAAGGTCAATCAATCAGTGAAGCAGTGAAAAGGGATGAAAATTACCCATTACTGTTTTGTCTCATACCTGTTTACTTCTATTGCTCGAATACATGACCACAATGAACAACTGAATAGGACAATTACATACTCTGAGCAATCCGATAACGTTGTTACAAAATGTTGTATAATGTTCGGGGGGAGAAGAAAGAAAAAAAAAGTAATTTTTATAAAAGTTCTAAAGCGATCACTGAAGCAAAACCACAAAAAATAAGCAAAAACTACAATGTGACCAGGGCCGTGAACATCTAGGCGACAAAAGTTCGCAAATGTGATTTCAGCTTAGTGCAAACTTTGTGAGTTTTTTTTTCCTAAATGTTTAACTACAGGCTTGCACACTCTGTGGTTTCAAATTTCCTATTGTGTATGAGCCTCTTTTCTCCATCCAATGACAGACTTTGTTACGTAGTGCGTTAGTCTAAAGAGTTTGCCCAGCTACCATGTGCACGACACCGTGAGCAAACCATCCGCAGTTGTTCATTTTTCTCCACAATTGTGTCATACTGTTCGCCAAAGATAGGCGGACATCATGTCCACAAGAAGTATACAGAGGCCTTAAGCCTTCCAGGACTTCCAACACTTCACTGCATGGGTCACACAAACAGTACTTTCATTTAAGAGCAAATTAACCCATTTGATGTCTTTGTATTAGATCAGGGGTGTCCAATCTTATCTGCAGCTGATGTGGCTATATGTTTTCATTCCAAACAGGAGCACACCTGATTCCACTCTTCTAATCAGTTTGTCAGTCTACAAACGAATGAGCATGTGTGCTCCCACTTTTGCTACTCAAAGCAGTCACTTTTAAATTTTTGTAAAAAACACTTACATATTAATATTTTATAATATTAATATTAAGGCGTTTTAAAACTGCACCACAATGTGTTTGTGCCACCAGTGCAAAATTCATGATTAACTAAAAAGGAATCCAGAATCACTGAAGGCTATCATCCCATCTTTAAACAATAATCCTTCACAGGAACCTGATATGCACAGGATGTTCTCAAATCTGTGTTTAAAAGTGTAAAATGTTACATTAGTTAACGCTTACAAGCTAACTGACGTTTCCATCTCTGTGCTGCACAGCAGTCTTAGTCTGGTTGGAATTCTCCAGAAAAAGGGGCTGCCATCAGTTTGATGTTAAGCTAAGGATGTTTTTCCTCAAAAACATCATTTTGTTAAACATCTTATGAAGTAACCTAAAGAACTTCATTAAAAGTTTACCAATGGTTAAATGGTTAATGCCCAAACACCTTTAGAGCCCACTGTACAGTTAGAAGTGGCTTGCCTGTGGTTGGGAGAACAGTGCAGCATAACTTGCTATTCATTTATGCCATTCATCATCATCATCATCATCATCATCATCATCATCTCACTCGCCAGTGGGTGAAGTCCATTTGCACATGGCCATGCAGCTGAGAATGGCCTAGTTGGTTTGTGTGTTCAGGTTTGAATTGGAAGTGTTCTCGTCATCAGTGAGTAGAGCATGACGAAAACTTCAATCACTGGCTCCCTCAATTCATCTGATTTTTTAGCACGTATACAAAAAGAAAAACCTCTGTCAGCACATATTATACAAACTTCTGGCTTGCTTCAGGGTGGATTATTAAATTATTAAATAATTTAAGCACTTTCAGGGAACAGAGTGAAACTGTAGTGAGCAGTCTAAAACTTCAGCTATAAATAACTTGGTCAATACACTGTGATATCTTGTTCTCATTACTTAAGAACCCCTGAAGAACCCCTTGTTTAAGGGTGTACAGGTAAAGTTGAAAATCCCATCAAACTTTACAGAATATACCCTATACTAACTAAAAAGCACATTTCATAACTAAAACACACAACACTGCAGCAAAAAGCACTATAACCCTCTAGAGATTCAAAACACTAGTGCCAAAAAACAACCAACAGGTGAAGACAGCTTCTGCTCATGCTTCATCGAAGCACAGTTACATGGCACCTGTATGAGACATTTAACATGATTACCAGTCATCCACAAACGTCATATGGGGGCCCATACAGGCCAGGCAGAAAAGACAGTAGCGTAGTCTCTGTCAGATACACAGTCATACGCAAAAGTATGAACACCCCCGGTCAAATTACATATTTTATTGATTTTCCAAGTGAAAAGGTAAAGCACTCCCCACCAAGAACACACTTAAATATGCCATCTTCCTACAAATTTTAGTACACATTTTCTTTTTATTTCTTGGATTTATCATATCAGAAAATATAAAATATATTAAACATGCCATAGCAAGTAAACATTAGATGTGCATTAAAATGTACAAAAGTGTTGTCTCTGCAGAGGATGTGTTAACTTACTCTCACTTAAATCAACAAAACATGTCACTTGCCCAGGGGTGCCCAAACCTTTGCATATAACTGTACCTTATAAATATAGACAAGACATTTAGAAACTTTGTGTATTACACCAGACATGTTCAGCCTCTACATTTATTACTAGGGATGCATGATCTGCAAGAGACAAAACCAGCATCTGCAGATTTCAGACATGCAATCAGCCAATTTATTGTTTTTCTTTGTCCGATCTCTGTTGCAATTTTAACACAGTAAATAACATAAGCCAAGTAAGTGCAGTCGCTACACTAGCTGCAGAAACTCCTATAATAAAAAGCCGCAGCATATTACACACAACTCATTGTGCTAAACAGCCAGTGGCCTCTTATTGCTAATGCTGCACTTTATATGATTCATGTTATTTAATTTAACTTCAAGTTATGTAAACTGTGACTTTGTCTAATGAAAGTACTGGAAATGTGATTGTTTTCATTTAGCCCACACAGTGCAAGCTTTTCAAATAAATAAATAAAAAAGAGAAAACAGTTTGGTGCACCTCTAATTTATTACCTCGGCACACTGTGGTTATTCCCTATACCTCTCTGTCTCTCTCACACAGCAAGTGTATTTCACTCATACACGTGTACAAAACCTTGGGTGTGCAACTCCCCTCCCCCAAACTATTATCACATGACCCAGTCTAAGGAAAATCATGAGGCCCATACTGCATCCCTGCATGCATTTCATTATAAACCAGGCCAAATGCATCAACTCCTGCCTTCGGTTTTCAATTAACCACACACACTTACCCTTTTGCACTCTCTCAATGCTGATACTGTTACATAGCCTACCCCTCACTCACTGCTACATGCTAACGCTCTGAAGTGCTGTCTTTCTGTGTTTGTCTGATCATTAACTCATGACTGGGGGTCCAGAACTAAAGCAAATAATTTCTGATTTTGAACACATTCATTTACCAACTGAACCACTCACCACATGACGCTTGTCTAATCATCTCATTAAGTAAACAAACTTGAATCACACAAAGCAGTTTACTGCTGTCTCAAAGGGCACGACGTTTTTCCTGCTAAATCCTACATACCGACCTGGGAAGTTTCCACCTCTATGGAAAAGGTTTCAGCCTCAGGTTCACAGCAGACATGACGTCACAGACAAGTTACCAAATTCAAAGCTAGTCTTACTACGAGGACACATTAAAACCAGCTTGCCATCCTCTGCCAAGACCAGCTTCATCTACTAAGCTGAAAAAGTTGACAACGGTAGCAGAGCACAAACAGAGCTGCCACGTTTGCATTCAATATCTGCATCTGCTACCAAAGCCCTTTCTGAATGTTTGTTAGCATGTCAGTATGTTTTACAAAGTTAAGAGAGATTAATAAGGCAAACTGGTATCTAGCCATGAAATCTGCAAATGGTTCATTAGATGGTTTAGATAGTGTGAAGGCTGACAAGATGAGACCTAGAAGAAAGATAGTGGTCAACTTACAGACTGACCGAGAAGAATCCAGAAGGATTTCATGCATTATAGTTCTTCCCAGCACTCAGGATACAGTCATATTATTACTGGAAGCAAATACCATTCATGGATACTGGAGGGGAATGATTAGTTTTGATCACCAGGCAGTGATTTCAAAGCAAGAGTGTTTCAAAAGTGCAAATCTGTGAGAAACAAGAACTGATTTAGCAAAGCTACTAGCGCAATGCACAATTGTTAGAATATTCAATTGCACTATTAAACAGATGATTGGAATGGCTGGAAAAATGATAAATTCCTTGCCCGTTCAGCTGCAATGTTTCAGACAAGTTAAGAGACGTTTATCCGCGCTAATAGCGGTACTAAATCAGGATAATAAATGATATGGGAGAATGAGTCAGTATCCGATACAGGCAGACAGCTGTCTCTCTACTTGTAGCTTTTAGATTATGATTAAGGGAATTCCCCAAGACCAAAACAGTCTGCTTGTTAAGCATCCTCAATATCAAGCTGACTTGTGGAGATCATCTGTGTTGAGGCGAGAACTATTTGCTTCCCCATATGACACAGAGACTGAGGATTTCACTGTGGTGACAATCAAATGAAGTGCCATTTTACTCACTTGTAAGTCATACCGTCCCCTTTAGAGCATAGCTCTTCCGCTGTGAGTCCGTCTTGGACAGACTGCTGGTCTGATCTGCTGAAAACGTAACGTGGCAGCCCATTACACACGCCGAGGCGTTACACAAACTCACGATGTGGAGACAGACCACACTTACTTGTAGGTGAGCCCATCTCCAACTGAGAAAAGCTGCTGAGCAGACAACCCGTCCTCCGGGACGTAACCCGTTCCTCCACTTATTAGGTAATCTGCCATGCTGGAAAGCAAAAAAAAAAAGCAGTTTTAACAAGGGGTCAAAGGGGATGCATTGTGAGTGTGTGACCTCGCAATGCCAAATTGACAATGTATATTGTGGCGATATTGTGTGCTACTGCAGTGTTCAAACAATCAGCACTAACCAGTACGTTTGAATGCAAAATGATTCCTATAATCAAATTTAACTCAAAATATCTTGAGAATGTTGAATTGTGAACACACTTTTGTGAACCGGGCACTGAACGTATTGTTGTAGGCGGCCGATATTGTAACAACTGTTATGGTATTTCGATAAACTTTCATGGTACAGGAAATCACAATTCTTTCACTTTTAAATACAAATAATTTCTCTCTCTCTCTCTCTCTCTCTCTCTCTCTCTCACACACACACACACACACACACACACACAGCTGCATTAAATCCAACTGAAAATAACCAAGTATGCTCTCCTTGCAATAAAGCGTACAGTAGTTCAGTGTTCTTTAGGTACTGACAACATCCACAACATACTCAAAACAGCCTATTGTAACATGATGTAATTTAATCGCAATAAGGGTAAATACTGTCATACTGCTCAGCCCCAACTGACACACCCAAGCGTTAGTTTCCTACTGACTCCTGCTTCTATTTAAAAGCCCATCATTTATGCGCACTGGACTGAAATGTGGTCCTGAGGACGAACCTGAGCCAGCACCGTTCACTGATGTACAGAAAAAGGTCCAATCCTCCTTAAATTTTTCTGTCACATAAAACACGACCACTTTTAAAGAATCTCGTTCTGGTCAATGAAAATAAACAAAGCAAAAACGTGCTGTGTGTAAAACCAGTGGCTGCACCGCGAGGACACCTCAGCTTCCTGTTAGAGAAACACGGGAGGGAGGGAGAGGGAGACTGTCATCACTCACTACTGATCCATTTCCACAACTCCTGCTATCATCTGGTACACTATCGTGCACACACACCTTACTCTAACAGAGACAGGCTCTCTCCGCACATAAATCCTCCGGTTTTCAGTCTGCAGCTCCGTTAAAAACGAAACGAAAACACGATTTTTACCAAGTGACGCATTTCCTCCCTACTCAACTGCTGGCCCGGTGACCTACATATTGTAAACACACAAACACACCACACGCAGGGACGTTCACACATTTAGGCTCTGTTGACAGTCGACGACCCCCAGTCCAACTCCGACACGAGGTTGATCTACAGCCAGGAGCCCCCGAGCTTACGGCCGAGAGACGGTTATCACCGCAGGCTGCCGCTCAGAGACGTTGAAACGCGGCCGAGGAGACCACGAGGCTGAAGTCGGCTCCCTACTCACCAGCTTGTTGTTCGAACTTTCCCGTTCCACCTTAAACGGTGCAGCAGCATGAGGCGCCAGAATGTAACTGCTGCACCATTTAAGGTGGAACGGGAAAATTCGAAGAACAAACTGACTTCAGCCTCGTGATGAGATCTGTGACCAACCTGAAGAACAGGCACCATCACTTCTGTAACCGTTAGCTAATAATCTGAGGAGCCAAACAAAGCTCTCAGCACACCAGCAGCCACAACCGGGGGCTAAACCAGCTTTAAAAACGGGAGCAGTGGCCTAAATATTCGGCTCGAGTCTAAGTCAGAGTTAGAGTGGGCTTTTAAAAGAAATTACAGCTTCCTGCTCCCATCGGTGAACTCTGAAACCCAGTAAATCCTGAGGACACTGAACAGGAAAAACACGACTGATTCCCAATGCAGCCGCATGAAAAACAGCCGGTAACGTTTCAAAGCTCACTCGCTCTGCACTGTTTACTTCTCGTTCAGACCGAGTCTCCGTTCTCTGTGGTTATCACTCTCTCCATGAAAACACTGTACAGACACAGTTACAGATATAGTTACACATATCTGGAGACTTCAGACCTTCAGAGTGGATGAAGAAGACCACACGGCGTCCTGCGCTGCACGCGTCTTTGCGGGCTGGAGCTGGATGGAGAAACGTGTATAAATATGACTGTCCTCTCGGTTAACTAGGCTATCAGTGAACTCTGACTGTGTCTTTGTTCCTCAACTGACTCCTCTCTCCGTCTCTCTCTATCGGAGTCCCGCTCTCTCTCCTCTCCGCCTGTCTGTCTGTCCGTCTGCTGGGCTTTATGTGCACAGGCGGTTGGACGGATCGCGTCACATCCTCCGCCCGCGTGCTAGCAGTGCAGCAGCATCCACGTGGTGAGGGGTGCAGTTAACCCTTACACAGCCGGAGACACACGCTTTCCCCAAACTTTTAGACTTATCAGGCACATTTACAGCAGTTGAGTCAAACAGGAGCCGCACGACTCGATGCAGCTCCACATTCGTCGCGTACAGAGAGTCTAATCAGTGCTGCATTTCAGACAGACTTCACTACCACCTCCACCTGCAGGCCTACAAACGTCCGGCCAGTCACTCAGGTCTACGCTATGTCTAGTTCCATGTACTCAAGTACAGTTTTGGTGGATTTATTCTTTTCTCAGCATTTTGAAATTATCCTTAATATCACGTCGGCCTACTTATTTAGTTGCTAATTCCTTTTTGGGTTTAATTTCACTGTGTTATGAGCAAGAGCAGCTAATTTAGTGATTCTGGGGCAACAGGCAAAAGACAGGATGCACGTTAGTAGTGCCACCATCTACACTGCAAAAATGCTATCTTAGATCTAATCAGTACATCTAATATTTATCATCTTGACATTGTGTAAGAACTTATGTCAAGATAAGTGAAATTACTACACTATATTGACAGATGATTTTGCTTGTTTTAAGAAATTTGCAACAAGCAAAATGATCTGTCAATAGTGCCATAATTTGGTACAAAGTAATGTAGAAGTAATGAGATCACTTTTTCCAAGATGTAATATGTACATTACATTTTGAGAGAAGGAACTTATAAGGGATTACTTTTGTGAGTAATTACTGCAAAACTGGAGCGATCTATACTAACATTAACGCTAGCAGTATGTTCAGCACTCTGTTCTGACTGAAAAAAAGTTAGCCTTTGCTTTCACCTCTATTTTTGTGTTTTTTTCTGCTGCCCTTAGATGACTTTACTTGATTTTCTCTCAAGGCCAAAAAAAAGAATCTCTTCTTCATAATGTAGATTATCGCTTAATTGTCTTGTTCATACCGGTCTGTCTTTCCACAGTTGTGTTATTACATCACAACATGGAATAGTGTATTATAACTATGACCAGACCATGAATATATACAGTATATCTATTTGTATTTTCAGTGGGCTCTTGACTTGTGGGGCCCTTAGGTGGCTGCCTCCCTTTGCCTAGTGCAAGACCACCCTGGTTCTAGGATTACCTGGACTATTTTGCTGTATCTCACACCTCTCACTTCAGAACGTCAGTGTTTTATTCGAAACCAAAGGGATCCCAAAATGAGAGGAAAAGCACTTAACAAATATAGTTGGAAGATGGTGGTTGTAGGGGAGGACAGGGTATAACTAACACAAAGTAAAACGTAACTTTATATAGTTAAAAAGGTTCCTGTAGAATGTGCTTTTAGTTATGTTGTCGTATTCTCACTGCATCATAATCTGCAAATTTTGTCAGCAAGAGAGATAATATTACTCTGAAGACTGTTTTTTACTCTGTTTTTATACTAAAAAAAGTGTTTTTTATTATAAGCATTTTTCAGTTATTGCATTGTGTGTATAAATTACAGAATTTACACCTGTTTTATTTTAATCAAACTGTTGGTGGCTGTAGTAGAGCACTGTTTTGAAGCATGTAAATAACTCCCAGTTAGAGCAAGCCAGGCTAAAGTACAGCCTCCATATGGTGGGGTTAGTGTTACAACTGCCTCGTAAAGTAAACAAGAGAGGTCTATATCCTGCCACATAAATTCAAAACAGTTAATATTTTTAAGTTTTTATGCAAAGATTAATCAAAAACATACTACAGATGTCAATTAAATATATTTCAATTTATTGTGATATCATATTTATCATATGTTGATTTGGAAAGCTCATCTGGTTCAAACAATGCAGAACTGTATTGAATTAATTGTGTTTTGCCAAGATTTACTTTTCGGCAGCTGCCAAAACCAGCTCCTCCACCTGTTACAGTTAACCCCACCTAACATTGTACTAACTCTGCTTTTGGCTGAATTCTTTATAATCAGTAGGCGTACACACAAAGTTTGTGCTTTCATTTGTAGCAGAAATGTGTTAGTTGCTTGTATAAAAAAATCCTCAGATTCTTTTACAATTATTTACCAAAAAACAAAATTAGGTTGTGCCCCACTCTGCCCTACAAAGAAGATACTCTGCAGTTCTATAGAAACTCAGTACTCAAGGTGTATTTTTGATTTGCTACTTTTACTCCTACTCAAGTTTGTGTCAGCATATTCTATTCAGCATATTCTGGTAATGGCCTAATGTTTTGTGTATGGATTTTTTCCCAATGGCCACTCCCCCCATGTGTTTATGATTGTAATTGTGATTGTAGTTTAATCCAAAGAATACCTTGAAGTTCTCTTTTCCCTTCTCAATATCTCAGTTTTATTTATTTTTCATTCTGATCTTAAATCGGTGGTTGTCTCAGTGCAGTAATTTTCAGAGTTAACTTGCACGAACTAATGTAGATCACTTTAATTTTCTGTTATATTAAGTTTCAGGTTCTAACCAGGTTTCTGGTTATTTCAAGGTTTCCGGTTATTCCCAAGTTTTGTTTTGCTGAGAATGTCCTACTTTAAAAATTATACAATATGCCTAATAGGCTTACTTCTAGTCTTGTACAGAATGTTTGTTGGAGAGTAAAGAATCACACAATGCATAATCACCATTAATCATACAATTTAGTCAAACACTAACCTTAATCTTTGTCCTAAAAAACACTCTTTTTGGTTTAGATGTCATGTGACATGATACTGTGTACAACTAAAACCGGTACATGCAAGGTTTTGTCCACACATTACTGTTGTGTTGAGTTTTGTCCACCACCTGAATAATATCTGGTCAGCGGTAGTTCTGTGGTGGTTCCTTTAAATTAATGGACTGTATTCATGTAGACAAAAGAAAAATGCACTGAAAATCTTAGAGAATCTTAGAAAATCTGAGTTATTTCCAATGTTTCAATAAATATATATGTCCATTAAAATCTAAAAGGCCCAGTTTTGCACAAAAATGCCTGAGTCTCAGTATCAAACTCTACAACAAATGTATACTAGTTGCATGGACAGAAATTCTAGGCCCTGGAGTTAAACATGAATAGAAGCTAACAGGCCAAAGTAGCTATAGTAAGCATTACCACAAATACTGTTTTTGGCTGACCTATAACAGTAATAGGCTGAAATTTGTTTTGTTCAGATCAACAATTTCTTCATCGCTAGTCCTCTTACCACTTCTTAACCTTTTGTCCATCTGGGACCAAACAGATTAAGTAAACAAGTATTCTTGGCTGTAGTACTTACTGTATGCCTCCCTTAGCCAAGAGCAAATGCACTAGGCAGAAAAATGGGCTACAGCATATATACACCACATACACACGGTGCTCATGGGTGTATGTTCTGGTTGTTTATTCACGCCCTTGAACATGCACACACAAAAATAGGCATTTCCAGGACTGCAATGCCGGATTAAAATTAAGCAGCTCACACAGTTATCTTCACTAAAGGCAATTCCTGAAAGGTTTTAAAATCTCTGTATCCTGTATGAGAGTGGTGACCAGTTGTGATCATACGATGAAAATGTCTAAAAATAAATGAAAAATATTATCTAGGGACAACATAGTAGTTATTTACTTATGACAGGCTCTCACAGAAGGCCATTTACAGGCACAGCAGTTCAGATGGATGTTGCTCCTTGACATACATTGGAAAGAAACCAAAAGCACTACTGCACAACCCAGAAGCAGTCCAGAATTAAAGTGCTGATTCTGTCCACTGGCTCTTTCCCACAGTGCACCATCAACCCTGCAAGGTGACACAATGCACGCTGGTTGTGTGTGTGTGGCTCTCCACATGTGGGTCAGTAGATATATGGGTCAGAGATTTCTCTTGTACATGGGGCTATTTTAAGTATTGATTCTAACTCATTTGGATTTTGCCTGCCCAGGCTTTGTATGCTCCTGCCTGAGTGTGCACCAGTAGGGGTGGGTGTGATCTGTTCTCCCGAAAATAGCTCAGAGGCTTCTTAAAGGCCAACTCTGTTGTCCCAGCATCAGATTTGAAGCCATTCAATTATACATGACTCTTTTCTCCTCTATGCTGTGCCCAGGCTGTGAATGCACTGCCCATCTTTATTAGTGTTTAAATCACTGGTGATTAGTGGGTCTCAACAAGTTATTTAAAGTAAACAAGAGATTTGAGTTGAAGGCCATTGCCACTCAAAATACACTGGAAAAACATGGTGCCAGGCAACCTTGAAGTTTGGTTATACAGACTGTATGTGCTATCATTTTAGAGAGAGAGAAGAAAGCGCTGCTAAATATTGCTGGAGAATCATAGCTGCTTGAACAGTGATACTTCAAGATGGCCACTTTATTAGAAACACTTACTTTGTTGAGACAACTTGTAGATGTAAAGTAAGGGACTATCACCCATCTTTTTCCATGTTTGGTTAGCCATCCTTTAGCCCTTTGTTGGTGGTCAGTTTCTGACTACAGGACCACTGTTGACTAGATATTTTTGGTTGGTAGATTATTCTTTACCCAGCAGTCATGCTGAGATGGTTAAAAATCCTGATAATGTTGGTTATACCAGATAAGCTCGTACCAGCGCAGCAAACAGTCCAATGCCACTACCATGTTGGTAGTGGCAGAAACTTGTCCACCACCTGAATAATGTCTGGTCAGCGGTAGTTCTGTGGTAGTTCCTTTAAATTAATGGACAATTTAAAGTAGGGCTGGGAAATATGACAATATATCATTGTCAATATGCTTTTCTGAGCATATCGTGGACATCTTCAGTACTTAAAAACACATTTTGATTACAAAGAGAACATAATTAGCCCACACTTATAGCACAGTATGTGAAATGTTGAATATAAATCTTAAATCCTTTGATAGTATTTTTTAAATGTGGCGCTACTTTGTCTTTTCCAAATTATCAGATGTCAAAAAAAAAATAAATATTCGGGACATTGTGTATCACGAAAACATATTGAAATATTGTGATCTTACATTTTTGCCATATCGTCCACCTCTAGAGTAGTGGTTGTTGGCAACCGATGCGCCACAGTCACACGAGTACCTGATACAATGGCCAATGAGTGTAGGGATAAGGTATATAATCAAGTGCCAACTCAATGTATAGATGTATGTGACCCCCCATGACCCTTTGACGCACCTGTTTGGTGGAAAGCCGGCCTGTATGCGTGTGGCTGTGTAGCGCTGGGCCGCGGTCTCGTGTCGGTGCCCATGCCAGCCTCCATGAGGGATCCCATAGTAAAAATGGTGGTTCAAAACATGCTCTGAAGTGTCTGCCATGTTATGACCGTCCACCTGCTTGAGGTCCCCTTCTGAAACTACCAAAACACTGTCCACGTCAGTCATGTTTCTGGGGATTCTCTGGAGAATGCACCGCCTCTTCGCTACTGGCTTGCCCGAGTCCGTCTGGCTGGTCTCAGCTCAGTGCGAATGCAAATACCAAAAGAATCACATTCAAATCAGCCTGGCAGTGAATTCAAAAGTCAGACTGGAGCTGGGGAATAAAAAGAACAACCCCAACAACACAAAACTCACAGCTGTGCCAGTGCTGATACACAGCAAAACAGACGTGGATCGCTGCCTTTGATTCCACAGCAGTTATTCACGACCCATTTCTCCTGCGTGTTGAACAAAGTAGGCCGATTGGACGGAGTTCTCACAAGCAGCTCTCAGGATCCCTGCCCTGCACACCTGTTCTCACGGAGACAAGGGAGTCGCCGTGGAGACAGTTCCACCTCTGCGAGCTTCTGGCCTCTGCGGGAGCAAGTGCTGGGTGTTGTAGGTAGGCAGAGGAAAGAAAGAGAGATAGCAAAAGAGCCTGAGGGAGCTGCAGAGTAGGACACAGTAAGAGAAAGGAGGAGACGGAGTGTTTTTGTCCTGCTGAGTGCTCACTTACGGGGCTCTCTCTCTCTCTCTCTCTCTCTCTCTCTCTCTCTCTCTCTCTCTTGCTCAGCTGTGGTTATGTCAGGAGCACACGTCACTCTCACAAAGAGGATTGGAGAATTAATGTAAAGTGGAGTAAACCTAGAAAGGGCACTTAAATACGCTCACTTCCTATATCCTTTAATTGTGGATGTGCCTAGGGGTTTGTGGATGGGTAGAGAAGAATTACACAACAACACAGAGGTTATTTCCAGCAGAGAATACTTGGCACTGGCTTCAAGTGGTCTAGTGTCAGAATGGAACGGCCCCAAATGGTGCAAAGCTTGCAATAAACCACAGCAGTGTCTTTACCTCACTTTTGAAAACAACATAATGAAACGGCAAGATATTCACTAACAGATATAGAACTGTGACTGCTTTTGCTCTTCGTCCTCAGACTCTTGTGAAGCTCATCTGCAGGTGACAGAGCACTGAAGTGTCTTAAGCACTCCGGCCATGGAAAATCCTCTTAACCGTTTAGAGAGGTTGCTACTGCTCGACTGCCCAATCAGCGTTAATAACAGTGAGCAAGAGCTGCCACAAGTTGGCTGCAGGCACTGAGGACCATGAAACTGTGTTTAGAGGAAAACCTGAAAGAGTTTGATTCATTGCTGGTGAACTTTATTCTTCTACGCCTCATTCCTCACATGGTTGTGGTAAAGATAATTTGTCTCATGTGGAAAGTGGTTTTCCCTAAATGAAGCGTGTCAAAGGCAGGCATATGACATGGAGGTCTTCGCCTATTTAGAAAGAGAGACAGAGTAAAAGAGCAAGAGACTGTGTAGGTATTAGTGTATGGTGTACTGCTCCCACAGCAGTGTGGAAGTGTGCTTTGTCAGCTGACTTCAGCACCAAATTCTGCAAGTAACTACAAGCACACTCATTAAACCTGAAAGGGAAGATGCATCATGTATAATTCTACTGTTTTTTTTTTAATGCTCTGTGAGAAGACAGTGTTTTATTACACATAAACTAATGATAAATGACCTGATGGCTAAATTCAAGAGCTTCTTTAATTCATAGTGGAACAGAATCAAATGGGATTTTCTTAAAGTTATGAGGCATATTTTATGCCTTTTGAGTTAAACAGGCTGTTTTTGTTACTCTGCATGTTAATGGCCTCTGCTCTGATTGGCTGCCTGTATTGTGTATCATTCAAAACAAAAAAAAAAAACATTCCTGGCTGAAACAATCTTATACCTTCAGTGTGAATGGACAAGTCTAAAAACTGTAAGCTGGATATGTGGATATATATAAATGCACTGGTTTATGACAAAAAGAATTCATTCAAAATTGTCTGTTTTGACAGTTTTCACACATGGACTCTATGGACTGGGGAGTGAATGGAATGTTCTGACACCATAGCAGTGTTCACATAACACATCAGACTCTTATTTCAAAATGATGAACATTTGGTTTTCCACAATATGGAATATGGGGACCAATTTTTCAAGATTTGTGATGGAATTTAATTTTTTAAATGTAAACAGTCAGTCATAGTGGTTTGATGTGAAATGGTTCACTAAAGAGAAACTTACCAAATTCAGATTTCTTTACAGTGCTGGTGACAGGAACCAGGGGTTGTGATGTCTGTAGACACAAATTTAGCCATTTTGTTTACAATTTAAAATGACTAGACACATGTCCTTTGAGGTTTTATTTTATGTAACGTTGATAAGGGTGGCACGGTGGCGCAGTGGGAAGCGACCAGGGTCCTTTCTTTGTGCATGTTCTCCCTGTATCTGCGTGTGAGTGTATGAATGTGTATGTCTGTCTGTCTGCCCTGCGATGGACTGGCGACTTGTCCAGGCTGTATCCTGCCTTCCACCTGATGACAACTGGGATAGGCTCCAGCATGACCCAGAAAGAGAAGCGGCTTAGAAGATGTGTGTAATGTTGATAAATAGTGAAAAGTACGTTTTCTTTGGGTACTGTTTTGCCTTACAGTGCCATATATAAACATGTAAGTATATCTCAGCCCAAAAGCTTATCTTAAAACTATTGTAAAATGCTGTTGCAGGAATTAGGCAGTGTATTAATAAAACACCTAATAACTTTCTGTGATGTATCTTTTAGAGGCATTAAACGCCTCTGACATCTGCTTCCTATCACCACCACTGTGAACTATTCTGATCTGGTAAGTTTGTCTACAGTGGATCAAAACATTCTGAATGACCTTGTTCACATCTTAACTGTTGCATAATGCAGAACTTTTGAAAAAAACAAAATCAGTGGAATTCCCCGTTTATATACCTATGATTGAAGTGTTTTAACAGTGATAGATGCCCAGACTAGGACAAACAAAATATGACCTGTTCGTGCACGCAATGTTTAAGCAGCCCAGAGAGTGGAGCGCAGATAAAGCAATACATCAGCTTGAAAAGGCACAGAAACTCTTTCACAGAAAGAACCTAAAAACATCATTATCATTCACACTGTGTAGTAATGCACAGGCTGTGTCACAAGCTCTCTGTGGGGTGATCGAGATGCTGCAGTTGGTTAAAACTGGACTCTAAGTGATTAAGTGCAGGTTCTGAAACGGGTGTGTGCAGAAAGACATTACTAACTCCTCACAGTAGGCCAGAAAATACACACACAATAGTAAGTAGTAAGTACAGTTACGTTTACACAGGCAATAGTAATTAATATTTTGGGGGTCTGTAATGTCTTTGCCCTGAATAAACCTCTGATTTGAATCACCTATGCAGACTTTTTATATATATTCTCCATATTAGTTTATTAACCTATACTCGTTTATATTTGGCTTTTTAATCGTATGAGTAATTATACCTTTAATGTCAAATCTTATTAGGCCCCACGGGACATTCATAATAAAATATTAAATATAATGTGCTCCGTGTGCAGCAGTATAGCGGACAGTACTGAGGCGGAACGTTGTTCTAGAGTACTGCTTCAACCCGGCGAGCCTATGGCGTTACACAGCTCGTCCAATGAATCTGATCACGCTGCGCTATAAGCCTCGTCTTCAGCCTGACACAGAGCGGGTCTGACCAAAAGTATATTTTGTCATGGTGACTGAGCGGGGCGTAAGACTAGCCTCTTTCGTGGAACCGAAATTGACGAAAATTAGCCGGGCGTGTTGGGTTAGCTCGCTTCGTGGACCACCCCCCAGGAAGCCATATGAGATTGAGCTGGTGTCTCCATCTAGTGGTCGTGTGTGGTGTTTGGGGATTTGTTGTAAACAATAACTAAAATATTTTACCCATTAACGTTAAAAGCACATTTAGTCCAATCAATATTCGTATAACCAAACTGTGAAAGCCTTTCAGGTACATTTTGAGTGTTGACCATGTACTAAATTTAATCCTTATTTTTTCCTGTTTATTATTGGAGACTGCGCCTTTTCCGGAAACAGGTTTCCCTTCAGTGTATAATTTTAATCCCACTTCACACTGAATCCTTTTATTAATGGCCAGTGTGTAAGAGTTCAGCAGTATTTACTGCTGTGTCAGCTTCCTCATACTGAGAAACCACACAGTGAAACGATGGTGGGCATGCAAGTTTCATTTCCAGGAGAAAACATGCTTATTCTGATTCGTTCCCTGTCTGTGGCAGTACAGTACCATTTTCTCAAACTCATCCTTTCTCACTCTGTTTCAAAGTTTTAGGTTTTTAGGCCTACAGTTTTAACATTCTTAGCAGCTCTTACAGGGACACGAGAAGGTGTTTTAAGGTGTTTTGACGCTTTAAACACAATGTGTCATACTGCACTACAATGAGGTGCGAGACGACAACATACACCCATAACTGACCCCTCAGACCGCTGATGCTCTGATCGTCTTTATGCAAATGAGCTGAGCGGCGACCAATCAGATTGTTGTTATGTGACGCGGCAACCGGTTGCGTCACGGCCACGGTCACATTGTGAGTTTTACCACTGAAACTTTCGCCGAGCGGGAGACATAACGGTTGATAAAACGTTGTTATTACGTTAGATACTTTTAAACAGTATTAAGCTGCTGTGGTGTTCACCACTGGCCTCTATCTCTACATACACTTTGTTTTTTTGAACCTCAGCCCGCCTGTGTTTCAGTGTCGCAGCTCACAGCGGCCAGCTGTGGTCGAGGGAAGTGATTCATTTCCCTGTGGTGAAAATACAGAGGTAAACGTGCAACTACTGCAGATTTTTAAAAACACATAAAGAAAGAAAGAGAAACTCCACTCTAAAACAAGCACACATGGGCATTTATTACTCTCTATTTAAAAGTTCAGATCTCTGTATTATTGTTGTTGTTGTCGTTGTTGTTTTAGCATTAGCAGTCCTATATAAATAAACTTTGACTTGACTTTGACTTAAATCAGCCCCCCTCAACACCCCCACGGTGTCCCTGAATCGTTACATCTTTTTTCCAGACGTTAAACGGTTAAATTGTTTTTTTCTTCCAGTCTTCGTCAGAGCGCGGAAATTCCCGGACATCACTAGGTTAGTGATCTGTCATGAAAGCGAAAGCGCTCATTCCCAGCCAGCCCACTTCTTCAGACTGAGGAACTAACGATACACTGGAACTGGAGGGACTCGAGCAGCTTCTTCAGTCTCTAAAACACGACAGCAGACTCTCTGGAGAAGGACAGTGTCGGTAAGAGCCGAGTTTCTCTCTCGTTGTGTCTTCGCTGTAAAAGTCGGTACGATAAGCTAACGAGCTCGTGTGTTTGTGTTGGCACTCTTCAGGTCTCGTGGCCTGGACTCGAGCATGCCTGCAGTCAGCCTGGTGAAGATGTACTTCCTAATCGGCACTGCCTTTGGTGTTCTGCTGGCTCTCTACGGTCTGGTTGACTCGGTCGGTGGTCTGATGTTTGTCCCCACTCGCCACCACACGGAGGTAGAGTGGGCGGTCAAAGACGCCCCCGCAGCTTCTCCGGGCAGGAGCACGGCTAAGAAACACATCGGACAGAGATGAACCTCCGGATTTCTTCTCCTCGCTGTTCCGCTATTGAAACCCGTGGGTCTCAGATCTACATTTGCACTGGATGAACAGGAAGAGCTGCGAGTCTTTACTGAACTGCTGCAGTGAGAGTCGCTGAGTGGAGCTGCAGGGTTTCAGCCTGTAAACAAACCTGTCTGTCCGAGGAAGACTGCCGTAAAGCTACCTGCTGGTCATCAGATAGCGACTTACCTACTTGATAGAAAGGCAAAAAACCGTGTTTTCGTAGTTACTGATTTTTAAACGCACACTAAGAGCCAGTGTTATTTTTTTTTTTATTTTTTGTAAAAAGTGTATAAAAAACCTGTTAAACTTGTAGAAGCTGTCATGTCTGAACTTAAGAATAGACATCACTCCTTGTGTTGGGTTTTGTTAGCTGTCTGTTGTACAGAATCGTTTAAATCTAAACAAAAAGATCATTGTTTTGTTTTATGTTCACAACATTAAAAGATTACGACTACATTACACTTACTGTATTTCAAAACATTTCATCTCAAAAGTGCTTTTAAATCGTAGAGAATTACAAGCTCTAATTTTGCTGCATGTGTGATTAACGCACTTAGACATGCAAGTCACTTTACATGTTGAAGGGGAATTCCACCAATTTTTCAAAACCTCTGCTCAGTTCAGTCATTAATAATGAAGTTACTCAGAGTGGTTTGTTTGAAATGCTCCACTGTGGAGAAACTTATCAACTTGGATTTCTTTACAGTGCTGGTGATAAGACCCAGGAAATCCTCCTGTTTTAAATGCAACAATGATTCTAAAATATAAGTAATTCTGGAAAAAAAAACATCAGTTTTATTGTGGAGTGTTTTGCCTCACAACGCCCTACATGTATCTCTTCGCCATGAGTGTATCTAAAAAGAATATTTAGTTTTAGTTATAGTTTTAAGCCAAAAAGCCTTTGAGGGAGCTTTTGCAGGCAATAAACTCTTCAGACACCTGGTTCCTATCAGAACTGCTGTGAACATTTCTGACTCACCAGATTTCTCTACAACAGAGCATTTCACTCCAAACAAACCTGGATGACTTTGTTTACATTTCAACAGTTGGCAGTTGGCAGAAGTTTTGAAAAACTAGTGGAATTCCCCTTAACTTTGGAAACAGTTAGGACATGGAGCAAGTACTGGTCTTGGCACAATGTTTCCAGAAAACAAGAATGTCTCGCCTGTTAAAAGCTGTTTTTTTCCATCATATACATTGTTTGGAGTGGGCTTTACACATACAAGAACTGTCAGTGCTAAATTACAGTTAATGCCACCTTTATTAGAGAAATAAAAATGTGCTTTGTATTATACATCAGCTGTTATTCTTTTCAGACACTCATATCCAAAATTGTTACAAATGGATATACAGCATTTTGGAATGAAACTCTTTAATTAAGAATGCCTCAGACTGAGAGGCTTTATGTGACTACCAGTGCAATAAAAAACTGTTGCTTCCTGATTAGTCAGCTGTGCTGTAGATCATTTCTTCAGAACTTCAGATTGCTCAACACAGGACTTAATTCCGCCCTCAGGATGCTGTTACACTTAGTCATTTGTAGATACGCTGGTACTTAAAATCACTTACAACAATATTTATGTGGGAGAAGTGAAAGCAATCAAAAGTACCTAGAGAGGAGTCTTATCCTAGCGACATCAAGTGCAGCTGTTACTTAAGAAAAAGAAACATTTGAAAGTATGACCAATGACTCAGACACATTCACCTTTAGCAAAAATATCTAGCAAGTGAATTACCAAAAGTGTGTTGAGACACATGTTATTAAAAACTCGTAGGACAAAGTTTGCCAAAGTTTTTCCAGTGGTTAGAGACTGACCAGAAAAGAAAAGGTATATATCTATATCTATATATATATATATATATATATATATATAAATATATATATATTACATATATATATATATTAAACCATAACATTAAAACCACCTTCTTGTTTCTACACTGTCCATTTTAACAGCTCCATTTACTATAGAAGCACTTTGTAGTTCTACAATTACAGACTGTAGTTCATCTGTTTCTCTGCATACATTATTAGCCCCCTTCCACCACAGAGCAGGTACTATTTGGGTGGTGGATCATTCGCAGCACTGCAGTAACACTGACGTGGTGGTGGTGTGTTAGTGTGTGTTGCGCTGGTCTGAGTGGATCAGACACAGCAGCGCTGCTGGAGTTATTAAACACCTCAGTGTCACTGCTGGACCCAGAATAGTCTTCCAACCAAAAACATCCAGCCAACAGCGTCCTGTGACCACTGATGAAGGACTTGAGGATGACCAACACAAACTGGGCAACAACAGTTTTAAAATCACCAAAAGGCATGTAGCAAACATGCTCGTTAAATGCACTCTAAAGAGGACCTCAATTAATGGCCTCTTTACAAACAGTAAAATTTAGCAGTTCCTGCTAAAGCCTGAGTAGACTGATAAACCAGTGTGACGAATTCAGCCATCTCTACCTTTTCTGTCCAGCCCTGTATAAATGTTACTAAACACACACGTTTTCTTGACAGTCAAGCACAGTAAGCGTTTCAGATGAGCGAGAATCTGACGTGGTATTAACGTCAGACAAACTCGCTGAAACTCTTCTGTAATGTCTGCTTTAGATAAGAAGACGATTGCCTCACGGAATAACGGTAGGACGAGCAAACCGCCTGATGGCATCTGTAGCCATCTCAAATTTGGGGACGTGGCAAGTCGCCGCCAATCAGAGAGTCTCTGAGCAGCGCGCACACTGCTACGCGACCGCCAATGGCTGTTAACCGCGGTGTCCGTTTTGAATTTTGATTGGATGGTCGAAAAAGAATGACCAATCAAAAAGCAGCGCGTGGAGCCTGCGTTGCATTTAACACCGCGAGGTCGTTTCATCCCGGTGTCGTCATGCTGAAGTGGACCAATGAGCGAGCAGCTCTACACACTCTGCGCTCTGATTGGGTGCCTGGTTTTCTCCTGTGCAGCGGACTCAGGGGTGTGTGGGACATCTTTGCCTGCTGTGGTCCGGATTTTCAACTTCGTAAGTATTCATGTCTACATTTGATCACATTGAGTTTTTGATAAATGTGTGGTGACGCTGACTGTTTAAACGTTTCTGAACTGATTCATCTCATGTTAAAATACTGGGTCACATAACGGTGTGCTAGCACTTGAATTAGCTGACTAGCTACTAACAGGCTAACCACTTTACGAGGACCTGTTCAGTTTATTCCTCTCGTTTAGTTTCAGTCTGAATATTTTCCTTTCGCGATCCGTTATGAGGTACATGTAATCCTGCCACGCCACGTTTGATGCTGTCCCTAAATGATAGACAGACTGATGACCCTTTCGTTTCTGCTGTTTGTACAAAGTGTAGTAAAAGCTATGTTGGCTAAGTTCCTCAGATCGGGACTTTAAAATGTATTATGTTTAGTCGTAATCACACCATGCGTTCTGGACAGGACGTGCATTGCCGTTAGGGGAATAAGTTATAGTCCAGTCTGCTGCAGCTTAAAGTTAGTCTTGTATTTGGCTGTTCTTTGGTATCTGTGTAACTTGTTACAAAGCTGAACACAAGGGCCTCCTCAGTTTAGCTGTAATTTGAGGTGTGATGCTGTTTTCCCATTCCCACTGTATAGAGCATTACAAAATGGGATGATCCATTCAAAACTGATGATTTATTTCCCCCTGGCTTGCAAAGTTATTACTCAAGACAGTAAGCAAGCTCTGCTGTCCAACTTTCCTCGACAGTTTGACATTTGACAAAAATGTGTGACTTTAGGTTTCAATCATAAAAAAATGCTATTTTATAATAATAATAACTATTAATAACTATTTTCCTTGAAGTCCACAGGCTACCCCAATTTGTGAGGGTGAGCAGTAGAACAAACAACTGTATTGATCTTTCCCCATGATTAAACATAAAGAAAAAAAAGGGTGAAGTTAGCTATTCCAACTGCAAGTTTTACCAAATGTTTTTGCAGTTTCTTGCAACCACTACCAGCAAGTAGTTGGGCTGAGAGGGCTGAGATGAAGTTTTCCTTTTACAAGTTAAATCTGACTCTGTGATCCGTATATCCAAAAAAAGAAACAGTACGTGTAAAGTTACCATTTTTGAGATACAAGGTTTTGCTCTGACGGTGAGAACATGTTTGTGCGTTGATCCTGATCACGTTTGTTACAGAGATCCAGTGATTAAGATGGAGGTCAGACCTCTGTTCATGTGCTTTGCGCTGTGCGTGGTCTACGCCACCAGCAAGCCCACAGAGAAGAAGGACCGTGTGCACCATGAGGCACCACTGAGCAGCAAGGAGCACAACGATGCTGAAAACTTTGACTATGACCATGACGCTTTCCTTGGAGAAGACGTGGCCAAATCCTTTGATGACCTAACCCCGGAAGAGAGCAAGGAGAGACTCGGGTAAGGAAGATTGGGAATTGTTGAGATGTTCGAGGTGATGGTCTAGAGATGTTCTGAGTAAAGCAGTGTGTATGTAAAATAGTGCTCTTTCACACGATGTGATGCCTTCTTTCTGTCTGGGTTCCTCAGCAAAATTGTGGATAAGATAGATGCTGATCAGGATGGCTTTGTGACAGAGGAAGAGCTTAAGGAATGGATTAAAAAAGCCCAGAAGAAGTACATCTATGACAACGTGGACAGACAGTGGAAGGATTTCGACATGAACAACGATGGCAAGATCTCTTGGGATGAGTACAAGAACGTCACATACGGCACCTACCTCGGTAAGTTTGAATATATGACATTTTTAGTGTTATGCTAGTTCTGAGAGGGCAGGATAAGTTTAACATTCTATAATTCTACATTAGGCTATTGTAAGTGCTATTTTAGTGGATGTGAATTATATACCCTCATAGATGACCCCGAGCCGGACGATGGCTACAACTACAAGCAGATGATGGCCAGAGATGAGCGACGTTTTAAGATGGCAGACAGAAATAGTGACAGTATTGCAGACAAAGAGGAGTTCACTGCTTTCCTTCATCCTGAGGAGTATGAACACATGAAAGAGATTGTGGTGCTGGTAGGTCTAACAGTCATTTAGTCCATAGTCTTTACAAGTCTGCGAAGTGATAATTCTGTAGTGAATTATGTTCTTCAATTCATGAAATTCGGAGCTCCTTCAGTAATAGCAGTCCTGTATGTATGAATCGACCTCACGGTCATTGGCACCTCTTTTATTGGTGACCGGGAAATGAGGCTGTCTGCTAAAATGGAGCTCTTGGCTACAGTTCCTGTATCCTTAATTTCAAAACAGGACTACTGTAATAAAAAACAATATAAGCTCATTCCAAGAAGAATGAAATTAAATATGTATCTCTTTCTCTCCCAAGGTACTTCAGTTTCTGTCTTGTTGGGTGACATTTGTTAAGTTGAATGAGCCCAATTCACTAGCCTAATGCTATTCTATTTGGTATTAACTGGGAGTGAGTTTTTTGTTGTTTGTTTGGATCTGTTTAATTCTAATCTTAATGCTAAAGAGAATGTCCAGGCTGTGACATTTCAACCCAGGCTACTTGTAATATGGGGAAATTACACACATACTTTATCTTACACAACCTGGCCAGTTGAATGCGTAACAAATTACATTCCCTGACCTCTTCTGGTAAAACTTATCCAGCTTGAATAGGGCTGTAGTTTCAAATGTCAGTTATCAGTATTAAGGCTGTAGTAGAATAGCTATATGCTGTTCTGTAAGGAGTTTGGAATGCTAATTTGCCTTCTGTTTACATTATTATAAACCTTCACTTATGCCTTCTTAACACCACTTTAACCAGTGCCCTTCATCTTTATTCTCATTAGGAAACAATGGAGGACATTGATAAGAATGGGGATGGATTTATTGATCTGGAAGAGTACATTGGTGAGTAGTGAGGTGTGTTGGTGGCTTTTTTAGCAAATGGTTTGTCAATGGCAGTAAACTGAAAAAACGACAGGCTCTCTCTTCTCTGTGAGTAACTGTAACATTGTTTATCTATTTCCTTGCATTCACTCGTGCTATATGAAGCCATATTTTAGACAAGAATGGATTTGTTAGCAATGTTAAAAACAGGAAGGCAAAGGGAAGGAAACCTAGGATGGGTGTATTGTCTTATTCACAACTCTCCATGCTTGTCTCTGAATGGTAGGTGATATGTACAACCATGAAGATGAAATGGATGAACCAGAATGGGTAGCTACAGAGCGCGAGCAGTTCTCTGAATTCAGAGACAAGAACAAGGACGGAAAGATGGACAAAGAGGAGACAATGGACTGGATCCTGCCTGCTGACTATGACCATGCTGAAGCCGAGGCCAAGCACCTGGTCTACGAGTCTGATTCCAACAAGGTGGGTTAAGACGGGTGGAAAAGCAAGTACAGTTTGTTTATTTATTTATTTATTTATTTTGTGTGTGTAAATACTGTACCTTTCTAATGTAGTCATTTCCACATACTTCATTTTCTTTCTATTGTTTTGCCAACTTTTAACTATTCATGTTCACTAAATGGGCTGCACTTTTTCTTTCAGGATGGCAAACTGACCAAAGAGGAAATAATCAACAAGTATGACTTGTTTGTGGGAAGTCAAGCCACTGACTTTGGTGAAGCATTAGTACGACATGATGAGTTTTAGATATTTTTTTTGTAGTTGAATAGCTAAGAACTTTTTAACTTGAGCTGGTAAGTAATATAATTTATTTTATATGGCATAATTTTTCAACACTAAAGCATCAGATAGCACAGAATAATACTGTTTGTTGTTTGTTGTGCACTCACATTTATACTTCCTTTTATTTTTTTTACATTTGTTTCTGGTTGTTGTTATTTTTGGAAATGGGAGATTTTGCTTCAGTCTTGGATTTATGGCTTCTATATTCCATAATTTCAATGTATTAACTACCATACATGTGTATACATGTTCATATTACAAAGAAGTAATATTGTATATTGATTTGTACTGTATAGAGGCACGACTGTCATAGGTGCACTCTGGGGCTGTTCACTGTTATTCTCCGAAAGCAGTGAGTGGAATTTTTGGAAAGTGTCCATGTCACACTAATGCTACAAAAGACCATGTTCAGGCTGTACTCATATGTATCTAATGATTTCCTCTACCATCTGCATCCTTGAATATTTCATGAGATGGCCCCTGTGTTATTCAGATATTTTCTCCTTGTTGCAATTCGTGCCTTTCATTCTGCTCACTTGGTATCCAGTTTGTAAAAAGGGAACTGGATATAACCCACCCTGTACTGTTCTGTTACTGTCACCCCTGAGGAAATGTATGGCAAGGTTGGTATTTGGATTAGCAACTGGTTCAATTTTTTGAGTTGAATCCAAAGATAATGTGTTCAGATAAACTCAGAGCTGCTGTAGAACCTTCACTAGCTTCTTACTTGAGTTTAGATTGTTAAAGGAGCCACAGAGACGAGTTGCATCCCTTGCTGCTTTTTTGGCTCATTCAGGCCCTGATTACGCTTATGTCCTATGAGCGTAATCACTGTATTTCATTTCAGTTCTGTATGTATTGTGGTTTCTCGCAAATGAGGAGTTTTTATATCCTGTATGAGCACCTAACATTTCAAATGATCTCTAAACTGTTTCTCAGTAAAACATCAATGAGTACACAGAATGATGGTTTGAATCCTTGTCTTATGCCTTCACCCATCCACTGTCTAAAGTAAACAGTGCATTCACATATTGGTACTGGTGTGTGTATATACAGTCATATGCATAAGTTTGGGCACTCCTGGTCAAATGAAATGTTGCGTTGATTATCTAAAGGAAGATAAGTTGGCGTCTTCTACAGAGAACACATGATAATCCACTAAGATTTTTACTGAATTTAACATATTGGGAACAAAATAAAACATAAAATGTCAGGAGGTAATATTCATTCTAAGTTTTGCATGAGATGTACTTATAAATGCGCAAGCTTCTTTGACTTTATAGTAGCTAACAGCACAGCGGCTTTTAGATTAATCCAGAACAACATAAAGGATCGATCCATGGGAATATCAGGTAGTACTGAGCTTTCTTGAAGGGAAGGCACCACCTGTTTTTCACTGCAGTAATTAACAGTAGGGTGTTATTTATCCCCCACACCTCACCACCAAATCAGCATGTGCCACTTCTTTTGGATGCTACTTGCTGAAACACATCTGTTTGAGTTATCACCTAAAACTGTACTGCGATGTAAACTGAGATTACTTTTTAGACCCTTGATGTTATTAAAGTGTCATTAGAAAGGCTTACGGAGAAAGATTGATGGAGAATATGTTGTGTATGGTTCTATATTGCACCAAGAAGGGTTCTTTTAATGTTACAAGCTTGAAAATCATGGATTTTCAAGTGTTTTTGAAAACACTAGCAGAAATCTAGAACCTTATACAACATATTCTCCTGGTTATTTGAGTGTTCATGGTTCAGTGTAGAACCATTGCTAAAGAACCATCCTTTTTAAGTGTATATTTTTGTATGTAAACTTTTTCCAAGCTCACTTTATCCCTTAGAATTAAGTAGGCTTTTTTGTTACTGTGGCTTTAAGACAGATATAAGATAAACTGTGTTCTGACTTGTTGTTCTGTATTGTGATTCATTCAAAAAGCACTCAGAGCTGAAACAATACTCAGAACTTCGATAAGGGCGTGGCTAAACTGCTGTAGGCTGAATTGGTGGATATATGTAAATGTTGTAACTACAGAAACAGTAGATTCAAAGCAGGGTTTCTTTGCAGCATGGATTCCATATATGGCTCATATGGACTTCGTAGTGAATGGCACGTTTTGAAATTAACATATTTTCAAACTCCTTTATTTCAAAAAAAAAAAGTGAGGGAAATGAAGTTTCCCAATGATATGGGCCCTTTAGTATGTTATTTGTAATGTTTTGCAGTACTGTGTAGTTCAGAATTACATCCCTCAGCCCCATCTATTCAACAGATGTATAGCTTTATATCTGTTCTATGTTTTCCTTCATCAATGTCCACTCAGTACAATACCCAGCAGGACTTACACAAATATGTCATTCCCAAAGTCACTGGGAATCCCTGTATTGCTCAACCAATCCTGACTGCTAGCCTAGCCACCACAGGCTAATAAATACTACCAAACTAGCATCAGTGCAGTGTTTATTTGTGCAGCTGATTTTGATTTAGTTTTAGTCGACGAAAACTAAAAACATTTTGATCTAGTTTTAAGTCAATTAAATGTCTAAAACATTTAGTCTAATTTTAGTCATTCATTTTTAAAGGTTTTACTGTTTTAGAGGTATTATTTATTTCTAACTTTTTGTAAACAATAACTTAAAATTTGTTGCATTACAAACATGTAACACACGTACTCTTTTACTTTATTGTACAATACTGAGTTCATTTGGAATCCAACAATGAGGCGTTTGGCGTCCAAAAAACAACATCCGGTTTATTTATTTTATTATTATATCATTTTTCGTCATAGTTTTCATTGACAAAAATAACGCTGCATCAGTGTAACTATTACCTGAGTTTTCAAACAACAGAGCTTTTTTCTTTATTAAAGACAATACAACAGAAGAATGTCAGAGAAAAGAAGCCAACCTGAGATGAGGTATGGAGATAAACAGGTTGCTATCTTGCTAACCTTAGCTTTTAGCTTGTTGTTCTCATCTGCCAGGTCATTTGCAAGAAGGTATTCAGTTTCCTAGCAGTAACATTAGTTATCTGGCTTCTAAAAACAGTCTGATCCCAAGAAGTATTCCCACGGCATTGGCTCAATGGACATCAAAATTTGTCATTGATTGAACATAGTATGGACCCTCTCTAACAAATATGCATTAAATAACAAAGTCAAAGAAGTAACATACAAAATCCTTCATAAATATTACCTCTGCAACAGTATAGTCTCAAAATATAACTTACAAGTAGAGAATATATGTAACTTTTGTGGTAATCTTCTTCTGTACTGTATTCATTCTAAGAATTTTTGATATGATGCAATGAAGGATATTGGACAAAAAATGAACATTATATTAAGAATAGATATATTTGATATTTTATTTTATTATAAAGGGCATTTGCTACTTGCTTAATCTGTTCATTCTACTTGGTAAATACTTTACCCATAAAATGAAATTTACAAAGAGAATCCCATCTTACACTGCATTTAAAAATGACTTTTACAATTATATCTCCTCAATCCAGTATATGTATTGTAAAAGAACAGCTAAACTAATGAACGTATTGAGAAAATACAACTTTGTTTGAAGACTTGTTACACCACCTCATGCAAGATGTGATATCTGCTTTTCAGTTTATGAATGTACTTTATTCTTTATATATATATATATATATATATATATATATATATAATCACTTTGCAAATAAAGACGCAGTCGCACGTGGGACGGCAAACGGTACCATGATGTTAGAAATTGAATATCATTCAAATACACAGACAGTAGATCAGTTCAGTCTTGGTTCAGAAAAGGGGATTTTATTCTGTGAGCATGTTTAATAAGCTAGTGAAGGAATTTCATGGTCATAGTGACAAATATGTCCTCAATTAAATTCACGATTAATTTTAATTGAAAGCTTATACAACTCATCCTCGCTTTCTTCTTGATCACTAACCTCCATCAGATCTGCTCCTTCAGCCCCCTCCCCCTCTCGCTCTCTTCCTGCGTTTAGTAATACATTCATTTAATTAAACTCAGATTCACAAGAGGGAAATGATGATCAATTAATCTAATTTTTTAACTCGTGAATATGTTCTCATTTACTGGCCTTCAACTGAGCTGTCTTCTCTTATCATCTACAAGTTGACGATTTGAGGGATATAAAACTGCGTTTTGATCAACACTATATGGTTTTTTACTGGCATTAACTTACTGTAAACAACAATTTTTGGTTGTACTGGTGTCAATGTTTCCGAATACTGAAGAGAAATATAGAAACAAAGAATATAAGCAGCTGTCAAAAGAAAAATAACGTTATTTTTTATCCCTGTCGCTCGTTCACTTTCAATATGAAGTGCAGTTTCTTCACACTGTTTAACTAGTTGGCCTGTCAGTCCGCTAATGGAGGTGTTAGCCTAACCGCTTTATTTAGCTAACGCTACCTCACGTGAACCCAAAGTCAACTAACACCCCACACTAACCCTCCACCACCACATCAGCGTCACTGCTCAGCTCAGAATGACCCACCCCCAAGTAATACCTGCTCTGTAGGGTCCTGATCGCTGAAGAGCAGGGTAAAAAGGGGGCTAACAAAGTGTGCAGAGAAACAGACGGACTACAGTCTGTAACTGTAGAACTACAAAGTGCACCTATATAGTAAGTGGAGCTGATAAAATGGACAATGAGTGTAGAAACAAGGAGGTGTACTTAATACCGTAGCTGGGGAGTGTATAAATGTAAGAAAAACGGTGTCTTGTACAGAAGACTGGTCTGACTTTGCCTAGGGAGGAAATGCAAGTCTCGTTCACCTCGTGATGAAGGCGTCACCTAGAGGACGTTTGGTGGAAATTTCCTGAAGAAATAAGGAGGAGTGTCCTCACTGTCCGTATCCTCAAAATAGACCCCACAAATGTGACTGTTTGTATTTGTAGTACTTTTATATCTTAAAAACTAATTTTCACGCGGCAGAATATGAGTGAATCTGATCTACCCCCTCTCTCTATCTTTCTCTCCCTCTCTCTCTGTAGAGAAGCTCACAGGTCGGAGTAACTTGAGTTCCATTCAGCTGTTTCCACCCGGACGGGTTAGTCGGGCTCTGTGTGTGAGAGTGTTTGAGATGGCGGTCAGATCGCCGAGCAGGAGGGCCGAGTGAATACCAGCCCGTGTGTCCGTCAGTGTTTCAGGAGCGCAGCGCCGTGTTGATCGTTTCTGTCCGCGCACAGCTTGTGGAGGGGCTGGGAGCAGCGCTGAGATGGACGGGGGGAAACCGAACCTGGCGCTGGTCTACCAGGCCGTTCAGGCGCTTTACCACGACCCGGACCCAGCCGGCAAGGAGCGGGCCTCGGTGTGGCTGGGAGAGCTGCAGAGATCGGTGGGTGAACGGGCCTCAACTCTACGGCTTTACACAAACATTTCAGCAGAAACACTGCGCCGAAAACTGACGGTGTACAGAGGAAAGGCTGGAGCTTTGCAGCTAATGATAGCAACGCCAGACTCCATTGTGGCACGAAGCCGAAGTCAGCTTCTTATTCAAAAATTTCCCGTTCCACCTTAAATGGTGCAACAGTTACATGCTGGCGCCTGAGGCCATTCTGAGGCGGCAGAATGTAACTGCTGCAACATTTAAGGTGGGACGGGAAGATTCGAACAAGAAACTGGCAAATAGGAAGCCAACTTCAGCCTCGTTATCGTGGCTAACTGCTACAGCGGTAGAGGTAGTTACAGTTTGCTTGTTTTTAAGTCATTCTGTCACATGTGGATTAGCTAACGCTACAAAACAGGGTGATTCGGTTTGGACTGTACGTGCTAGCAAAAACGCCCTGAAGCTGCGCTGGTTCTGTTAGCTGAGTAAGCTGGTTTAGCTTTAGTGAGTGCAGCTAGCGTTAGCAGAGCTGAGGCTAAAGCGCCGCCTGGCTCCGCGGTCTCGGTCCTGTTAGCAGGTTTGCTAAGCAAGCGCGCAGCGGCGATGTTGTGGAGACGGTGGGACATGAGGCATGACTGGCAAATCCGTTTAGAAAATATGGAAGTGTTTCAGGGTGAAAGTGTCTCCCGCCGAACTGCGGAAAGGCCTGGCGTGTTTGCGGGTTTAGCCGAGGAGCTGCCCTCGGTTTAAGGTTTCGGTTTCCGCCTCTGAGTCTCAGGGGCTACTTTGTTTGGTTCTGATAGTCCCACCTTGAGTGTATTTGAGCAGCAAAGTTAGCGTAGTCAGACTTAGGGGCAGCGTAAGGTTACACGTTCACTTTGCGTATTTCACGTTGTAGTTAACTGAAGTGAATTACAGCCCAGGTTGTTTACAGTTCCTCACGTTTGTTTGCAGTATTGAGCTGCAATGTTGCGTTTGGAAAATGCAGAATCACTTCATTATAGCTCTGTGTTAGAATGACTCATGAAGCTCATGAATGTAAAGTAGCGCATCTGTCCTGTAAGCATTGTTTTACAGGACAGTGTGAAGCTCCAAAGCCATTCTCTCACTGATGTCTGTGGTACAGGGGTCGAGTGTGACTGACCACTGGCTATCATGCCATGTAATGAAAGGGAAGAGAAGGAGAAGTGGCCTGTATCTGTATACCTGCATATAGCCTGACATCATTCAAATGACCTGTCTTTGTGCTGTTTGCATCAGGGGTGTCGTTTATCTCCAGCACTAGCACAACAGTCCCTTTGTTATTGTTTTTGTTTTTTTCTGAAATGCAAATCATCAGGTTTGGAGCCACAGTGTTTCACAGTAACACAGCGAAGGTTGCCTACAGAAATAAGTCTAGTTCCATGACAGTGCGATAACGATCTTGTTTTTTTTATTGAGGAGGTGGCCTTTACAGGACATACGAAATTGCTTACAAGAAAACTCCATAGTTCTGTTATTTATAAGCAGAGAATAAAACGAAGCACTGGTTACACCCACCCTTCCATCACTAGTACCACCTGAAACACTACTGGCTTAGAGATGCATTAAGATTGAAGATTGAGGTCTTTCCAGGGGAAGCTACGTTAATGATGTCCCTTTACGTTTAATGACAATTCTCAACACTTTTGTCTGTGTCTTGAAAAGTTGACCTGCAAACATGATCTTGGTGTGTTCAGTGTTTTAACTTATTTGGGCTCCTCCTAGCCATAGTTTTGTTTTAAATTGCTGCAAGAAAGGAATCGAGTGAGAATATTTACTTCCTGCAAGTATTTTTCTTAGCTGCTAGTCTCTGATTGTGTTATCAGATGTGGCTTCTATGAATCATCCCTCAGATGATTTGCTTTCTATCACCCATACAGATGCATGCGTGGGAGATATCAGACCAGCTCCTGCAGCTGAAGCAGGATGTGGAGTCCTGTTACTTTGCAGCTCAGACCATGAAGATGAAGATCCAGACGTCGTTCTATGAGCTTCCTCAGGAGACGCACATCGCCCTGCGCGACTCGCTGCTCTCCCACATCCAGAACCTCAAAGACCTCTCGCCCATCATCGTCACACAGGTAACCCGCCTTCTGCAGTTTACACGTCTTTGTCATCCAGAAATGTGTGGAGAGATTAGACTCTCAGATTGACAAAATATTTTGCAATTCTATTGCTATATGCTGTGATTGTGATAAGCCTTGTGATACATTAACAACCCACTGATCCCTTGACGTGATGTGATTAAAGACTGGCTTGCGTAATTTCAAACAGAAGTATTTGTTGATTAATGGGAATCCCTTTGTTCAACCAAACAACCACAGAAACCCATCAGGGAACGTCTGTGATTGGTTAAAATGCACACAACCCATAATAAACAAATTTGTGATTGCGAGAGAGTTCTCGTTTGCATATTGCAGTCTGTTATGTCAGTATTGCAGTACGATTAACAAACAATATATTTGGCAACCCTACTGGCCGGAGTTCTCATCTATTTAAGTAATGAAAGCACAGGTTTTAATTTGTGTGCTGTATTGCCCAAAATGTGATGTTCAGTCTGCTGTCAGCAGACTTCTTTTGGCAGCACAATGCTACATCTTGGTGCCTCAGCCTTTCCTCTTAATCTTGTTCTTGTTCTCCCAGCTTGCCCTGGCAATTGCTGATCTTGCCCTTCAGATGGCCTCATGGAAGGGCTGTGTCCACACCCTCATAGAAAAGTAAGACTTCACTTGAAAACTTGTTGATTGTGACTCCTGAGGTGTTGGTGGTTGACAGTTTAAAGCAGCTAGACATAGAAAAGCAGTCTGGCATATTGTTTTTTTCTTTACTACTAAGTCTTGAAAACCATGACTGACTTTGGTCAAACCATTTTCACAGTAATTGTGGTCCTGTTGCAGTGTGATAAGTGCCTATCAAAGAGTGACCAAAGTGAGATTTGTGGTGTCCAAATTCCAGTTGTCACCCTTTATTTACACAGCAGCCCAATCGTTCTTTTTTGTCTCCCAACCTCGACCCAGGTACAGTAACGATGTGACCTCGATGCCTTTCCTGATTGAGATCCTCACAGTCCTGCCAGAGGAAGTGCATAGTCGTTCTCTGAGGATCGGTGCAAACCGGCGAACAGAGATCATAGAAGACCTGGCCTACTACTCCACCACTGTGATCACTCTGCTGGTGAGCCTCACTCATTCTTTCTGAATTAATAAAGACAACAAACTATCACATTTATCCACCTTCCATTGCTGCACAGATTTAGTTTGGAAGGGTAGTAAAAGACTTCTCAAAAGCTTCTGTCGCTTTACTTTTAGCTGCAGTTGATTGAGCTGATGTTTATTCATGTTGCTTCCTGGCTGTGGTGTGCAAGTTACCGTTGGGTAATTTCACAAGCCCTGATGCTTAACCAAAGAAACACGTTTGGAACGGTCAATCCACTGGTCTCAAACCTCTTATTTATCTCTCTTTCTGTCTGGGAGACTTGATAAATGACAACTCTTAAGCATTAGAGCATTATAGTGAAAAGCATATCCAGGTCAGGTTTAATGCTGTTTTTTTGGTTTTGTTTTTGTCTTTTATTTATTTTTTAATCAGAATTAACTAGAGATATAGGTACAGAGGTATAGATAAACCCTAGATTGATTTTGGAAACAGTGTTCAATGTTATCTTCCGTCCCAGGTGGACAGCAAGCTGGCTGTCCTGAAAAGACGTTCTTCTGTCAAGATTTTTTTAAAAACATTTTTAAAATTAACTTTGAAGAAATACTTTTATTTAGAGTAATCCATTTTGTCTTAAGATAATAGTAATCATAATAACAAGAATAATAATCAAAGCAATAATAATAATAACAATAATAATAATAATAATTATTATTATTATTATTATGTATTGTCATTATTGCTTTGATTATTATTACTATTATTATTATTATTATTATTATTATTGTTGTTGTTATCATTATTATTATTATTATTATTATTATTATTGTTATCATTATTATTATTAAAGTGAATGCATTTATAATATTTACTAGTACATACTTTTGGTACTCGCTGATACCCAGTCCTATACCATACTGAGTAACCTTCTTAGAATGAAGTAGTTGTTAGAGTGTGAATGCAATTTACCTTAAAAATTAGATCATTAAAATGTAGCTGATTTTAAGTGAAGCGTATTAACTAGCTATGTTCCATTACTTGCCGTAAATCGAGTAGTGCTGCAGCGGAGAAGAGCAAGCTTTGTCAAAAAAGCGCTTCTGTACAGGTAAAATACGGTTTATGGTTTTGATCCTCATCTGTCTCCTTCAACAACAGTCTTTGTAGCATAACGACAGCAGGAATCACTTTTGAGGAGCTCGCTTGTGGAGTTTGTCTTGTTGAAGTGTTTTGTTTGGCTGATTGAGCTGTAGTTGAGTGTCCTCTAAATCCAGGCATACACCGTGCAATTTTAGACATCTTGTTCTTTGATGACTCACACCGTATGTTTGAACAGGCCGTCGTGTACAGACAAAGCCTACAATTTATATACACTGTACAAAGATGCTCAGTACGTGCTGCATTAAATGAAGGTCTGTCTGAGAACTATTTCAAATAAAGCTGTTTCATTCATAATGTGCTGTGCACCAAGTACTGAACAAACACACTGAAGAGCTTAGCAACAGCAGCTCGGCTAACTTTTACCACACTGTGAACTGAAACTAAATTGAGGTGGTGATGTACATAAGACAATGCAGCCTCTCTTCAGCGGTCGTCACCAACCCTGCTGCTGGAGTGCTACATTCCTGCGGAGTTTAGTTGTACCTGTATCCAATAAGCTGCCCTGACCCTTACTTAACTGTCATACATCTGATCCAGCCATTCAGGGACTTGTGAAGAGATTGATGAGTGCTCCAGGACCAGGGTTGGAGACCACTGCTCTACAGCCTATGTTGAAAAGACAGTTTAAAAAAAATCACCATATGAACATCTGCAATTCTGTTTTGTTTCCACATCCACTGGATCATTTGTCTCTGAAAACATCAGAACATCAGCTTGCCTGACCAGGCCTCTAAACGCTGCTTTTCCAACTTAGCATTGTGTTTACCCAGGGTAGTTAGGCAGTTGGTAATGTTAAACATGCCAAGATTGTTCCTTTTGTGGGTTATGAACAGGAATCGCTCCTACCAGTATGTTGGATATTTTGGCTGGTGATTTATTCAAATTTCTTCCTGGCTTTGGCAAGTGCTGTTGGGTAATTTCACAAGGCTCATTGCTACACCAAAATAGCACTTCTGAAACCGCACATCTGTTCTATTCAATTTAAGATTTTTTTGTTCTTTACAAAGATCAGTGCTCTGAACAGATGTGATGAGACAGCAGCAGTTCAGTGTCCAACACTATTGAATTAAATTAGCACTTTAAGGACAGTGTTTGAATACATCTGGTTTAATGTTTGGTTTGAAGTGAGTGGCTTTAAAAGGTCTGACAAACCCTCCATCATGAACCCAGATAGCCACTTTCTTTTGTCTTAACCTTTTCCTCTGTTTGCGAACAGATGTCGTGTGTGGAGAAGTCTGGGAGCGATGAGAAGATGCTGATTAAGGTGTTCCGCTGCCTTGGCAGCTGGTTTAATCTAGGCGTGCTGGACAGTAACTTCATGGCGAGTAATCAGCTGCTCATGGTGCTCTTCCAAGTGCTGGTGAGTTCTGCCTCCCATTTCAGTCACTGCAGACACAATCCTTTGTGTTCTAGCTCTGTGGATCTTGGGCAGAGTGCCACCATTTGAATGTGTGGAGTATGTGTACTAGATTCAATTATAACTCATGTTCTGACAGATACAGATACTTTTGAACATATAGTGTATCCAGACACCCCTGTAATTAGTAAATTCAGCTACTTTAAGGTGCTGCAAAGGGGGTAATTGGTCTCCGTTAATACCCTTAATTTCAGAATAATATGGTCTGTGTTAGAGGTCGTCAAATCTGGACCTTGAATCCACTTTCCCAGTCCTGGATTTTATAATCACTGATAGTTAACTGAGCTGCTAATGTGACTGATTGGCCAGCTAGTGTCATACCTACAAGTGATTACAAAATCCCAGACTGGAAACTGGGTTTAAGGTCCAGATTTGAACTGATCTGTATGGACAGACAGTTTTAAATGGTCATGTCCTGACTGATAGAGATACGAGAACAACTTGCGGTTGATACTGACTCAGCACTGATTTAATATTACTGTAAACCTACTTTCACAGTCCGAGGGCACAGTACAGAAGCTTGATATTATTTCAGTAGACAGTCAGATGTTTTATTGTGAGCTTATTCTGACCGTTTATATGGTGTTATTTTAAAAACTAATTTTGAACCTTGCCTGCCTTTCTGATTTTGTTTTTAGTTGATGTGTTCTGTCTTTTTAAGTCTATACCTCTTCTGCTTCTCTAATGGCAGCAAAGGGACGAGACCTCGACTAACCTACACGAGGCTGCGTCTGACTGTGTGTGTTCAGCACTATATGCCATCGAGAACGTGGACACACACATGCCTCTGGCTGTGCAGCTCTTCCAAGGAGTTCTGACGCTAGAAACAGCATACCACATGGCCGTGGCTCGAGAAGATCTCGACAAGTAAGATGAGATGTTGTGCATTCCGTATTCTCCTGTCTGCCTTCCTGTAGGCGGCTTGACAGACATGTCAGTCTCACAAACAATGCATGCTGTAGTATTTTTTATTATTTATTTATTTATTTTTAATTTTTCTTTCTTTTTCTTAATAGAAGCGTTTTGTTCCAAAGTGAATTATACACCACTTTAACAGATTTTGTTCTTTGCTTTCCATTAAACATTGGACTTTACAAAATATGTATTTATTTATTTTTAAATAAATTTTTGTTTTTGCGTACATATCTGCCACTACATTCTTACATACTCATGCATCCCTAGTAATATTTCTCGTTTCGTTTTTTCTCACCCATGCACACAGAGTATTGAACTACTGCCGCATCTTCACGGAGTTGTGTGAGACGTTTCTGGAAACTACAGTGAGGAGCCCTGGGCAAGGCATGGGAGACTTGCGCACCCTGGAGCTTCTGCTCATTTGTGCAGGACACCCCCAGTATGAGGTTAGTAACCTCCATCATATACACTTGCACACAGCCGGACAGTACTCTGTGTGTATGCTTAAGTATCTTGACCTTAATCTGGATAATATCACCTTTGGCAAGCCTCTACTACTGATATAAGCGCTTTTTCTTAGGACATTAAGGGCGCCGTTGTTACTTTTCTTCTTATGCAATAGCCTAATTGAACCTGTCCTGTTGTGCTGTTCAAACTATGTCTGAACTGTGTTATAAATGGGAAGTATTAGCAACCTCTCACGCATGTTGCCTCATCATTTTTTTTTTTCACACACATTATAAATAACTAGCTTTCTGAATGCTTTCAAATATACATTAAATCAGCTAACAATTATTTATTAAGTTCAGTTCACGCACTGTTAATTCAAGTATTGTTAAACCATGGTAGCGCGTTCATAGATTGGTTCTGGACATGTAATCACCATGTTAATTATTACTAGTTCACGCAAAATTTATGGGTTTGTTGTGCAGCCTTATTTGGTAAAATAAACTGTTTGAAAAGAACTAGTGTTAACGAAGGGCTTAGTAAAGACTAACGCTCAAACTTTAGTACAACCCAGTCGTTGAATGCTGTTTTATGTACTTGTTGTATGAGTGCAAATGCCGCTGAAATGACATTGTTCTTAATTTAAATTGTGTTGATAAGCTTATTGCAATTTTAACCCAGTTGTGCATTGAACTACTGTATGGCATCAATTCTCTCTGTGTGTTTCATTCTCTGTTAAGGTGGTTGAGATCTCCTTCAACTTCTGGTATCGTCTTGGCGAGCACCTGTATAAGACGAATGACCCAGCGCTGCATGGCGTCTTCAGGCCATATATCCAGAGACTGCTGCATAGCCTGGCCCGCCACTGCCAGCTGGACCCAGACCATGTGAGCAGTACTTCCTGTGTACACCAGGGCCCATTTTAAATTTAATTAATTATTTTTTTTTTTACATTGGAGACCAGGCTTACATACTGTTGTATTTTCTTTGTATTTTATTGTTTTTTTTGCACCTGGAGATCCACTTTCAGTGTTTGTGTAGTCATGTTTTATTTACCTCTGTAATATTTCAGCATGATCATTTTCCAACCTCTCTTCATATCTTTGAATTTAACAAGCTGTGTTTTTTGTTACTGTGCTTTCAGGACTGATATGTAATGATGTATGATCTCTCCTCTGCTTGGCTGCACTTAAACACTTCTATGAACTTAAGTGTGAATAGGGAATGTCAAACATACCTTTCACTCTTCAGTATGTATATGTCAGCCCGGTTTGCATTCAACGTTTCTGTGATGTTACAAGAACCAACTTTTCTTTTTGAATGAGGCACAATACAGTGCAGCCAGTCAGAATAGAGATAATTTGTGTTATTTCACTCTTAAAAGCACAGTGATAAAAACAGCCTGTTTCATTCTAAGGGTCAAAGAGAGGTTGGAAATCAGTCATGTAAAAATAATTATGACCTTTTTTGTGAGTGGATCTCGAGGGGAAAAAAAAAATAATAAAGTCAAATGTGGGAAATACATCCTTTAATAAAGTTTACATATGACATCAAACAATTTTGTTTCAGTACAGTGAAGAAATTTAGTTTTTCATGAAGTGGGCCCTTGATTAAACTGACTCATTTTTCTTGCTTAACCGGTTAATGGCATATTGTGTGGGCCCTGAGCAGAACAGCAAATGCAAACAGTTGTGTTTCATCTCGGTTGTGTGGTGTTTTTTTTAAATAAAGAGGTTAATGCATCATATCATAAAATAAGAACTTAAATTGTGTGTGTGTGCGCAGGAAGGAATTCCAGAAGACACTGATGACTTTGGAGAGTTCAGGATGAGGGTGTCCGATCTCGTTAAGGATGTTATTTTCCTTGTAGGCTCTATGGAGTGTTTCTCACAGGTACAGGCTTTTCATTAGAAAATTAAACCCATCTTGTCACAAATACACAAAACGTTTAACTCTTTGTGAATTTGCTTGTTTTCTGTTTGTTTCTTGTCCAGCTGTACTCTACTCTGAAAGAGGGGAACCCACCGTGGGAAGTGACGGAGGCTGTACTCTTCATCATGGCTTCAATTGCCAAGAGTGTAGATCCGTAAGTTGGCTTTTGAAAGTGGACTATTAAAAGATCCAACATCTTTATTTGTCTTTAGTCAAATTCTTATTTATATCTACAGTCAGTAAGTTTTTAAAAGGCAATATTTTTGGGGCCTGTTTTGTGAGTATAGATAGGTGAATAATACAGATTTCTATTTTGACCTTTTAAACGTCCTTTGAGCTGCAGGCAGGTTCAGGCTTCCATTTCTCACACCTATAACTTTAGGAATAACTTGTCCAGTTTGCATTGTTTTCCATGTAGTTGGAGATACTATAAAAATACTGTGACTTCTTCAAAGTGTTTATTTATCACACAGTGCGTAGTTCTGAAATGTTTCTCGCTCTGTGTGTAGTGAGAATAACCCTACTCTGACGGAGGTGCTGGAGCAGGTGGTGCTTCTGCCTCAGACAGTGCACATGGCCGTGCGCTACACCAGCATTGAACTGGTGGGAGAGATGAGTGAGGTGGTCGACCGCAATCCGCGCTTCTTGGGTGAGTTGCCACAATAATTGGGAGGCAGTTGTTACTATCCCAAACTACATCAGAGCTAAGCTTAGCTATCTCATAGTTTCTTGGGGTCAAGTGCTGGTCTAAAGAAAGCAATTTAGGTTAACTTAGTTGTAACGGTTAGTTAGGCTTCGAGCTACAACATTTGACCTGGCCCTTTACTCGGTAGTAGTAACATCCCTAGTGATGAGAATATAGGTGTGGTTCGCTCTGATCTGCTGGTCAGAGGGCACAGAAGTAGAAAATTGAACTTTCTGCACTTGTAACCACAGACAGCAGCACATATGCCTATGTGAGAGTCTGTGGCTGAACAACAAGAATGTAAATCACACAGTAACGTTTGTTTAGCCTGTTGCAACACTACAACACGCATTGCACAAGAGCACTTAATAAATTAATGAATGAACTTCACTCTGCTCCATTTCTCCAAAACACACGACACACACAAGGAACTGAGTTGTTTTTTTCTATTCTAACACAGCTTTTTATACAAAAAATAATAAATGAAGAGCTAAACATTAGAGCATGTTCACCGTGCAAAAAATAAGTTCCTAAACATTTATGCAGCCATCACTTTCCAAGCTTTATTCAGGCCTGAAATTTTGATCCGAACCCCAGTACATCTTGAGAATTAACTGTTTGTGTCTGACCTGACCTGAACCACATCGTGTTTTGAGTCCGATCCTGACAATAATAGTAGTCATTAGGTCACAGATACATTACATAAAAAAAATGCTGGAATACAATAATCACCTGTCTAAAATTATGTTTGAATAAACTTTTAACAAATTTATTCGAAATAATAGTGGTTTTAAACTTTTTTTTTTGTGCTGTTTGCTCACTATGTGGGCCTAATATAATGAGATTTTAACTTGTTTAATCCTGAAACTACTGCTACACATAGAACAGATCACACATAACAAAAATACTTTGGCCAAACAAATGAAACTTTCTTTTGCACTAATAAGTACTTTTCAGAGTTCACTGTTTGTCCTGTTTTCTCTTGAGTGAGGGCCTCATGGAGCTTAGTGCTTTGTGGGTGACTCCAGCATGCCTGTTAAAAACTAATGAAAGCAGGGGGGAAGGGGGCGGGGTCTGTTAAAAATGTCGGGGCAGACTGTGAGAACCTAAACATGAAATTTGAACCCGACTCAAATTTGACAAATGATGTCCAGGTTTGGATATTTCAAGCTCTAGTCACTGTATCGATATGTATATCACCATAAACTTATCCATGATATATTGCTGTATTGATATTTTGAACCCTGCCTAGACACTATTATTTCCACCTTTGAACATAACGGAACTTTTTAACATGTTGGGCATTATAATATTCTACGTTAATCCCACATCTGTTATATTAACCTTACATGGCACAGTTCTAGAAACACAGCTGTTGAGCTGCCCTGGTTGTTTAAATCCAGAGCAATTTTCATGACCTTTCCATCACATGGATTTGCGGCGGATCATAATTAGAAATTAAACATTAATTAAACAAAAAACATCTAGCAAATATTTAATAGTTAAAAGATACGGTAATGAACATTGCTTGGTCTCATTGCTGTCTGTTCTCAGATCCTGTGCTGAACTACCTGATGAAAGGGCTGCGGGAGAAGCCGCTGGCCTCTGTTGCTGCCAAGGCCATCCACAACATCTGCTCAGTGTGTAGAGACCACATGGCGCAGCACTTCCAGGGCCTGCTGGACATCGCCCGCTCACTAGACTCCTTTGCTCTGTCTACTGAAGCTGCCATCGGACTGCTCAAAGGTACAAGGCTCAGTTTTGTTTATGTACCATAAACGTTTAATCATATTGAATTGCCTTCATTCAAAGTGTTATCATTGTAAACATAATTTAAAGGGGAACTCTATTGTACAGAAATTTGCATAGCCAGATACTTACTTACAGTGGTATTAATAGGAACCAGGGGTCCCAGTATCTTGGGATATTGATATCAGCATAAATATAGCCTTTTTATTTACTGTTCAAAACATGGTTTTAAATGTAAATGTGATGTGACCCAAAGTTTTCTTTGGCGACTGTTTTGCCTTAAGTACTGCATGTGCTTCTCCGCTATGAATGAATTTTAAAAAATATGTCTTTGACTGAAACCTTTTCAAAACTATTGTAGAATGATGTCTCAGGCATCAGATAACATCCATAACTTTTTCATGTTATAACTTTAATTGAGGGAGCTTTTAGAGGCTTTAAACTCTTCATACGTCTGGTTCCCATCGCCACCATTGTGAACAATTCTGACTTCGTTTTTCTCCAACAGAACATTTCACATCAGGCAGGTAGCTGGCTTGAAAGCTACTTTCTTATGAGAATGGTGGAAACGCCCACCACTGTGTTTGAACCAAACTGATTTTGTCTTTGCATTATAACTCCATGTCCAAATGCAGTGCTTTTGGTATATGCGCTACCTGGATTATGAATGATCTGCTCCTGCATTGTTCTGTTCACAGCAGATAATGTAGTGTAATTGGCTTCTCTCAGGCACAGCGCTGGTGTTGGCACGGCTTCCTCTGGAGAAGATAGCGGAGTGTCTGAGTGATCTGTGCTCCGTGCAGGTTATGGCCCTGAAGAAGGTTTGTGTTGTGATTTTTGTAATTGTGTGCGGTTGAGTGGCTGATACAGTAAAGCTTTGTCTGACTGACTGTATTTGCTGCAATGCTGCTGTTCAGGTTTGAATAAGTGTGTGTGTGTGTGTGTGTGTGTGTGTGTGTGTGTACACGCAGCTGCTGGCTCAGGACTCCAGTAATGGAAAATCATCAGACCCCACAGTATGGCTGGACAGACTGGCAGTTATCTTCAGGTCAGGCTTGAACACCACTAATTTATCTACATTTACTAGCTTACTATCATTCTGCTGTATGTAAGGTAACAAGAGGCTGCAGCTAACTACACACCACAGTTATGAAAGAGAAAAACAAATAGCACAAAGTGTATGACACAGTAGACCACTGGACAGTCTGTTGTGCGATTTTACAACAACCAGTTATAGTCAATGTCTGAGTGATAACCAATCCATATGAGGTCAGGATCGGTGCTGATACTGTTCCAGTATGTCAGATCGGTGCAGCACTGGGGTTATTCTCACAAATATAAGAAATACAGGGAGCCAACTTGGGAAAAAAAATAAAAATGACAAAAACATATTGATTTCCTTGTTTTGCATATACAAACAATGATGCCTAGTTGAAGAATTCAAAATAAACTTCTATGTTTTTTTTGTTTTCATTCCACATAACATTTTATTTTGGTTCACATCATTGCAGTCAACATTGAAAACATTGGAGTGAAGAGATTCAGCGATTAAATCTATTAAAAACAAATTGTTATGATAAAATTAAATATTGGTAATGAGAAACACATGATGCATATATAGAAGAGTTGGTGTAAAAAAAAAAAAAAAGTAAATTAAAATGAAAAATGATCTCTACAAATGTTTTGCGGTGCTATTTAGAGCTCCAACTGATCTACTGTAGGATATGAATATTTGTTGTGTGATGCTTATGACACTCAAATGTTTATGAATGTGTTTTGAGGCAGCTTCATGACGGTGACCCACAGTGAGAGTTGCTGTCCTTAAATTACATGAATTGAGTCAGTGCAGTGCAGTTAGTATTTGGTACTGTTATCTGTTCCGAGAGCTGTTTATCTTTATGTTTATCATTTTTTATTTTTTTTCTCTTTATAGACACACAAATCCCATCGTAGAGAACGGACAGACACATCCCTGTCAGAAAGTCATCCAAGAGGTAAACTCATCTACCTCACAACTATTTTTGTCAGTATAGTAGTAGGGCTGGGCAATATGACAGTATATATCGATATCATGATACAATACAATATGCGTTTCTGAACACATCATGACTTGTAAAACACTGACCAACTTCATGTTTTGTCATAAAGTGGGCAAAATTAGTCCCATTTAGTGAAACACAGTATATCAAATATTGATTAAAAATCATTGTGTCCAGTTTTTTTTTCTGAAAGAATAAATGTAGTGACATTGTGTTTCGTGAACATTTATTAAAGTATTGCAGTATTATATTTTTGCCGTATCAATAGAAAAGTGATGTAAACTTTCACTCTCTCATCTTGCCTGATGACAATGTGGTTTCATTTCTCTCTTCCTTTGGGTCTGTATTTAGATCTGGCCTGTGTTGTCTGAGACGCTGAACACGCACCAGGCAGATAATCGAATTGTGGAGCGCTGCTGCCGCTGTTTGAGGTTTGCTGTGCGCTGCGTGGGGAAAGGCTCAGCCTCACTGCTGCAGCCACTTGTCACACAGGTAAGTGAATGGGTGTGTTTTTGCTGGGTCACAGTGTTTGCGCATACGTGTGTGTGTGTGTGTGTGTTTGTGTTTAACACTGTTCTGTGCTGTTTCAGATGGTGAATGTATATCAGGTCTACCCCCACTCCTGCTTCCTTTACCTGGGCAGTATTCTGGTGGATGAATATGGTATGGAGGAGGGCTGCAGACAAGGCCTGCTGGACATGCTACAGGTGCCACTTGCTCACACACAGTTTTTGTGTATGTATACAGTACTATGCAGAGAGCCACCTGAGAAAATACTATTCAAAATCTGTGAAATAAATTCTTATTTGCTTAGAGTGATGATTTTGTTGGAGTAAAAAGAAATAAACGTTAATATAATTGGGCTTAATCATTCCCAGACCCGTTCTTTAAACAAGGCCAGTATTTACACCGAGTAGTTTCCATCTAGTACCAGGCTTGACTAAACAATTACGTCTATAAGTTATTCTTCTTTAAGTGTACAAATGGTGGAATTGACTAAACCCTTACAGGGAATGTGCACGGGTACTCAAGTACTCAGTTAACCGTTCGAGATGCCAGTATTTGAATACTGAAATCACAATTCAGGTATTAATGTTTCATCACAGAAAGAAGGAGAAAATATACAGACTAACAATTCACTGAAACCCTGTTTTTGTGTTTTACATGTATTTGTGAGCAAGTACGTTATACTTTGCTGTTATGAAACGCCGGTGGCCGAACAAGAGCATGTTGCCAAGGATGCGTTGTTATGGCCGCGTCTAGGAGGGCAGTTAGCGCAGCTTCTATTGCTAAATATGCTTGGTATTTGGTCCAGAAGACGAGGAGTCCTCATTTGCATCCAGTGTTGTACCACTTAGGTGTAGTTTTTGCTCATTTAGCTCTGTAGTTTTAGCTAAAGCAGTCTATAAGGCAGTTTTCATTCAGTTACTCATCCAACATGAAAATTGCCCTCTGCTGTTTTTGAATAATAAAACATTTGAAAAATGTTATACTCAGGGTTATTATAGTTTAAAAATTTGCATTTGGTTTTTATTTAGTTTTTCATTTTGAATTTTGACTTTAGTTTTATTTAGTCTTCAGAGAACATTAATGGTTTTAGTTTTCTTTTCATTTTCAGGAAAAGTAAGCGTTTTAATGTAGTGGCTATTTAGTTTCAATTTTAGTTTTAGTAATTTGATGAACGCTGTGACAGTATATATTAGACACACAGAGCTCGGCTCAGCTACTGCTTACTCTAAAGAAAACACAGATGGCATCCACTCCTAGACTCTCATTCACACACTTAAAAAATGAAAGTTTTTTTTTCTCAGTAATTCTGTTTCATTTTAGTTAGTTTTACAGTGAACATTTGATTTAGTTTTGTGATTTTGAAAACAGTAGATACTACAGTAGTACTGTTACGTAAAGTAATAGTAAATAGCAGTTTTAGTTAACTATAATAACCATGGTCACGCTACATGTTTGTGCAACTCCAGGGCTGTCATAAATAATCAGCTAAAGTCTTGTTTATTAACCCAGGGGTACTGGAATATCAAAATGAGTAGAATGTACATCCCTAGTGTCTAGAGCTGCATCAGTCATAAGGAAACTATTTTACAAGATATCAGTGCGTTTTATGGTGTATTTACCAAAAGAAAAACAGAGTGCCGGTTAAGATGGGTCATAAACAGTTTTCTTGGCTTGCCTTGACTTGCATAGTACTGCATAACGATGCATATTTCCGTTGTTTAAAACCTCACAAGCTTTTATCTGATTCTGATGAGGCTGAGTCAGTGAGCTGTGATATAACATGAATTTGACTTTCACAGGCACTCTGTATGCCCACCTTCCAGCTGCTGGAGCAGCCCAATGGCCTGCGCAACCATCCTGACACTGTGGACGACCTGTTCAGACTTGTTACTAGGTACCATTTGTTTTTGATTGTTGGCCAAAATATCCACATTTAAACATTAAACGCAACAATAACATTGGTGGGTTTCCAATCAACCTTTTTTTTTCTTTTCTAGCAAATTTTGAACAGTGCATAAAGATATGATAAAAAAAAAAGCTCGATATTTGGAGGAAAAATACTTAAATAAGTTTAGATGAGGCAGAAAATTGGTTTGTTGATGGACAAATGAAGAGAGAGGAAAAAAAATAGAATAAGCGATGTCTTATCAGGAAATACAGTCATGCTTTGGAACTATGTCCTCTCAGAAGTGTTTGCCACTTCTGCAGCGTCTTGTACAAATTTTCTTCACCTGCTGACTTGTTTAGTGATATTGTAAAGTGATATTTAGTGGGATCATTTATTTATTTTTCATTTGTTGGATCTTTACTGAATACTGAAAAATATCTCCTGTGTCTCTTAGGTTTGTCCAGCGCAGTCCTGTCACGTTGCTGAGCAGCAGCATCATCATCCACATCATCCAGTGTGCCATTGCTGCCACAACCCTGGACCACCGAGATGCCAACTGCAGCGTTATGAAGTTTGTCAGAGACCTTATTCACACGGGTGTCTCCAATGACGTGAGTGGCCAGTTATCAGCAAAGACCTAATGAAAACTGGAAAAATCCTTCAGTCAGCCTGATCTTCAGTCACTATTCAGTACATCATTAATTATTGAGCAACAATATCATATTTTTAATGTACTTTTTCATATTCTCTCTCTCTCTCTCTCTCTCTCTCTCTCTCTCTCTCTCTCTCTCTCTCTCCCCCTCTCCCTCCCACAGCATGAGGATGACTTTGAGGTGCGCAAACGCCTGATTGGTCAAGCCATGGAGCAGCATGGGCAGCAGCTGGTCACTCAGCTCATACACAGTTGTTGTTTCTGTCTGCCTTCGTACACACTGCCTGATGTAGCTGAAGTTCTCTGGGAGATCATGGTCTTTGACCGACCGGTATGTTCTTTGTGAGGGAGCGCATAAATGCAAAATTAGACAAAAGTGAAAACAAGTTAACACATCCTCTACAGAGAACACAACGGAAGCCCTAAAGGGTCATGCATTCACTTTTGCAAATGTAAATCCACCCTTAACGTACTTTTATTTTTTTTTAAGTTATTCTCATTTTTCTTTAGATCTAGAGATATTTGTCATAACATAATGAATGTTATCTTGATAAAACAGTATACTTTATGTTGTGATACTAATATGAGTAGCTAGAGATCTTGAGAAAACAGTAAAACAATTGTTTTGCTGTGTTAATGACATGTTAATGAAATCACAAGATCTCGTGAAAACAAAAGAAAACTAATTTTCACAGACAGACAGTAAAATAAAAAACCTGCAAATCCATGTTTTGTTTCTTTAGGGCTTCCATAGAACACACTCATGCACATTTTAATTTATAATACTCAGAAAATAAACATTTAGTGTTTATTTGCTGAATTAAACATATCGGGGGGGTAAATAAAACAGAAAATGTGGCCTGTGCAAAAGTTTTTGCACATTTTCTGTTGAACGAAGATCGTGCACTAAAATTAGCAGAAAAATGTCACATTCAACAGCATCTTTACCATGTTTATCACGTTACTATGTTAATTTATTTTTATATTTTTCACCATTTTTAAAAGTGAAATATGTGTGGTGCCACTAGAGGTCACTGAAGTTTACCTTTTGGGGTCCCCTCCACTCCCTCTTCTCTCTCTGCTAGGATCACAATGCACAATTGCAAGAATTCGGCACTGGACTGCATAGTTGTCATGATTGACGCAAGATCTGTTTGTACAGAGTAATTAGACACATCTTCCTGAAAGCCTCTTGATGTTTCTCCTTCCTCCTATAGACATTTTGCCGCTGGCTAGAGGCTGCACTGAAGGGACTTCCCAAAGAAATGTCGGGTGGGGCTGTAACGGTCACTCATAAACAGCTCACAGACTTCCACAAGCAGGTCACAAGGTGAGTTTAGGCCCAGCCTCATCTGAGGGTGCCCATAAGCACAGATGCACTGACAGACTATTCATAAGGTTACTAATATGAGGTTCTTCCTTTTGTAGTTGAGGCAAGCAGTATTTTTATTTATTTATTTTTTTTTAATACACAGTTCATATATTACATTTTCTAAAAGGTGTGTCACTCATTTGGCCCTGGGCTCATGACAATGTAGTTACACATAGGTCCTAGAGCCAGCTGAGTGTTGCAAGAGTAGAGAAATACCACAGGTTACTTGTTCAGCTGAGCTCGCCCAGGGCAGGCTTCAGCAAGCAGAGCAGCATGGAACTGCCTGCGGCAGCTGGGCAAGTCTCAGCTTGGGCTAATAATGAGGATTTGGCCCCGACATACACACGCAGTGATCATACTTGATGCTGTACATACATTGACAAAGCACTATGACTCAGCCTCACAATACCAAAATGCAGATTACTCATCACGGAATGACAGTTGCGCAAAAATGTGATGTGCATGTGTGCATAACGTGAGCTTGTCTGGAAATCCACATTGCATTAACTGTTTTGTAAGCAGCATGCACTGCAGAGTACCACCTGGCTCACCCATTTAATGTTGTGAATGGTTTTGTCATCCCCTCTCCCTTGGGTCTGTCTGCAGCGCGGAGGAGTGTAAACAGGTATGCTGGGCGGTCAGAGAGTTCACCAGGCTTTACCGATAGCTGCGTTCACCCACTCGTGCTGCAACACCAGGTAAGAGAGGAAAACCTTGTCTAACAGTGCTCATGTCATAAGAGAGTTGTCTAGTAAAGCAATAAGCTGTAGGTGGTCGTTCACTTCAGTGGTCTTATCACTGTTAAAGGTATGTGATAAGATGAAGCGAATTTCAATAAATAGTGTAATTTATTACTAATAATCACAAGCAGTTCTCCACAAAGCTATGTAGTGTAACAGCAGGCTATGGTTACCAAGCAACATTAGTCAAAAGATATGTTCGGACTGCAGATCAAAGCCACCTAGATTCGTTTTACTGGCCAAATCTGATTTTGTCGTTTGGTTGTCGATCGATCGATCAGTTGTGTGACCGATAGCTGATATCAGTCTGAACAGGCCGCGCTCCTAAACAGATCTGCATGTGCAAAAGCACACCTATCCATCCAGAACGCTCATCCAGCAACCACCGTCATCCTCTGTGTTTCCTTAAGATTAATGGACCCTTCACACAACACCAACACCAAACTGAGCTGTGAGGCTGTCACCTTTAAACTTACAGGCCAACAGTGGACACTAAAGTGACCACGCTGACTGAAGTTTACTAAAAGGATTAAAAATATTGAAGTTCTGTGCTGCTTGAGCTGGATTAGGGCTGGGCGATAAAACGATAAAGATAAGTATCGCGATATAACTTTTCCTCGATAGAGCGATAAGACAGGTTCGATAAATGTTCGATATAATACACCTCACACTTCCACGTTTTACCGAAAGCCCTGGTGGCGTTTTCTACTGCAAGGAAAGCGACACTACTCTGCTGTTGCCAGGAGAGGGCGCACTTCCGAATTTTTCGACTTGATTAGAGAGGGAGGGGGCCACGAGTAAAAAAAGGGTCACCAAATATACTTTAGCAACGGCTGAAACGCGGAGTTATACAGTCCCTGTCTGAGTGGATGTTATCGGCGATCTGTTCTCCTGTGACCGAGTGTGAGTGACGAGGTCAGTGGTGTAACTGTACTGTCCTACAGTGAACTCACCTCTTTCCGTGCATCCTAACAAGCTTTAGCGGTGTTAAATCACGTCTGCAGCGCCGTGTTTCAGCGCCAAACCGTCATATTTTAGTATTAGTGCATTCTCGAGCAAGAAAAAAAGTGAAAGAAAGAAGTGGGTTCATGTTCGAAAGTAAACTGAGGAAGCTGTGAGGCATTGGAGAGCGGGAGAGTGCTGTCTTTCCAGGCAAGCTGATTTTAGCTGCTGGCTAACTTGAAGCAGCGCTCCGGCACAACACGGTGAATTGATGATACGGTAGATCAAACAAGACACAAAATCACCGCTTTCAGTTTAAACATACCTGAAAGGAGGACTCCGTTTGTCTGGTGTGAGAGATTCACACTGCAGATAATGCTTTTACACAGCGAACGTCAGATATATATTCACCCCTTAAACTACTACGATAGTATAGAGAAACCCAGTCGTCGCTGGCTGGTGTCTGAATACTGTAATATGCTCTGACATGGATGTGGTAGGAGTGACCTCAGTGACCTACCGAACCGAGTCGACGTTGTTGAGAAACTAAAGAGTTTAGCTCTGTTGTTGGCCACTTGTTTAGCATTTGTAACGGGATAGCCGAGCGCTCGACACCAGACAGCTAAAAATAATCTGTTTTCTTTCTTAAATCATGACTACTACAAAAATTGCAGCTGTGCATTTCAAGCTGATAAAAACAGCTCAGAAACTTTCTCCCACTCTTCCATGACAGATTAGTGAAATGTTCCACTGTTTGCCGAGTGTTTGTCATGATCGGACCATAAGTGATAGTTTAAAACCACAGTTAACCACCCAGGAGCAAAATCAGCCTTCAAACGTGAAAAAAATCATGATTTGACATTTATCACGATATGTATCGATATCGAACGATATGAATTTTGTTTATCGTGATAACATTTTTGGCCATATCGCCCAGCTCTAAGCTGGATTGACGTAAAACTCACATTTCAGACGTTTATCAGTTTTAAGTACCACACACGAAAGAGGCCCAAATTGGAATTGAAAACAGATTGTGTGTTTTTGCTGTTTACACTGTTGCACAAGAAACAAATCTGTCACATATGAAGAAAAAGATCAGATTTGGGCCACTTTTACCTGCAGTGTCAGCGTAAACAAAGAGTATTCCATGAACAGCACAATGTTTTTAATAATTTAATTGTTTTTCAACCTTTAAGGTTATAACAAAAACAAACATATATGTGCATTTATTTGCTACATAAGGAGCATGGTCTAATAAAGCTGAAAAAGAGAAGTTGATCTTTACTATGATAAAAAGCTCTTACCAATCTAAACTGCACTCTGAATGAGTTTGCGTGCTCACTCAGGAAAAAACTCACAGTGCATGTAGTCAAAAGGGTAGGTAGTGTTATCTACCCTTTTTCAGCTTTTATACAGTGATAGAAAACAGTAGCCCAAAGTAAGATGTGAGTCTGTTGGCTCCAGTCCGTGATTGATGAAATTGTGAAAATGTCTGCAAAAGGCGCTTACCTCATCTCAAATTTTACATAAGACAATGTCTAAGCTATTTCCAAGCCCAGTCAAAGTAAATTTTAAGGCAAAAGCAGCAAAATCAGGCGGCGTTAAAGACTTCAAACTAGCTGAGCTGATGCTAGAGACGATGGCGCTGACACCAGTAGCGACTCTCAAGCTGTCCTAAGCAAACTTGGTGAAATCAAGGACACACTGAAATTACAGTTAAGAGTCCCAAAAAACACCGAACAGAGGAATTTCTAACATTGAGGACAGAGCAGAAAACATGGGGAAATTGAATGAAATAAGCACAGTGGCAAGCCAGCTTTACCTCGCAGATGATAATATGGAATACCTGGAAAACTGCTCTAGACAACAAAATGTCAGCATTAATGGAGTACCAGAGGGGGCAAAAGGAAGGTGATGTGTTTCCAGACACTTGCTACTACAACTTTTCAGAGCAGCGAAAGTCAAAGCTCCCAGATCTCTGGAAATAGAATGTGCAGACCGGATCGGTCATAGATAATGAAGTTGGATTTGGGTAAAAAAAACAAAAAAACAAAACTGATTTCACTGTGCTTCTTTTTATGTTGACAGTAAGCAAACCAGTTCAGTCGTTACATTATTAATGACTTTAGAAACATTCAAAGCTGTAGCATGAACTGGAAAAATGGGAGGCTTTACCCCTTTCCAAAAATACATTTCCCAAGACATATGAAAATTATCCGTTTAAATGGCCGTCCAATGGTATGAAATGTCAAGGTTTGAGGGAAAAAATTGTCTGAAATCGGATCTGCTGCCCGAGCATATTAAAAACAAACTGGAATTATTGAATAAACTTCTTGCTGGTGCAACATTGATAAGATTATTTATATAAATGTAGAACTTTGTAATGCAGAATTCATTTGATCATGAAGTATAGACATGTATCACTAGCATTAGCTGATAGCATTAGTTAGCATTAGCTGATCAGATTTTTGAACCATAACTATGTAACTAACTACATACTACTATGATCATTTTGACCCTGCTAACATTTTTTCTTCTTCTTCCACTGCAGGTCAAATCTTTTGTTCATTGAGAGGTGACGGCAAAGGGGTCAAATTGACTGCTTTTGAGAAACTAAAGGGAACTCCTATAATGAAGGACGGGTGGGGAAAAACCACCAAGAGGCATCGCAAGCTTTGGAGTGATAGGGTCACAGGAAACGCCTTGAGGAAAGGAAAAGCCCATTCCCTCCCTTTGCCCCCCTCGCCGAGCCCACCATTACCATGGAAAGGTGCTTGGAGGGTAGCCTTCTTGCTGGGGGAAGAGTGTGAGGGGAAAAAAGTACACAACCGTCTTCAGAAAGACCATAAAACAAAAACCCAAAAAATAAAACAAGGATGTGCCTGGTTGCAAATCATAATGCACTGTAGAGAAAAAAAAGACTTGTATGTTTTTAAACAGAGAAATGGAGAGATTTATTTTCATGAACGTGTCTTTAGGAATCAGAACGCATGTTGCCGTCATGCCGTCAGAAACGAATAGCGAAGTGAGGATGCTCGCAGACAGTGGAAGTCTGTGCGAGCGGCAGACGAGGACGGCAGCGGAAGGGGAATGTTTGAAGATTTAGCGTCACCTTTGACCTTTTTAACGTTGGCTGGAGTTTTACCTTTATGAATTGCCAGATGAAGGTAAACCTATGAGATGGACTGGCAGTTGGATTTATATATATATTTTTTTGTTCTTCCACATTTTTGGCATTGCCTGTCCTAGAGAAGGGCAGATACCATCTGGAAGCGTGTAGCCATCTCAAGAACAATAAAAGCAAAACTGCAGTGAGGAGCAAACGCTGAGCCTCGTCTGAGCTTCATTTCGGTTTGTCTTGTAGAGTTAAGAGTGGAACTCATTCTTCCTCTCTCTTCTTGGCCTTGTCCCTTTCCGTTTCCTCCTCTCTCCCTCCCGTCTTTTTCTGTAACTGTCTCTGTCTCTCTGAACCTGTTTGACCAGCTTTTATTATGACAGAGCCGTTCTGGACACAGGCCATGCATTTGTGTGCCTCAGGGCTGTACGCTAACAATGTGTGGTTGATGTGGGGCTGATTTTTACTTGAACAGTTCACAGATTTAGTTACATAACATGCTAAATCCTGTATGGAAACTCAATACTAACTAGTATTCTATGAAGTGAAATGTCACAGAGCAGGTACTATTTGGGTGGTGGATCATGCTCAGCACTGCAGTAACACTGACGTGGTGGTGGTGTGTTAGTGTGTGCTGCGCTGGTACGAGTGGATCAGACACAGCAGTGCTGCTTGAGTTTTTAAACACCTCAGTGTCACTGCTGGACCCAGAATAGTCCACCAACCAAAAATATCCAGGCAACAGCGTCCTGTGGGCAGAGAATGATGACCACCCAAATAATACCTGCTCTGTGGGGGTCCTGAACAATGAAGAACAGGGGTAAAAGGGGGCTAACAAAGTATACAGAGAAACAGATGGACTACAGTCTGTAATTGTAGAACTACAAAGTGCACCTATATGGTAGGTGGAGCTGATAAAATGGACAGTGTGTGGAAACCTAATGAAATAGCTGTGAGTCAATACCTCTAGCATATATGAACTTTTGTCAGCACAGAACTTGGCCAAACTGCTAGTAAATAACAAACCCCTTACTGACCGAGGGAGAACTGTCCAGAATGTTGCATCTCTCATCAGTACACACCCACCATATACATTCCTTTTAAAGCTGCATTTGCTAATGCAACTTTTGGAGCACTGCCACTTACGGCACTCATCTCCCAGTTCAAGTTAGACAAGTTCACATTGATGTAGCCGGCACCAACAGTAGGGTCAAAGTGAAGCTCCATATAGAAATGCAGTCAGATCTGACCTTTTTTCATGTTAAAGTATGTGAATCAAGTGAGCTAAAAAAAACTCACTTATTACAAGCCTTTAATATCCTAATCACTATGTGTGAAGAGCCTCACAGTTCAGTCTTCTTTCCAATCTGAAATGTACCGTTTGTAGCTGTTTAGAAAAAGAGCAAGTAACCTTTGCAAGGTCAACATTTGGCTAATAATCAACCTATCCATGCCCCGCCCACAAACATGGGCCGTCAAAGCTGCTGCTACCAGGTGTACAAGCTTTATAGCCCATGTGTCAAAAACAAGGCCCACGGGCTGAATAGGACTGTCACAGGCCTGACTTGGCCCGTGGGCCTTGAGTTTGACATATGGGCTATAAAGCTTGAAGCTATTTTTACTAAGCTTTTTTTTAAAATGGCCCTTTTAGTGGTTGAGTCTGACACCCCTGCTTTATAGAAAGCTGGCAAAAAACCCATTCAGCCTAATGAGGAACTGGAGGGATTCTTAGAGTACAGTGCGACATTTCACATGAATACAATATAATATCTGAAATCAGTAACACACTGAGGAAAACCAGAGTTGAGCTTCCTCATTAGGTTGAAAGTCATTTTCCCCCTAGCAAAAGTAGCTGAATTAGTGGGTGGAGCATGGATAAGTAAATTTTGGCTGATGCATAGTCATTCATCATCCTCATGTCCATATTTAGAAACTCCGATTCAAAGCAGTTTTTCTCTATGGGAATAATGAATGCTGTTTTTGACAATCAGCAGTACCACGTCCTGCGGTAAACTAAATTGTTCCACACCCAAATGTCACCAGATCCTCTGGATTATGAGTGTATTTAGCATTCGAAATAAAAATAATGCTATAAAAATGCTAAAAGTCTGTTATTAAACTTCCATACTCTTAATGTAGCACCAGCTACTCAAACTACAGGCTACTACTGCCAAAGCAAAAAGGTGCAGTGTGTAAGATTTAGGGGGATCTATTAGCAAAAAATGGAATATAGTATACAAAACCATGTTTTCATTCGTGTATAATTATCTGTAACTATGAATCATTGTGTTTTCATTAGCTCAGAATGAGCCCTTCATATCTACATAGAGAGCGGGTTCTTTTCCAGCAGTTGCGTGGTTTCTACAGTAGCCCAGAACAGACCAATCAAATGCTGACTCTACAGATTGCCTTTCATGGTATAAAACTGAAGAATCAGTAGGTTCTGCAGGTGCTGGCTAACTAAAGAAGGGGGTAAATTCTCGACCTCTAAGAAGTGAAAACCTGATGGCCACCGTAGGTTCTACTACATGCTTGGACAGGGAGGAGGGATGGAGTGGGTATTCCGTTGATTGCAATCTGCACCATCACCCCTACATGCCACTAAATGTTACACACTGCACTTTTAACTGCCATTGAAGGAGGCCTCCAATTTTTCAACATTTCTGTATAACTAAACAGTAAAGATGTAAACAAAGCACTTCAGAGTGGTTTGATGTGGAATGTGGCGTTCTAGATAAACTCAGATAACATCAGAATTGGTCACAGAAGTGGTGATAGGAATCAGATATCTGAAGCGCTCAGTGCCTCTAAAAGCTCCCTCACAGAAATTCATTACACAAAACCTTACAAACACCTTCTTTTACGATGCTTTTGGCCTAAAATATATTTTTAACTGCCACCATTTTACCAGGTAAAATAACGAATAATGTTCATTGTCACTGTTACATATAAAAACTAAGAGGATGTGTTCACTGGTCATTTTGGATAGTAAATAAAATGGCTATGTTTGTGTTGTAGATAACAACCCCTGGTTCCTGTCACAGCCACTGTAAAGAAATCAGAGTAGAACAGTAAATTTCTCTACAGTTAACCATTTCACATCAAACTACTCTGACTTTTACATGTCAGTGATGGAATTGTCCAGAAATTTTGAAAAATCAGTGGGATTCCACTTTTAACAAAGCTTGCTAGTTTGTGAACGGTGTGTTGGTGAAGTTCCGTGCTCAGCACTGTTTGTGTGCGTGTAGCTATATTCATATACTCTCAGGGTACTCAGTGTTCATATTTTGGTGGTTGGAGGAAACGATGTCTGTGTGCTACATTTTATTGGGTTTGGACATTTTTGTTTACCACAGGCACGACAGGAATGATGTGTGAGCTCTACTTGTGTAACCTGATTAACCTCCAGTCTAGTCAGGCAGTGGCTTCCTGCGTGAAAAACCTTTAAATACAGTGATTTCCCTGACCGTTTAAATATGCAGGGATTACTACAAGAACGCCCCTCCTTACAGAAATACCGTTCATTGTGTACAATGAAATCTTACACCTTGAAGTAAATCTGCGTACAAAACTGACTGCAGCACTTTGTAGCCTCTGCAAACTGGAGGCCGCTGACGCAGCTAAGCCTTCTCTCTAGTGGTCTAGCAGATGAAGCCACAGATCCGGAGGAAAACCTATTCTCGATTCTCAAAAATGACAATTCCAGTCAATTGTAAGGTGATAATATACTAAATTTAATGGAAACTATGTTACTTTATCATTGTATGATATTAACACATGGCTTTCTTTAGAGTCCACATTTGCATGAGATGCACGATAAGCTTATTTCAAACTTGTACAACTGTGGTAATAGTGTATGTTCAGGTTATGTTCCTCTATACATTCAGGTGAATGGTTCAAGACGTTTCTAGGCAAAACACATTCACTGAGGGGAAAAAAAAAAAACAACATTAGAAAGCAAAGGAATAACTGAATTACCAAGGAGCATCAGCTGAATGATGCCTACATCTAAAATACTGCTATGGTATTTATTGAAATACAGTGTTAAAAGAAACAAATTTAAGCACAAAAACATTTACATACATTTCAAATTAGGTTAAAACAAAAGGGCTTTTTTGCAGGAGCGTTCAGTGATGCACGATATATGGGTCCTCTGGTTCTCAAAGAAACCTGGTGCTAGAAGGCTTTTGTAGGAGAAATAACTCTAGCACTTGCCACTGTTATTGAGGCCAAGTCTAGGCCTAAAATCACATGGAAACAAGCCCTGATAGTCCAAATGGACATGTTAGTGAGGGTTCATTGTGTTTTTTTCTTTTAATGCAGTACTACATGCATCTACACCATGTGATCAAAGACTTGAAGGACCATGGACAAAAGCTCATACCAAGTACTGATTAATCACCATATTACTTCGGCACTGACCAAACTGAGCACCTTTTGATGGGAACGGTTGGAATACATGATGTAATACAATAAACGCAGACTATGCTACCTGCCCACTACCCCAGCTGCAGTGCATTATGGGCTCAAAACATTTCTACTATACTCCCTGAACAGCATCCATGGGAGCTACTTTCATACATCCAGAAATCAGAAATCTAGCAATCAAGCCCAGTTTCAAACCAAGTATAGTCATAAACGTACTAATGGGTTAAGTATGAGCATCTGTGCCACTTATTAGGCCAGCATTGTGTTGTGCACAAAATGAAGCTCATCCCAAAAGCACCCTTTACGCTAAATGCAAGGGCAGCTACATTCCTCCTCCACTGAGTGGTCCAGAGTGTTGCTGAGGTTGAGTTACTGGAGGTTTTGAGGCCATGTGCCCTGAGTGTGTTGATTCTGCAGCAGTCTGTGGAGCTCCTTAAACTGCTCCACAGTTTGGTCTTTCAGGTCGGGGTTGGAGATCTGCAGGCGGATGCTGTCTGTGGACCAGGAGAGCTCGCCCGAGAACATCTCGGTGAGGATCCTCGCTACCACAGGCACCACCTAGACAAAAGAGAAATACAGAGTTTCTGTATTTACTAGAGACATAAACTCAAAATCTAGGACGCTGCACTTCAGAACTGGAAAACGTCAGTATATAAAAATCTAATAATGAATGACAAGGTGACTTCACCCTGTGGAATCATCCGAAGTCAAGCATTTCCTGCACATTTCTGGTTTTCAGATTAAACCCGTTTAGTATTGTAGTGCGACTATCCTACCTCTAAACATAATTTTGGAAATCGAGATTCCCAGAATTAAGACTATCATATACTGTTAAAGGTGCCAAAATGGGTTTCTTGCAAAATGCCATAGAAAAACCTTTTAATGGATGGCTCTTTACACAACCATTTTTGTTAACGTTAGCATGAAGAACCTTTTCCAAGTTTAAAGAACCTCCATATGAGGTGATAAGAAGAACCCACACATAACCTGTAAGCTTTATATTATGTGAGAGTTAAAAAAAATGTTCTTTTCTTTAAATCTCCTTTCAAACAAGGTTCTTCGGAAACCAAAACTGGTTCTTCTATGGCATCAAAGAACCATTTGCAGCCCTTTATATATATATAAGAGTGTAAGTAAAGAAACCAACACTGAAATTTCTAGATTATTAGTCTGTGCAATTACTAGACGTTTTGTATGGATAAAGTAGAGTAAACATAATTAGCACACTAGACAAACACGAATGGCAACTTTGGGTTGTGTGTTCAGACAAGGTGTTACCACTACGTTTACCAAACAGCAGAAAGTGTGATCAAAGACAGCACTTACCAGATACGCTCAGGAAATGTGCTAAGCCTCATATATTCCCTCTAAAACCAAAGGCAAGCTGCCCTTCACCAGGGTTACTTTCACTAGATTTCACTTGATTAGTCAGATAATAAAAATAAAATGGTTCTGCCTTTAGCTTTTCTACTTCTGAAAGCAGCCTGCCATCATGTGAAAAAAATATGGCGGCAGCACTTAAAGCATCTGCAGTCCGGCCATTTCTGTAAAATATGTACCTGCAGCTGAAGAAAAACAGTGTAAACCCAGCCTTGGTCTCCACCCGATGAAAAAAAATCAACTGAGGACATTATTTCAGGCCTACTCACATAGCACATAGCTTCAGGTGCTTCTGAGCGTGGCAAGCGACTTCATGTCAACATAAGAAGTAAGGTTAATCATTACTGCCCGGTCACTGCATTATGATCGCGAAAATGACGCAGTCCATTTAGTAACAGGTGTGCTGCATTAAAAGCAGTGTTAACAATGCTATTCAGCAGATAAGCTCAGCAGCTATTCTCAATGACTGCTCTGATGAGTCATAGTCATTAATGTGGTCTGACAAACAGTCTTATTATTTTTTTTTTTTTGTGAACACGTATACAACAATCACAATGAACACACTGCACATAACATGCAGCCTGTTTCAACTGTTACAAAGCAGGAATTCTTGCACTTACAAGTGACCTTACAAGTTTAGTTAAAACCGCACACCTGGACAATGATGAGCTTCTTCTCTTTGGGCTTACGGTCAGGCCAGTCCTCCCCGAAGCAGAAGTAAATCTCAAAGGGAGGAGGGGTCGGCGCCTCCCCTTTCTGGTACAGGATCAGCCCTGTGAAGAACAAGAGCTATTCTGAGATCAGTAGTCCTTAAAGACACATTTTGTGTGAACTTTTATGTTTATGTTAAAAAAAGATATGTACAGTCGTATGCAAAAGTTTGAACAGGCCCAGGCAAATTATGTTTTGTTGATTTTCTACGTAAAAATAAGTTAACTATCCTCTCCAGGGAACAAGCGTAAATATAAAAATTCTTTGCAAAGTGTAGTGCACATTTAAACATATTGTAAATATAAATACGTAATATAAAATGTGCCACAACGTTGGCACAGGTCACATTCCCACTCCCCCCTTAAGGTAAACGAAGCAAATAAACAGTAATTGTGCATTAAAATGAGCAGAAGTGTGTTCTCTTTAAAGAATGTGTTACCTTATTTTCGCTTATCAAAGCAACAAAACATGTAAGTTGACCAGGAGTGTCCAAACTTTTGTATATGACAGCCATTTGCTATAAGGACTACTGAAAAAGTTCACAGTTAGATCGAAGGAGCGCCACTGAAAGATTAGTTATCAGATTCCCTGTAGAGCTGCACACTAGAAGCTCCACTCACCCTGCAGGAAATTGTTGAGGCTGAACACGTTGATCTTGCGCTCCCTCTCCATGGGGTTGGGTGGACCCCCTTCAGGCACCCCTGGCCCCGACCAGAACACTTTACACTGACACAGACGCACGGCGTAGATATCCTGCCCTCGGATCTCAAGGATCAGCCCCCTGTCCATCACGTCCAGCAGGTGTTCCGTGTAGAACCTCTGTTTCTCGTTCTGGATCTCGGCGGTTCCAGGAAAAAGCACCTGGTGGAGAGTGACGGGCCCAAACAGCTCCACCTGCTCCGGCGTTGGGGCCAAGTTGCCGTAATAGAGCCGACAGCCCTGGGGGTTACTGACCGTCAGAGAGCCGACTGACCGCCCCCGGTATTGGAACTTGATGTCAAGGTCAGTTACTACAACAGAAAGACAGAAGTGAAAATGCATAATAGAGAATTATTGATAAGGAACAGTGTTGAGGGAACACTGTACAAAGTAACATCACAGTAATGCAGTTACTTTTTCCTGTAACAGCAGCACAACAGGTTACAGTATAAATTCTTGTAATCACACTTCAGTTACTGTCTTTATGATTATGATACTTGTGTTACTCCTACAGTGCTCAGAAGCAGTCTTGGGATACTCTGAATACAATTTATCTTGTTTGTTTATTTTTTTTCCAGGATGAATTTATTATTTATTCATGTTTATCCATCACAAAAGCTACAACAACTAGCAATAATGACCACATTTACTACCTGAAATCCAAAATGATCCCAGTAATTACCTGAAAACTTAAATATGGCAAATAAAGGTACTGAAACACTTGTGGGATAAACATGAGGCGTTCCTTTCCTTTATGTAGATCAGCACTTGGTACTTTAATTAGGTCAGTATTTTGTTGCATGTTGCTTCTTTTGGAAGACAGTTATTGGCAGTTTTTAAACACATCCTGACTCTTTACATGATTTCAGTACATTTTTCACTCTAGATTTTGGAATTTTCTTTTCTCTCAGAGACAATAGTGTAATGTCACATTAATTCAACTCAATATTCAAGTTTTCTTAGTTTTCAAACTTTCTCCATCTTTCAGAATCTTAATGAAATTTAGAGCTATGTGTGTTGGACGGCACATTGGAGATGTCCGGTTTGAACATGTGTGCATTTGGTTTACTGTCTCAACATTTGTTTTTTTTTTAAGTAAAATGGGGGGTTAATGTTTTCTAGCTTGCTACTGCTCAGTTGGGGTATTGCATAAAGTATAAAGTATTGATTGACAAGTCATAATATAGCTTTAATATGGTGTTATGTTTTAAAAAAACACAAAAAAATAAAAAAAATAAAAAAATAATAGCTGTGTCCCAAAACTACTTCTGAGTACTGTGTATCTCTAAATGAGCAATTTTAATCCAGCGTAATGCATTTAATGTCATGCACGATCTTTGTATTTATTCTTCGTGCAGGTGTTCAACGTTGAACAGCCCCAGTTTTCATTCAGAAACAGCTCTGTAAGTGTTGTATTGTATTCATAAAGACTTTATTTTGAGTCAGTTGTTTTTGGAGCATTTCTACTGGTTAGTTTCTGTTTTTTCAACAATATTCATCTAGTATAACTGGCTGTGTTGAGATTAAAGGCAGGGATAGTGGCCGGCCCTTCAGATGATCCTTACTGTGACGGGCTTTTTCTTTTCAAATAAAATGACTGGATACTGGGTTTTCTCTTCCAGTTGGTACAGATTTGTGTGGGTTTCTGACAGAAGTAGTGAGTAGTGAAATTTCTTTTTTCCAGTAAGTACAGTAATCCAATTGTAATTTAAGAAAAGTAATTTGTAACAGATTTTGAGTAACTACCCAAACACTGATAATGAAAAGCATTAAACATCAACGGCAACATCCAGGCATTATTACTTGTTAAATACCTTGAAGTCTTGTCAAATCTTTCAACAGTGCTATATGGACCATTCTACAGAATTAGTTCCAACTGTGGTCCCACAGTTAAAAAGCTATTTATAAAAACCAGTTAAGTACTCAGACCTCTGAATTTTACAACAATTCTGTTTTAATCTATTTAAACTCAATGCATTAAAAGAGATATTAATAAGTTAAATGTATACAAAATTATCATTTACAAGTTACTTTCTATGGGGAGGCGTCTGTCCCAAACGCTGATCCCTAAATCTCAACTTTTTGATCCCTTTTAAAGTCCCCATTTTCATATCACTACCAGAACACAAACAGTTTTAGTCTATAAGTGGAGCCTTATTTTAGCCACACCCCTGCATTTTAGAGCAGGACGTGAGTCTGCATCCCTGTCCCTCATGGCCACATGGTGAGCAGTTAGATCTCACTGAGAAATCAGTGTGTAACATTACGAATTGTCACTACCGAAACATATTTTCTGCAATTAAGTAAACTTTAAAATATTATGATTTTAGGTGTGTACAACTGTTCAAAGCTGTGTTTGCTAGTCATGTACTAGCTAGTGTTTTAGCTAATGTTGAGCAGAACTCAAAGTGTCATTACCGAAACAGTCACTACCGAAACACTGGCGCCGTTTTGATAGTGTTATGATTGTTTTGGTAGTGGCAAAATGGCATGCTTTTTTATTTTTTATAAAATAAACATTAAGTATGAGGTCACTTGAAGCACAAGGATTCGTCTAACAAGGTCAGTTAAAAGTCCCAAATGTAATTTCAACTCTGACTATATGTGTTCAATAATCTCTTACAGTTAAGTCAGTGAGTCTAGTGTTTAAAATAAAGAACACTTTTTAGCCCCAATGATTAGACCATAACTGATAATCAAATCAGCTTGAAATGTGACCTAAAACAACACATTATTTCCAATGAGATTTCTCATGCAGTAATACTACACAGCACACTTATAAGAATACTAATGAGTCAGTCTGGAACACCTCAACAGCAAAACAAACACCTTAAACTAATTGTTAAAATAATGGACTGATGAACTGCGGTGAAGAACGGTTGACATGTCACAATAGTTTCACTCAGGTAAGTGATGATGTACACGTCTAGTGGCAAGTCCATTAATGTCAATAACAGGGAATAAAGTAGTTACTCAGGTATGTCTGCACTCTAGACGTTCTGTTTCATACAAACAATACAGCATTAAGAGATCCTACTAAAGCACCTGCAATTCTAACCTACTATTACACAGAGTTGCCTCAAGGTAATAGAAATTTTGGGCTCTTAGAACTGAATAAAACACATTTAGCTTTGAAGAAGGGACTCATAGCGAAGGTACGCTATTAAACAGCTAGTCACATGAGCTTTCACTCAACACCAGCTCTTTAAAGACTGTCTCAGTTCTATGGTATTTGCTTTATCTAGGCTATAACATATAAAATGTAGCATGCTAGATACGTCATATACAGTACATACTATTATTCTGTGGTACAGCTGTATGCAAAGGTTTGAACACCATCAGCCAAATAACATGTTTTGCTGATTTTCTAAGTGAAAATACTTGCAAATCCTCTACAGAGAACACAATTCTACACATTTTAATGCACAATTACTGTTTATTTGCTGAATTTAACATTTTTATCCCCATAAAACATTTTATATTTTATTTTTTTCTAAAAAGTTAAACACAGCAAATACAAACTGTGCCCTAACATCTGCAGAAAATGTGTGTTCTCTGTAGAGGAGGTGTTTTTTAAAAAAAATAAATAAATAAAATGACTTACACACTGACGTGTTAAGTAGCTATAGCAGCATCCAGAATGTGCATGTGCCACAAGAACTGTTCTTTCATCTAATCAGACTGTGATCACATTCAGGTTAGCAACAAAGAGAAAGATGCATTGCTTACAGGGCAACATATGAGGACTGCTCAGCAGGTCAGAGATGCAGGGCTGGACCTGGCTCTCCGCTTGGGGTGGCACCTCTTGCATAGGACTGTCCACTATGGCCCCTGGGATGCTGACTGCATGGGGGACAGCAGATGGCGGTATGACTCCAGTACCCATCCCAAGTCCATTAGGGAGACCATCCCCAAGTATATATTCCTCCTGTTTTACAGTAGGAGCTAAATGGCCATGTCCAGGGAATTCAGGAGGTATGATAGGTTGGAGAAACGGATCCACAGGGTTGGGTTGGAACGCTGGGTAGCTTGGAGGTTCGGCGATTCGAGGGTCTGTCACAGGAAACAGACAGTCAACCGGTGCAAAAATACAAAGGATGACACAAAAATAACAAAAGCATGCTCTAATTTTACTCTCCAAACACAGTTATTTATATTTACTTGCATTTATTCAAATGTTATATAGTGCTTTTACTGGTAAAACACACAATTTAGATAAATAGGCAGGTTTCATGGCTGACTGAGGCTTCTGGACAGTATTGTCTATGCCTACAAAAGTTCACATTTTATGCTGCATATCATAAAGTGCTCAATGTTGGTGCACTAAATTCAAGCGTATCACTTTTGTTCAATGAAAAAAAAAAAGAAAAAGAAAAAGCTTACTGATAGAGAGCTGCTCGAAGTTTAGTAGCTGAAAGAAAGAAAAACAGGAACATGAAAGCAGGGCTTCGTGTTAATCAGAACCACTTGCACATACAGGAAAATAATTTAAATTTTTTACTGTTTTTTTTTTGTGCTAACGACATCCTGGATACCATTTTTACCCCCCCTGCTAGTAAATCTTACCTCTTCCTCGTCATCCTCACCTCCATCTGAAAGAGAATAGCAGACTATGAATTAACAACACCTGCCTGACCCAAAATGGCAAGTGACTTTCACACATCTACCATTGTTGCTACCATAACCATTTTTTGGCTTTTATTTTTTGACACCACTTGAAAAAGCAAACCTTTTTAAGTCATATTAACAGATGTTAAAGGGACTCTAGCCAATATTGAACCATCAATGCTCCTGTTGTAAACATGCTTGATTTCATCGCACTGCTGCAGAAGTCTCTAGAGTGAGATTTTCAAGTTTAAAGTCTAGGGAACCCCCTTTCAGATGAAATATCTTGAAGGTGGGAGGAAGGGGAGGATAGGCTATTTTTGCGCGCTAAAAGCTTCAGCCCTCTGCAGCTCTGCTGAGTTTGTGTGATCTACCGCTTCCAGCTAAGCTGTTGATGCTCCTAGACACTTCCATTCCACAATAATAGCACTTACAGTTGACCAGGGAAGATCGAGCAGGACAGAAATCTCACAAACTGACTTGTGGCATCCTATAAGAGTGCCATGTTTAAAGTCACTGAGCTCTTCAGTTTGACCCATTCTAGTGCCAGTGTCTGTTTATGGAGACTGCATGGTTATGTGCTCGATTTCATTCACCTGTTTGAAATTTGCAATGGGTGTAGCTGAAAAACCTGAACTCAAAAATTAGAAGAGGTGTCCGCATTCTTTTGGCCATATAGAGCAGCTTAGCTCAGTTTCTCTGGCTGAAAGGGCAAAAACTCTAGTGTCCATTTTGTACTGAGTAAAGACAGAATAACTGATTGTTTTCTTTTTGACAACTGAGGTAGCTGGTTGATGAAAGAAAATATAAGTGATCAAAAAACAAATGAGGCTGAGGGATATAATGCTGCATAACATAATACTGTAGCATAAACAATAGCACATTAAACTATAGTTTTAGGCCAAAATGCCTCTCCTAATGTACCAGTTCACAGCTATGAGGTTTTCTTACAATAGTGACATACTACTTCTACCACCCCTTACCTCCATTGACTGGCTGGTCGCACACCTCATAGATCTTGAATGGCTGCATGGGGGTCTCCTTGGTGCCATCATATTTCAGGCTGAACTCCCGGCTCTTGTTGAGGGCACAACGGAGGTTGGCCTTCCACTTGGCTGGATCTGGCTCATCTACCCCCTCCTGGTACTTTCCAGTCTCCAGAGCCCAGGCCTGTACAGATGAAAATGAATGAAGTCAGTAGTGGAAGGGCTGTCAGGTCTTGAATGAGCAGTTTTATTCTTCCTAGATGTGTTTCTCTACAATACTTTCGACTCTGTTACCATCTGACGTGGACGTTTCTGATTGTTTTTGCAACACTGCACATCACAGCGGCTGCAGCGTAGATGTGTTTAGAAAGTAAAATGTGAAATTGGGAATGAAAACAAAAGTTATGGGAAAAGAAAATGTAAGGCAAGGCTAAAATGTCATGCATGTGCCATGAGCAGCCAGGAAGCTTATGCAGATGTTCTAGAAAAGGCTCGTGGTTTGGGGGCCCTCAGAACTTCCTCTTATGCCAAAGTCCTGCAGAACAGACTTTGAGTGGAATTGAAACTCACGCCACTTTTACTTCTGCAAAGCTGTTCATGAGAATATCACTAAAAAGCCCCCTGACAGCAAGCTTGAACAAACAGGTAGGCTTGCAAACTCAAAGGGCTGCAAAAGGGTAAATGACCTACGGAGAGGTGGCTTAAAACCACTGCATAAAAGGATACAATATGAAGTCAAACACACAATTTGAACACTTTTTATTTACAACAAATATCACACAATTATGCAAGCAAAACATTTCAATAACAGAAAACAACATATATACTGTTCAGTCAAATTCTGACACTATGGCACTTAGTTTTAGGCATGAGTCAATGTGCAAACAGTCATGAAAGCTAAAGGAACATTTATTTTAAATTAGGCCTTCTAATATGCAAAAGAGCTTTTGTCTTACATTACAGATCTCCTGGTTGTTATGGGAATGTATGTTTGACACAAGCTCATTTGCATATTGAAAATTTACCTAAACCTAATTTATTGTATTTGTTTTTTAACTTTATTTACCTAAACCTAATCATCATTATTATTTTTTTTAACTTTCATGCCTTTTTTCAACTTTTATTTCTATTTGAATACTCCTATATACTCTATACTCCAACAGAGAGCAGTGGAGGCTGGGTCTTATGTTTTGGGAAGAGCTTCTTAGCTGTTTAGTCCAAAGAAAACACTGTAGAAAGACCACTGCAGCTGGCTGAAGACTACCGCACACTGGACAAGAAGCTCTGTGCTGCCCCAGCAGAGGCTCTCTGGTGCCGGATAGCAGATAATAGCACAAAGGAAGCATCGCAGACAAATGCTGATAAACATCAAGCCCAAGCTCATTTTACACTCTATTTCATATAGATGTACTGAAATAAAACTTCAACATCATTTAGTTAATTTAGCAGGTTTGGTATCAGCTGACTAACAGTTTTCCAGCTAAATGCACAGCGAAATACGATGTGATTAGGCTAGTAACATTAGTGGAGATGAAGGCAGATGATTAGTATTAGTCTGCTCAGTTTAAAGACTTTAGACTGACACCTTACTCGGAGTAAATTTCAAGTCATATGTCACCTGCTACGGAACTATGGATTTGTCATCTGAATTTAACATATTACAGCAGTAGTAAAGCTGCTGAGTGGCAGTCACAGACCTGTAGCCTTCAGATTCCTATCCTTTTTTCCAGCAGCGGGTGTTTTTTAATGAAAAATTCAAAATCGCCTCAAAAATTCAAATATCAAATTTGACTCAAAGCCCATTCCTGTTTGGTGTCAGGTGCTTCTCTTGATGTCGTTATTTGTGCCTGGTCCAAATCAGAACCATGGCAGTGAAATTACTGAGAAATAAAAGGAAATAAAGTGGCCATATTTGGCTGTCATAACTGCAGTTTTCTTTGTAATCAGTAAACATTTTCATTCAAGCACATGGTCAGATTGTGCTGCAGCAGCTCCACAATCTGTAATGAGTGATATCAAACTTTAGCAACTGAAAATACCTGAATGATTATATAAATGTTAGCCTGTTAGGCCAGATCTACAGCAATATCATCAAACTAGACTATAGAAGTTAAAATGAACTACCTCTGAGAGAAAGATCATAATCAGTTGATTCTTGTCACTGAAAATGTGTCAAACCTCAAATAAAATACATTCTCATTTGCATTTATTCACTGAAACCTGGATCTGAATGCAGGTTCCCAACTTTACATGTTTATTGAGTAATCTCGTGTAACTGACGCAAAGTTTAATTACTTGAGTAATCCTATTGTGCGTAGGTGTGTTCCACTTCCAGATTACTGCTTTTCCTAGAATGTCTTGTAGCACAGTAAGATGAATCACCGGTATTAAACAGGTAGGACTGGATTAAACCTCTCAGCTGATCCAGGATAAGATTCTGCCTTTTATTTCCTATTAAATTAACTGCACAGAGGGAGCTGATCCTCTAACATCTAGAGACTTAACATGCACTGCTTCTGGATTTGCTTCAAGTGTGTTACTCCTTGCTCTAAAGTAAAGCTGCACAATAATGGCTAAAATGATCATCGCAATTATTTTACTCAATATTAAAATCATGATATCACAATTATTCAGCCAATTCAGAAACAAAATAGTTTTGATACTTCATTGCTTTAAATCTTTCCCAGCACACATTATACACATTTTATGTAAATAATAAGCCTTCCTTCATAAATGTATACATTTTTGCATTAAAATAAGATTTACATGAATTGGGTGCACCTTAAATGTCAACCATAAACAAAATCAGACACACATTAAATAAATCACTGTCCCACTACAGTATACAAACAAAATGACATTATCCACACAGGCTTTTCTGGCAAGAACACAAACCCATGAACATGATCGATTCAACAGAGTGAATTAGGGATGCATCGACCTGAGAACTGTGGGCTGATGTCGATACGAACATTTATAAAATGTAGACATTTAGACGACCTCCAACTGAATTAGCATTTCAGAGCAAATATAACATTTATTACTGTAGGGTAAAAAATAAATCATTAAAAAACAATCGAATGAAGATGTTTTAGTGTAGTATCCCAGCGCTGGCTGAACATTCTACTCTTCTTCAGTACATTTAAGGTGTCTTCAGTCTGAAATATTGATAAAATGTAACCATCTGTCCAAGGGTTTTTTTTTTGTTGTTGTTTATGGATGCACAATGATATTGGACTCCTATTATTATCAGTAGAAATGTGCCGGAATAGAGTCAATAAAAAAATAATAAAAAAAAAAAAACATTTTAATTCACTTGATCATGTTTAATTAACCGAGGATACCAAACGTTGTGATTACAATTAAAATATGATCAATGGCGCAGTCCTACTACAAAGGCATTCGACTTTATGAAATGAGAAGTATGCGACTGTTCACAAGTTAGGAATCAATGTTCAAACGTTTGGAATAGATGTTCTGGATAAAATAAAACACATGTATTTTTTATTTATTTATTTTTTTTTAATTTAGATGTAACCAGAATAATAAACACTGCTGTGCGGGATTCTGAAATGACTCAGGCATCCAAAATGAAGAAATAAAAAATTAGTATCCAGAATGCCCCAGATTTTTCAAAGCAATGATCAAATGCTGGCACTGAAAACCTGACTAAAATTACCGTAAACACAACTATGACTTATCATTTAACACATTCTTGCTCATTCCAAAATATTAGAAATATGGAGTCAAACATCTAATAATTTTGGTGTCCATTTACAGTATGTAAGTCAATACTGCATATAACATTACAAGACCTGCTGATGGATGCTGTCATGAAAACTATGACAAATGATTCCAAACGTTTGAAAGTTAGGGTGTATCACAATACACACAGACACAAGACCTGGCAGCACTCACCTTGAAAATAGTGTTTTCCTCCTCCAGGGTGGGTAGGTGGCGTGTGGCGTGTCTCCAGGGGATCTGGAACAAGCGTCGCTCCTTATTGAGCCAGTGCAGGCCAGGATATTTCCCACTGTTCACCTGGGGGGGGAGAAAAAAATGCTTTAATGTTTGTAAAGAAATGGTACCAAAATCACACATTGGAGGGTTTAGTGTTTCCCCCACTGTAATAATAAATCATGAGGAGTTTTGTAATTAGCTATTAACTTGTAAGAGAACAGTCACGTTAGGCCTGCAGGTTGGGGAAAAAAGGGTGTTTTTTGTCAGTCATCCACTGATGCACAACTTCAAACTAACAATAGAAAGCAGCAGTCTGGCTTGAAGGGTTTTGAACACATGAAAATGCGTCCTCAGTACGAAGGCAGTTTGAGTTATTTGTAGCAGCAGCAAATTTTTAACTGTTATCTCGTTCACAGTCTTTCAGTGGTGTGCGAATATGCACAACATTCAACAGCATGTTGACATACTAAATAACCCAGAGTAAAAACGTCTCAATTCAACAGACATCATAAATCTTTACAAAGTTGCAAAGCTAAATGACCTGTGTAGATGAGGTGCCATGGCCATACTGAGCAGTGCAGATAGAGCCAGTTCCCCCACCAGTCCAAATTAACTCTGGGACATCAGGAATCAAGCTTTATAAGTTCTCAAATCAAAAGTGTAGAAGTGTACCACACATTGGTAAAAAGTTTGACAGTGTGACTTTAGATTAGTTTGTTAACTCTTTTAGGTAAAGCACTAATCTCAAAAAGTACAGACTGCAATCTGACACTGGATTAAACCGTCCATATTGCTGACCTTTACACGACTGCTACTGTCAAAATCACTTGAGCTGTTTGCACGTTGTTGAAGGCTCCTGAGCTTGTTCTGACTTCTCAGTACAGCCCAAAACGGCTAATAGGATGACGCACTTTCTCTCACCCGGCACAGAACGATAAAGGGTCACTGCTCACCTGAGCCAGCAGCCATGGCTTCAAGCGGATCCTCCTGGGCTGGACGCTCATGGTGGAAGGGGGAAAGCGTCTCTTTCCCTGTTGGTGCTTTCAGAAAAGTAGAATAACACAGCGCCTGTGAATTAAAACGGCAACGACTGGGTCAATGACTGTGAGCCCTGCAGAGTGACTGGGAAATGCCAACATTGAGACAGTTTCAAAAATACAGGCAGAGGAAGTAAGACCTGAGGAACCACAGCAGCCCTAACGTAATGCTGATATGTGCAAAATCTCACAGTGCCAGAGACAAATCTGCTTCAGACAGAGAAATTGTCTGAATGTAGGCTGTCACTGGCAAAGCCATGCATATCAATAAGTATCACAGTATAATAATAATAATAATAATAATAACAATAATAATAATATTAATAGTTCAACTGGGGGAGGGCAAGCATGTACATAGTGAGATCTTATCACCGCTCTATTCTGTGTGCTTTAAAACAGTTTGATAATTGTCTTCGGTTTATTTTAATTTTAACATGTTTCTTCATATTTTCTATAAATACAAACTTGCAATTTTACGATTGCATGAATTCACACAAATTCAACCACTCCTCACAGCTTTTGCCAGAGCTCACAATTTCGTCCAATCACTACATTATCTGTACACCAAACATGGAAATCTGTGACGTGTCTTCAAAATGACGCATGCTGCTTCTATGCCACAGTTTGATAGACGGATGCATAGATGGAGCGTCTGATATCTGCGCTAAGCTGCCACAACTGTTGTTATTATCAGTTCCATTCTGAACTGCACATTTGCTTTTCCGCGTCTTTGGCAAGCAGTGGCCAGCTCCAACTGCTGTGGTTAAACCTTTCATAGCAATATAGATGCTGGACGCTTTTGCACTGTTAGGTGATGCAAAGCACATTAACTGCTGGGTTCATATTAGTTCAGAGTCTCAGTGCTACTGGATGCTCAATCCTGATCCTGGAGTTCTAACACCCTGGAAAGTCCAGGTCCAACGTACCTGCGTCTAATATTCAGAAGCAACTGAAGGCCTTTGCTACCTGGAGCAGGTTAGCTAGATTTGAGGTGGTGCTTTTAATTTCCTAAATATTTACTTACAGTTCAGGTCAGTTCAGTTGGTAGAATGTACATTTGGATGGTCTATTAGATCTTTGTTGTTGTAGCCAATTTTCATAACTTCATTTTGATGTAAAATGCGAAAACATTCAGTACTTTGAAATTCTTTTAGTTTTTAATCTTAGGTCTGTTGCTTTGCAAGTTCTCGGTTCTCAGAGGAACCCTTAAGTTCCTATCTGTTTCGACAGAAACTAACTAAACTACATTTAAAACAAAGTAAATAAATATCAGACTCATAGTCTTCGCCAATCTCTACGCTGCACTGTCCTGTACATGGTCTCAAGTCACATACTACAGCACTAAATAATCAGTATGTTCAAAGTAGCAAAGTCATCAATGGTGGTGTGACTTGACTTAATATTTAGTACAGTCTATGCATTTTGGGAGACAACTGCCTCAAAATTTGAAACCCTGAGCCACATAGGGTGACATGATCACTGTGAGAGCCATGGGACACCTGACTTACCTTTTAACTGACAGACTCCCAAAGCAGGTGATTTTTTTTACACAATAGTTGGTGGTCACCTCGTTTACACCTTTCACTAACAGAGGGGTCAGATTACTGCCCCAAATGCAACAAAGCATGACTAAGCACACTGGCAAGCACACATGTAGGATACACCATCACTGAAATGCAGTGGTTTTTCCCCCCAGACGTTAAATGAGGTGCTGCACAACAACCACACACAGCAAACACATACCTTTACCACAGCAATAAAAAAGGCTGCCAGTGACATGTCAGGAAGACGAACAAGTAAAGATACATTTCCTTTCAGTCTCAATACAATTTCAAATTTTGACATCAATTCAATTTTTGATGTTTTATGTGTTACAGAGGTGTAATTATGTATTGTACTGGCTTGGCTCAGTGCTGATCTAGAATCAGTATTTATGATAATGACATCATGAATACAGAGGAATCTTGATCCAAGATCAGTCTGCTTTGTGAATACTAGTCCTTGTGTCATATGAAATGGCAACGCTTTTGCGTGAATTTATTTTTATAGCTCACAGTAAGTCATACTGTTTCCTAAACCACACTCGCAAGTCTGCATGACTTTAATAGAGACGTGGACGCAGTTTGAGTGGGCTGAATAAAGTTTTGTGGATGTATTTTTACAGAATCAAACTGGGCTATTTGGGTGACTGTTGAGTTCTAGTGTTAGCAATGTTATCTTCATAACCCCAGTTCTAAACTAAAGCAGCAAAATGTGGACTACACACATGTTTTGGCTGCAAAACTTTTAAGATAAGCGGGAAATTTGATTTTTCTGCAAACCATTCCCTTAAATATGAGAGTATTTAACGTTACACTACAGATGTAATGATATAAAACTAGAAACTAAAAGTAACAGAGGTAAAATCATTATGATGTTGTGGGCTGCATGTACTAGCCGACAAAGCTTGAGTCTGGGATGTAGGCCATCTCCATCCCTAAAGGAAACATCTAGAAGTGTGGTACTATATCAATCTACTTACTACTACACAGTGTTTCTTTTCAGTCCAAGTATTTAGATAAAATGATGTTTGGTTCGTCTAAAATCTCCCTTGACAATAAAACAACATATACTTTGAAATAAAAAAGCATATTTTGTTACCTTTTTTCTTTAATCCAAACACTTTAGTCTACAGTAAAATTAATTTCGACATCCAAATCCCAACACTTATGGCGAGCTCTCAATAATTCAAAATAAAAACCAAGATTGTTAAAGCATACAATTATTTACAGATAACACTACTGGAAACACTCCACAACACATACTACTCTAAAATGAATCACTCCAACATATCTAAATTATAGTTTAGGTATGCATTAAAACTGATACACTGAACAGAAGCTTCATTTATGTCCTTCACTTGCCATTAATGCTCAATAAATGGACTTGATTAAAATGCATCTAGGCAATACAATGTGATGCAACATCTATTCCATCTTTACCTGTCAGCTTAAAGGGGAATTCAGAATGGTTAGATGAAAAATGGCTCATTCTAGATGAATGTAATGATGGTGAATTCTTTACAGTGGTGGTGATGGGAACCTGGGGTCGCAATGTATAGAGGGCAAACACAGCCATTTTATTTACTATCCAAAATGACCACTGAACATTTACATATCAGATTTACATCGTTTTCTTTAGGGACTATTTTGCCTTACAACATAAGTTTTAGGCCATTTTTAATTTTATCTCAAAACCATCGCGAAACAGTATCTCAGGCATCAGGCATAATATCTAACCATTTCATGTAATAAATATCGGTGAAATACCTGAGAGGCACTGAACACCTGTCACCACTACTGTGAACAATTCTGACTCTAAAACTTCTCTACAACAGAGCACTGCACACCAAACCACTCTGAATGATTTGCATTCAGATTGATGCGAAATGCTTTGTTTACATCACAACGATACAATTATACAGACATACTGAAACATGGGTGGAATTCCCCTTTTAAAATGGCTTACAAAGTTGAGCTGCCGCTTCATTTCTCTGCCACTGCCCTGCTATTGCCTCTTCCCCACTTCACACTTCACCCTCACTTTCTACTGCATGTCGTAACATACAAGGCAGTCATGACAAGAACTCCAGGTCAAAGAATGACACTTCCCTGTCTTCTAGTGCATCTAAATCTCTTCAAAGAAATTCATATGCCTTTCAGAAGTCAGCATATTTTTTTGCACATTTTGCATCCCGCCATTCGTTCTTAGAAGTGCAACGTCATAGAAGAAAGACTTCCAACGTACAAAGTGATTTTACAACTCAGGTCTGCTGCGAAAGCAGCATCCATGCATGCGAGGTAGGGGAAGTTAGCCATGACTAATTATAGCCCCAAGTTCATTCACTGAGCTGATACGAAGAGGAACGAAAGAAATATGAAAGATTACTAATGTTCGATGCGTAGGTATGCCATATACGACACAGTTGGAGAAGTTGTATGACTCTTTGGGTTTTTATTTCCCAGGCAAGTTCCTCTAACATTTTCAGTGTTCAGTCCACACAACAAAGGCCAGAGTATTTTACGTAAGTATTTTCTTCTCAGCTGTCTTCTCTGGGTAACATTAGGACTGGGACTGGTTGAAAGGCGTTTTAGGTCAGTTGGGGTTAGGTGATGTAATATTACAGTGTGTTTTATTAAACATGAAGATAAAAGCTTGTAGAGGTTAATCATTAAGCGTTTTCATTATAAAAATACTAAAAATGCTGCCTCTGGCTGATGTGCTCTAGTTTGAAACGACCGCTGAACTCCACTGAATCAACATGGTGTAAAAAACCAAAGCCAGTAACATGAAGATGAAACATGCTATGTTCACATTCTCATGAAATAAAGATACTCATATTCTGGTTCACGATGGACACTGAGCCAATTACACCTGGTCTTACAAAGAGCCAAGGTTGTGTTGTAACTTTTCTGGTGGCCAATGTAAATCAACACGAATAATTATATCCATTAAAGTTAATGAAAAAACGTCTTTAAATCACAAAAGGGAGATTTTACTAGGGATGCATGAATCGGCCAAGATTTTCGCTCCAAACATGTAAATCAGTAATCAAGCAATTTATTATTGTTATTTTGGCTGATCTGTTTTGCAGTTGTATGAGACAAACAACATAAGACAGGTAAATGCACGTGCAATGCATTTAAGTGCTGCTACTATACCTGCACCAAAATGTGGTAGCATAATTATTCACTCATTAGGGCAGTTTGACAGTGTGCATCATTATTGTGATAAATTCTGTCAAAAGTAGGCAACCAGGTTAACTTCAAATACTACATTAACAATGTTTAACACAAAATGATTCTTCTTCTGCTACAAAAAGTCTTCTTCTGTTAACTTTACACGTTCAATGAACTCAAAATTTCAAGTTAACCTGCTTACTACTTTTTAAGTTTAAAAGCTGCTTCATTTTTACAGTGTATAAATCATTGTATTCGTAGGTTTTCAAGAGTTTTTTTACTGCGACACTACTTTGTCTGATCCAACTATTTAGATGTCAGATAAAGTAAATATTGACATATTGTCCCTTATGAATACTTCTACTTATGAGTACCATGATATCACATTTATGCCACTTTGCCAGCTCATTGTGCTACCCACCCAGTTGCCTCTTACTTTCAATGTAGCACTTAGTTTCATTCATGTTAATTAAATATGCAACTAATTTTTAATTTAATGATTTGAAATGACTTGCAATTTGGCCAGCGTGAGTCTTTGTGTAAAAAAAAAAGGCTAATTAAAAAAAATAATAATAAAAATCAGATAATTTGGCTTGTAAGAAAATCAGACTCAGCCCTAAAAACTGATCATGGGTGCATCACTAGATTTAACTATTAATCATGACGTATAATGGAAAACCTCTGGAGCCCCACTGGTGACATCCAGGATGTCATCATCAGGGCTCTGTAAAACCTAATTTTCCATTGCGTATATAAAATAAGGCGTTGGACAGTTCACTTTTCAGCCTGTACAGTCCATTTGTGGAACTAAGCAGCAAAAGCAGCCCATATTGATTTCTCTGTTTTTGTGACGTTGTAAAAACCAATACATTTATAAATATCTGCCTATTCAGTCCACAGCAGTTTAGCCCCGCCCACTTACACTGACGTTATAAGGAGTGTTTCAGTCCAGACTGCTTTTTGATTGACGTATATACATCAATTTAAAATGCACAATAACAAAAAAAAACCTGTTTAATACCACGAACAAAAAGAGGAAAATGATTACATATAAATTTATTATGAGTGTTTTTTGCACTTAAACTAACAAAATCCTGTTAAGTGGATCACAGAAGAAAAAAAAGGAAATGTAGGTTTAAAAAAAAAAACAAGAAATTGTAGGTTTAACTTGGAAATAAACACAAAATCCCTGTCGATATTTTTTCTCTAAAACAACCTTAAAGGTGACATTTATTCAACAGATCAACTCAGCAGTTCTAAATTACTTCTAGCCCAGACTACGAATGAGTGAACGCACAAACTCCAAAATACAGATTTCTGGACGAGGCTACACTTGGTTTCCTATCCGCCAGCTTCTTGTTGAGCTTTTCCCGTTCCACCTTAAACGGTGCAGCAGTTGTAATTCTAACTCCTGAGGCGCCAGAATATAACTGCTGCACCGTTTAAGGTGGAACGGGAAAATTCGAATAACTTCAGCTTCGTGATTTCTGGGTCAAATCTGAGCAGTTCAGTTTAGTGAGAGAACCACTAGGGTTGTGAGCGACCTCAGCTAACCCAGCTACTTCCCATTTTTCAGCAGCTGTGTTGAAATAGCGCCAGAGCTCAGAGAGCAACAGGCACTGTGAAAGTTTAACTGGATCTCCAAAAAACGCAAGAAGGGCCATTTTCCAGTTTGCTCTGAACAGTAAACAGTCCAAACTAGCAGCGGTGCGAGCAGGAGGAGGCAGGTAAACAGTGAACACACTCAGGTCGGTCTCTCCGTGTTCAAACTCGGTTAAATAATAACGCACACTCTGACCAAACGACAGGCGATTCAGCCTCAACATTAGCCGCACATTATCCCGACTTACCTGCACAGAGGAGAGTGGAGAGAGAGCTCCTTCCTCAGAGGGAGCTGGAGCTGAGCAGCACAGCTGCCTCGGACACACACACAGCGCACACACAGCCCGAGTCTGAGTCTGAGGAGGGAGCATACATGGAGCCAGGTGCGCCTCTCTAAACCTCTCCTACCGGCCCAGGAAAACACACACATCCGCCAAGTCTGGACACTTTTGCACCCACGACGCTTGTTCAGTCGACGAGGAGGCAGAGAAACCCTCTCCTTCAGCGTCAGGAGACGAATACCGAGAGCCGCGAGGTTATTTGCAGAACTTCCACAGGTACCACCCTTCCGGATGATGTACAGGCGAGACGGAAGCGCTTCATTTTCATACACAAACCGAGGCTCATCCACAAGCTCAGTTTAACCAAACTAATCCTCTTATCAGAGACCTGTAACTGTCACCTTTTAAACACACTAAACGGGGAGAGACTTCAGGAGGACTGTACGGTTTTATAAATATAACGTGGTGTATATAGTGAGAGTTGTGCAGTGAGATTAGTCCGGTTATGGTACAGCGCAGTACAGTGCTGTCTGTAGTGTTTACAGGCCAAAGCAGGTGCTGCAGTTAAGCCTGCGGTCGGCAGGTGGCGCTCACTGTTCATGAATGAAGAGCCCAGTTACTCTACACTGGATTCAGACATCACCAGCATTGGTCTCATTAATTTCTGTAAAGAGTCAGATTACTTATCTTGGGATTGACATAATGGCCTCTCTGCAAGGTATTCTTGGTAAAATCATGGTAAAACTCTGAGAGAAATTTAAAATTATATAGCTAGGTGGGCAAATATACCATCTTCATTACAGTCTAGAATTGCGACCATAAAATTGAATATACTGCCACGTATTCATTTTTTAAGTGCGATGATTCCTCCGTCACCCCCGGTAATCTGGTGGAAAAAGCTTGATTCAGTAATTCGCAAGTTTATTTGGAACGGCAGGCAACCTAAAATGAAATTAGGTACATTGTGTTATTCTAAAATGAAAGGAGATTTATCCTTACCTAATTTTATAATGTACCATAAAGTTTTCCAACTCCGTGCCTTAAAGGCCTGGTTCGACCCACTCTCTCATGTTCCTTGGAGACAAATTGAGGAACAGTTAAGTGTGCCTATCAGACTTCAAGATGTATTGTTTTCCGGATTGTCCATAAAATTCTGTTCGCTAAACTTTGGTCCCAGTATGACCAACACTATCACAAATTTCAAAGCCGTGGAAAAATATCTTGGTTATAGTGACCAAGGTCATTTACAAAACCCACTTTAGCATAATAGGAATATAAAATCTGGTACCAAACCTTTTACATTGGAGCAATGGAGAAGACAGAACATTAAAACTCTTGATTATATATTTAATTCAGAGGGGATGTTAAGCTTTGAAAATTTAGTAACAAACTTTAATATACCAAGATCTTCCTTCTTTTTGTATTTACAGTTACGTTCAGCCCTTAAAGCATACGGAATTCCATGGGGAACAGGCCTCAAGCCACATCCAATTTATAGCTGGTTCGTTAATGCGCCACCACATGGTCTTGTATCAACTATATATTCTCACCTTACTGAAACTTTGTATAAGAAGCTCCCAATTCAGTCTATCTGGGAAAAGGAACTATCTGTTAATTCAATTGATTGGAACATAGTATGGCGAAATATATTTCATGCATCAAAGAACCCCAATCAGCAACTGATCCATTTTAAATATTGTCATAGGTTATATTGGACACCACGAAAACGCTTTCTTACAAAAACTGCAGTACATCCCTACGGCAACTATTGTCCACAACAACCAATGGGAACTTTTTTGCACATGGTGTGGGAATGTGGGGATGTTAATGACTTCTGGATAAAGGTTACTACCATATTATCTGCTCTGGTTGGACAAGAAATTCCCGTGGATCCAGCTGTATTATTGCTAAATGATGATTCCAGTTTAAACTTAACAGACAAACAAAGGAAGATGTGGCTCGCTGGTTTAACGTCGGCTAAAAAAATTATTGCACAGAAGTGGCTTCACCCACATAATCTAAGTGTACGACATTGGCTGTTTCAACTGCATGACATAGTTATGTTAGAATTGGCCACAGCTAGGATTAATAAAGTTAAAACATCTACTCTTGAGACATGGAAACAGATTTGTTGTGATGTGACAAAAAGATTGGAACAAAGGCTATGAGGTACATCTTGTAAGCTAACATTCTTTTTTCTCTCTTTTTCATTTTATTTTTGAGATGTCTAAATCTTACTTAGTAAATATTATAAAGTGTGTACAGGAAATAGGGATGGATCAACCAGTGGGACAGGGAGGGATGGGGTGGTAAGGGGGTTGTTTTTTTTTGTTTTTTTTTATTTCCTGCAGTTCTGTAATGTTGTGATAAAATGCTGCTTGATTAACAGGAAACAAATAAAAAAAAATTGATCACAAAAAAAAAAGAACTACAGAGAAGGCTTTTTTATTAAAAATATTAAGGTACTAGAAAGGGTTCTTTTTCACGGTTCCAAAAAAGAATCACTTTGTTAAAAAAAACTTTCAGGGGAGGGTTCTCTAGAGAACCCATTTTGTAAATGAGATGTGTGAATTTGAAGCTTTTTTTAAACTGAAGAACCTTCAGATACTACACACTTCAAAAGATGGTTATTCAAGGCTCCCTTAGTAAAGGCAATGGTTTTATTTAGAACCATAAGTTCTAGATTGAACTATTTCATACTCAAATGGTTCTTTGCAGGGTGAAATAGTTCTTCAGGTTGATGGAGAATGTGTTGTATATGGTTCTATATAGAACCTTGAAAATAGTTCTTCTTTTGATACAAGCTTAATATCGTAACAATAGCAGAACCCTTTTGGTGCTATATAGAAGCATTTTCAACACATTCTCGATCAATTTGAAGAACTATTTCACCCTGCAAAGCATGAATCAGCATCTTTGCTAAAGAACCCTCGAAGAACCATCTTTTTATAAATTGTAGGAAGAACCCTTAAATTGAGGGTTTTTTTATCCTTAAAAGTTTTTTTTCACACTCACAAATCTCTTTTCAAACATGCTTCTATAGGGAAAATTGTTCTTCTATGCGTTCCACAAGAAGAACCCTTTCAGGCACCTTTATTTCTTTAACAGTGTTCATTCTATTTTTAAAATGTTCTAACAAATGTCTTTATCTTTAAGTGTAATTGAAATTTTCTCATTATCGGTGCCTTGTTAATTTTGTTAGCTATACTACAGCATACAAACATAAAGAAGCAACCAGGAAATGAAGGAACATCAGATTCCATACTTTCCGAAGATACAGAGCCAGAGAGCCTGTGGTGGGAGCTGGACGTTTGGTCAAAGAGACGCCAACTCTCATCTCTTGCTGAATCTTCAAGAGAGACAAACAGGACATGAGAAGAAACCATGGTGTTCAGGAACTACTGCTCCATTTAGCTTTCCATTTAGATTCCTTCACTGATCGAGGCCTGACAAGGACCAATGACAGCTCACCCACACATTTCGTTAAAGTGGTTGAAACCTCAGTCAAAATGGAAAAAATAATGGATTTGGCAGAGTTCCAAAAGCTGCAACTTCTGTTTCACCCAAAACCAGAGAGCTCCCTGGACATCATGATTAAAGGTGTGGCACAAATAAGAGCAATGCTTCTCCCATCAATCAGCCAGCTCGTCCTGCTTAACCCTATACCACCGAAGCACATGTCTCTGAGAAGGTGTGCTGGGCTCCTTAGAGCTCTTCCAAAGGGCCAACATGAATAAGTGGTGAACCATCAATGAAACTTTACCAGAAAAGTTATCAGAAGAAAACAAGCTGAAGAACATGATGTGGATCAGGTCTCTAATGATGAAGATTCTGACAGTTCGGGCTGTATGGACAGTTAAGCTCTCAGACAGTTATCACCATTAAAGACTGGACAACTGATGGAATGAGAATGTGGACACCTGAAACTTTAAATAACGTCTCATAAATGATTTTTTTTTCATTTATAAAGGATTTTCTTCAATAAAAGTTCTTTAAAGCACTTATTTTTCTGGATGTAATTTATTTACTGAACATAACAATAGAAAACATTTCAGAAATTTTTGTGGTTCATCAGATTGATGGAAAATTTGCTATATGTAGTCCTATAAAGCACCAAAAGGGCTCTACTATTGTTATGATGCCAAGCTTGTCACAATAGTAGAATACTTTTGGTGCTATATAGAACCGTTTTCAAAAAGGATGCATGTGTTTCTATATAGAACTCATGGTTCTGAATAGAATCACAGCACTGCTGAATGAACTTGAAGTTGGATGTGGAAAAGGAAAGAATTCCACCTCCCATTATAAAGTAAAACCATTAGGTTTTAGTCCTGATGGTTTCTCATGGTTCTTTTTCAGCAGGGTGATGGGCTTCTCAGGTTGGACCAATACATTTAACCCCACTGATCCAGTGAGAGAGACCACAACAATTTAGTCAATAAATATTTATTCACCATCCACTTCATTCAACACCCTCTAAACTTGTTAACTCCGTTTACATTGACATTTACAGTTTTACACGTAAGACGTTGACACTCAGAGAACCTCAGTCGGCTTTTGACCGCGTCGACTGTTTTCGTCACAGCGGGAAGCCAGATTTCTTCAGTTTCCACACGATCTTCAAAATCAGCCAGAAAGCTGAAGCTGTCGCTAGACGGCGCTGTTGCTCACTGAAGAGCCCAACATCAGGTGAGACACAGAAAATGCCTGATCTGAGAAACACCTGTACAAAACAGACTGATAAAGTACATTCAGATTTACAGTCCTGTACATGTTTACTTCTGTGGCACAAACTCTAGGTTTCCGGGGAACACTGTTTAGGTAAAAGCGCTGTTTCTTCATGCCCGGCTGTGTTGATACAGAGTCTCTCCTCTTCAGTAGTAGTGCTGATGCAGACTCGGCCTTTGTGTCCGTGACTGTGACAAACACGGAAGAATCTAAACAGAGCCGGTTTATTTTTTATTCATTCATTTATTTATTTATTTATTTTATTTCTTTTTCATTTAGTTTTCTCTTCAAGTTCTCTGAGCTGAGCTCCAGCACTGGGCGGGATGCGCCCGGACCTCTGGCGCATGCGCAGTCTGTACAGCTGGGAGCTCGTACTGAGCGATAATTCGGACAGTTTCGATAAAAACCGGATTTTTATGAAAATAGGAATAAAAAATCCAATGACGAGGTAACCAGAATCTTTAAATTTAGTCGTTTTTATCCATTTCTTAAATGTATTTATATATATATATATATATATATATATATACACACACATATACTAAGGAAACTGTCAGTTTTGCATTATGACAGTTTTCATGCTAGCTACTAGTCAGTTAACGCTAGTTAACGTTAAGCATTTTTCATTCAGTTAAATCAAGCTAGTAACGTTGGTTTTTAAGAAAGTTACAGAGTTTAGTGGCACGCATCCTTTAATAAATCATGTAATTTCGACAGAATGTTCGGTCAAAAAGCTGAGGTGATTCAGACTCGGTTCTGTCAGTCACTTTTCTGGAAATTAATCAGAGCAGGCCAGTTTATATTTTACATTTACTTGATAAAAAAGCTTGTCAAATATCAAGTGTATGAACTTGACAGCCCAGGTGTGTGTGTGTGTGTGTGTGTGTGTGTGTGCGTGCGTGCGTGCGTGCGTGTGTGTGTGTGTGTGTGTGTGTGTGTTGGGCACTGATTTGTCATGGTTTCTAAGGAAACGGAACCTGCTCGGTCAGCGCAGGACGGAGTGGAGGGGGCGTTTAGTGTTAACCGCCTCGTACCTCTAAACTACCGTGAACTACAAAAGTAGGAAAAATGTTTTCTAAGTAGTCATTAAAGTTTCTGTTATTTCTAAACGGTTCTTTGGTTTGAGTGACGGTAGACAGATCCTCAAAAAAATTGACGCTGAGCTCTGCAGTAATGGCTGCTGAGTCACGGCTGTGAACACTAGGTTACGTTAATCACGATCAACAGTGCTTCTACAAGAAGTTGTGAAATGGGTAGCTAATGTGGTGAAGGAGTTCTCCGGCGAACGCACTGTATTTGAACTCCTTCACAGAATGTATTGCTTAAGATTTTGCTATTGTGTTACCGTGCTATTGTAATCATTGCTCCACTGGTCAGGGTTTGTGTTTATATGCAGTTGCTGTGTGGACGCTATACTAACACTGATGTAGGACTGCTTATAGACTAAAAACCTTTTTATATTCATATTAAAACAGTTGTGGATAAAGAGGCAAATGTTATGTACACCTATCAGCCATAACATTAAAACCTCGTAAATCCTTGTTTCTACACTCATTGTCCATTTTATCACCTCCACTTACTATATAGGTGCACTTTGTAGTTCTACAGTTACGGACTGTGGTCCAGGTCCATCTGTTTCTCTGCATACTCTGTTCTTATATGGTCAGGACCCTCACAGAGCAGGTGCTATCTGTGTGGTGGATCATTCTCAGCACTGCAGTGTCACTGATGTGATGGTGTGTTAGCATGTGTTGCGCTGGTCTGAGTGGATCAGACACAGCAGTGCAGCTGGAGTTTTTAAACACCTCAGTGTCACTGCTGGACTGAGAATAGTCCACCAACCAAAAATATCCAGCCAACAGCGTCCTGTGACCACTGATGAAGGACTAGAGGATGACCAACACAAACTATGCAGCAGCAGATGAGCTATCGCCTCTGACTTTACATCTACAAGGTGGACCAACAAGGTAGGAGTGTCTAATAGAGTGGACAGTGAGCGGACACAGTGTTTAAAACTCCAGCAGCACTCCTGTGTCTGATCCACTCATAGCACCACCACCACGTCAGTGTTACTGCAGTGCTGAGAATGATCCACCAACCAAATAGTACCTGCTCGGTGGTGGTCCTGTGGGGGTCCTGATCATTGAAGAACAGAGTGAAAGGGGGCTAAGAAAGTATGCAGAGAAACAGAAGGACTACAGTCTGTAATTGTAGAACTATAAAGGGCACCTGTATGGTAAGTGGAGCTGACAAAATGGACAATGAGTGTAGAAACAAGGTGGTGGTTTTAATGCTCTGGCTGATCAGTGTATAGACACAAGTACAGACCTGATAGTTTCTTTAAAGAACACATAACATTTATCTTTTCTTTTTAACCCTTGGTAACCACCATTTTACTAAAATGATTTTAGTCTATACTACACAACATGACCTTTCTATGTAATCTATAAAAAATACACTGATCTGTAAAATAAAGGAGAGTTATGGTTCAAACTAGATCCTAGTTTAAGTAACTTTAAAGACACAGTTTGTGTGGTTTATGTGCAGCATATGCAAAAGTTTGGGTGCTCCCTGACAACGCGTTGGAGTTGATTTCTGAGTGAAAATAAGTTAACACAGTCTACAGAAGACATCATATTTAAATGTGTTCTCTGTAGAGAATGTGTTTACTTATTTTCACTTAGAGAATCATCAAAGCATGTAATTTGCATGGGGGTGTTCAAAGTTTTTCATACAACTGTATACTTTGGTACTCCTGTGTGTGTTGCATTGGTGCTCCATATATCCCTTTTAGAGACTTGTTGTTATACAGATGATGTTTCTTTTTCTAAAAACAATACAGTTGTATTAAAACTTTCTTTGTTGTCTTTAATCAGGTCTCTCTTTTTTCATTCAGTTCCACAGTTCCAGAGCGGGTGAGGATGGCTGGCAGAATGATAAATAAACACAGCGCTGCCAGAGACATGAGCCGAAGGCCGAAAGCTGAGCGTATGGACATGATGCTCTCCATGTCCCAGATTGTGACCCACACACAAGAGACTCAGAAGCATTTCCAAAATATTCTAAGTCCCCTGTCACTCTTCTCTCACACAGACATGGACAATGTGAAGAAGAGAGGTTTGTGTTTTTTTTTTTTTGTTTTGTTTTTTTTTGTTTTTTTTCACTCTTTCCAAATGCTTGACATGGCATTGCCTTGAAAGTATTGTGGGCCTTATTGGTTGCACTGAAGAGCTCAGTAAATTTGTATGTAGCACTGTCACAGGATGCCACTGTTCCATCTTTTCAGTTCATAAAAATTCTGCCCTGCTAGAGCTGCCCAGGTCAACTGTAATGCTGCGTTTACAGTGCCTTATAGTGGTATGTGAGAGACAGCAGCATGAAGCCACGCAAAGCCTTGGCATGGGGACAGAGTTACCAGCGAAGAGGAGAGCTTTAGTAGTGTATATTGTTTAATGGAAAACATCAGGAGGATGCTTTGCACTAGTTCATGATTTGTTGTATAATACTGGCTGCGCCTGGACTTTAACAGTCCAGCAGCAAAACTTGGGAAAATTGAACCGCTGCAGTCAGCAGGGCGATACTATTGTCACAGCTCCGTAGAAAACAATGAAATCCGGTTTGCTGTCGTTTCTCTACTACCAACATGTAAATGAGGCGTAAGTGCTGTTGTTGTGAAATTGAAACATCTAGGAGCAACACAAGTGGTAGACCTTACAAACTCACAGAATGTGCTTAGCGCAGAAAAATAGTCTCTCCCAAGGTACATTAATCACTTTCCAAACTGCCTCTAAAAGTATTGTCTGCTCATGAACTATGCATCAGGTGCGTTATGGATTCGGTTTCCATGGTGCCTATGGTAGCTAAGATGACTAAGTGCAATGCCACCAGTTGGACAGAGTGGTGTAAAGGATAAAGATATGATGCTCAAATATTTTTGTCCATGTAGTGTAAGTTGAGAGCTTAAAGCTACATTATGTAAGTTTGTGGGATTTGGAGACCTCTCTGGTGGAAATTTGTCATTGCATGCAATGTACAGAAGAACATTTTGTAATGTTGGTTGTACTTTGGGCTAAATGTGAATGAATACTCAAGTATTCGGTTAACCGTTCGAGGTGTCAGTATTTGAGTACTGAAATGGTTATTTGGGTATTTGTTCATCACAGCAAGACTGAGAAAATATGCAGACTAACAATTCAGTGGGGCAGTCGTGGGCTGGAGTTTAGGGAACCAGCCCTGTGACCGGAAGGTCGCTGGTTCAATCCCCTTGGCTGACAGTACGTGACTGAAGTGCCCTTGAGCAAGGCACCAACCCCCAACTGCTTCCCAGGCACCGTGGATAGGGCTGCCCACCACCCTGGGCAAGTGTATCTACTGCCCCCTAGTGTGTGTGTTCACTAGTGTGCATGTATGTGGGTGTTTCACTGCACAGATGGGTTAAATGCGGAGGTCTAATTCCTCTGTGTGCAAACACAGTTGGCTAATGGTTCTGAATTCAATTCAGTGAAATGCCACTTCTGTGTGACTTCTTATCAAGACTGTTTTTTTTTTAATTTTGTTTGTATTAGTGAAGGCAAGGGAATTTTAACAAATTGCATAGCTGTTCGCTTCCAAAACACATAAGTTCCACAAAAGGCCTGGGTGGATAAAGGCAAGACTCCGGCTAGAAGGAGCGACTGTGCTGTGCCAGTAACACGCAAAATTGTGACAGGGACTTGAATCTGCTCCTTACCTGGCAATGAAACCGTGCCTTTCATTTCAAATGGTTGGTAGTTCGGATCAGAGGAGCTGTTCACAGTTTCCAACACAGAACTGACAGAAGCTACTGTTTTAACTAAAGCAACACTCTGGCTTTGACTAGAGCTCTGTTTTTTCATCCTTTCTTTTTAAGGGTGAATATTTGGCAATTAAATGATCAGTTTTCTGGCAATAAAAACATTCCTCTGGGTGCAAAGGGAAAATTGAGCAATCTGACAGAATCAATTTAGCCTGGCTATGTGGCAGCCCAGGAGGTCCTACACCAACCTGCTTAAACACATTTATGTGGGTAAGAACAAGTTCATCAGCCAACACAACAGCCTCAGGTGCAGAATGTGTCTCATTTACGTAGACTACAACACGATCTGGCAAACAGTTCTTAAATTCTTCCAACAAAATTAACTCTCATAGCGACTCAAAGTCAGTGACTTTGCTTGCTGAACATCATTTATCCAGCATAATTTCTTTGTGTCTTGTAAACTCTACAAAGGACTGGTGTAAACTATCTTACGGAGACAGGGACGAGCTAACTGCCTGTGCTTTTTCCTACAAATTTGCACTGGAGCAGTAATGCCCAAACATCTTTAGGCCTATTTGTTGCAATAGCCACTTACTCAAAAATGCTGAAGTAGGAATCTTACCTTGTGTAAGGTAACTAGTCCTCTTCAGCATTCAGTGTTACATCAGTTAGCTCTAGTTTTAGCTGACGTCTGAAGAGGCAGTCTCAAAAACACACATTACAAAAACTGTTACTCATCCGAAAAAAAAAAAATTCCTTAGCTTTTTTGAAAAAAACCCCCCAAAAAAACCCTAATAAAACATGTTTCTGCTTGCTGCTAAATTTTGTGTGGTACTGATTTTTTTTTTTGCCTTTTAACTCCAGTGTTTTCTTCTAAATATCCGACTTGACACCTCTGACTATTTCAGATTTTACAGGGTAACTCGCAGCAGCACATGATTTTAGTGTGTTTTTATCCTTGTGACTCTTTAATGCTTCTTTTTCATTTCAGCAAAATGTTACAGCTTTAAATATTTCAATAGTGTGCAGCTATTATTTAATATTTGTTTATAATGAGTTACATCAGTGTTCTATAACATGATCTGAGTTGTTTGTACATTCTCGAAATGCAGCTTTATATGTTAACAGGAGGCGTTCCTTTCTACTCCAATTGATTACATGATTCATGTTTCTTAGACAAGACTCAGGAGGGAAGAGCTCAGACTTCAGCCTCAGAGGAGATAACAGATGTTCCAGCCTCTCTGTCTGAATTTTGCCAGCAGTTGAGGAACAGAATCACACAGCAGTCACTCCCTACCTTTTCTTCTCAAGACCATGAAACCCTGGTCAGTCTTTTATTAACCTCACAGAGTGAGGACTGGAAATGAGCTTTATATATGTATATATATATAGTTTTCAGAATTGCAGTAATAGACAGACAGTCACACCACATGCTATTTTGATTCCTTCAATGAGCAAAAATTCAACAATGAGTAAAAAAAAAAAATAAGGGCACGGGCAGTCAATCATATGTCAAGCATCCTCTACAGAGAACACACTTCTACTTCTTCTTTTAATGCACAGTTACTGTTTATTTGCTGAATTTAACCTGTTGAAAAAAATAAAACATAAAATGTGTCCTGTGCAAAAGTTTAAGCACATTTTTTGTTTTTATTTTATTTTTTCCAAACGTAAAACAGAAACACGCTATATTTAAGCTGTAGAGGATGTGTTAACTTATTTTCAGAAAGAAAATCCACAAAACATGTTATTTGCCCAAAGGTGTATATGAGAGAGGCGCTAATATACTAAGACAGGGGTGCTTAATCCTGGTCCTGGAGATCTACCACCCTGCAAAAGTTTAGCTCTAACCCAAATCTTGCACACTTGAACCACGTAATAAAGGCCTGCAGGGGCATCTGAACATTAGAGCTAGGTGTGTTGGATCTGAACTCTGCAGGGTGGTAGATCAGGACCAGGTTTGGGCACACCTGTACTAAAACATGCATGATGTACTTTGGGGAATTTACATTTTTTTTATTCTTTAAAGGCCATAAATTTAGGTAGACAGAAATAGTAGTGTATCCCTACTTCTAGTACATCATCCAGATATTAATAGTGCACTACATGTTCTGGTTGCTTTTAGTTGGACTGAAAGTGGCTGGTATGGAAATGCTCTATTTCATTGACTACCGTGATCGAGTAGCTTTAATGTCTGCTGTTTCGGTTTCACACAGGCAACAGTAATAATGGCAGAGTTGAGTCTGATCTGGCAGGACCTGCGCGGGCTACCAGCTGACCCCACGCTGACTTCACAGGAGAATCAGCAGCTGCGCAGCCGGACGTTTGGTGAAGTGCTGTGCATCTGTGAGCAGCTCTACCTGCATTACCTCCATCTGTTAGAGACGCTGGCGAGGCGTGAAGTCTTCAGCCACCAGATCAACTGCAGCCGCCTGGCAGCTCACATGGCCATGGACCTCAGCCGCCTGTAAGAGGCGTTAAAGCAATCAGTGAAAATGACAAAAGTACATCACATAATTGAAAAACAGGTGTTGCTACTATCATGTTAGAAATAACATAAACATATAGTTCAGATTACTTAACAATCTGACAAACTGAGCAAGTGTGATGATTACTTATTGGCTATGTTAGCCCATGGTTCCAGTACAAAACTAAAGAGGTAAGCTTAGAACACCAAACATGAAAGTATCGCGTTTGTACAGTCTATGTGCATGAAGTTAATTCTCTTTTTTGTGCGCTCACACGTGAACTCAGTTAGGATTCGTGCTGTTATTACTTAAGTTCACATTAGTTCTCCTTTAAATTTCTATATAAAGCAATAGAACGAAAACTGAACTCGAGTCTGTAAATGAGCTAGCATTTGTGAATCTCGGCTGACACGTACTACATGTGCAGCTGTTCAAACAGGTGAATCCATAAGCACTGTAGATGAGTGACTGTTAAACTATTGGGGTTATTTCACAAAGCAGAATTTTTCAGTTTAGCCAGATAATGTAAGCCAAAATTGAAGATTACCTCTTACCCTTTTTTCTTCTCCTATTGGATAGGTGTGCCACAAACTGTGTTTTCCGATGCACCCTGGGAAAAGTATTGTTAAAGCAACATTATTATCTACGTCAGTCCATGGGCTCAGATTATTCACTGGTGACCCCTACAATACTCACCACTGCTTACTCTATGAAAAACATGTCTGGTCCTCACCAGCTTTTGTTTATTTATAAAGCGCTCATCGGTCAAATGCCATCATATATCACATCTGTGCTTACTGTAAAAAAACTGAAATGATCGGACTCGCTCCAGTGACTAGATCACCCTTCAGGTGCTGAGAGTTTTTACTGAACTGTGAAAAATCTGCCTTTAGCTACAGCGAACCAGCGGGCTGGAATTTATTACAGGATACTCTAAAGCTGGTGTCACTCGCCCATTTTAAACCTTTAATCTCAAACCACCTCCACTCAGCCTGTACCTGTTTTATTTGATCTTAGCTCTTATTTAATTTTAGGATGTTTTATTATTTTTGCTTTTGTTTAGTATTATTTTTCAGCATGTTTTTAATAGTATTTTTATTTTTGTTTTTTTATTATTTATTTTCATTTTATCTATTTTAAATTTAGTAATTTTTACTAGTTTATTTTTCATTTTGTCTTTTTTGCTACATTGCAAATGAGGGTCATCCTCAGTGTACTCTGAGTTTAAATGAAGATTGATTAATTAAAGGTGTCTATCTTACTGAGAAATCCTTCTTTGTGAAATACCCCCAGACTGTGTAGTACAGTGGTTCTCAACCCAGTCGCTGGTTTCCAGTGGGAGCAAATTTTAAGGCATCTCACTCTGTATCTGTTTGCAGTTTGAATGCTCACTCGATACAACGCAGTGTAGCCGCGGGAATCAAGGCCATGCGGGGAACTGTGAAGCTGAGAGACGGAGAGCAGGGGGCACCAGAGGTGCCTGCACATGTTTTTCCTCACAGACTGCACATCTGCCCACACATCAAACCTAAGAAGCGTGTGGCAAGCAAGCAGCGGATGAGGACGACGATAGAGGAAGACCTTGCAGAGGTTGTTGTGTGTTCCTGTGAGCACCTGTAAAAGAGTGTGTGTCCATGTGCTTATATGAGAGCAAGATGTTTTAAAAGCTCAGGGCTGGGAATTCCAAAAGCATCTTAGCTCAAAGATGATTCTTAAATGGTAGAGTGAGCATCTCCCTGAACACTCTCTTTATCAGTTAAAATGATCTTGACCCTAAGATGCTTTTGGGAAACTGGGCACAGATTAGTGAAACATTTCTTTTTCTTTTTCTTTTTTCCGTTCAGATCCAAGAAAAAATAGGAGAGTTGGATCTGGAGCGCGTGTATGACCTAATGCCATGTCACCCGGAGCTGATAACCAGCAACATGGACAGACAGTGTATGGCATATATACACATACAGTACTGTGCAAAAGTCAGAGACCACCCATCATTTATTGTCCAGTACAAATTTTATTTTTTTTAAGGATATTTCTGCAAGATCTGTTAGACCACCAAAACTGTCACCATCAGATAAACAGTATTTTAAGCTTTCATCTTTGAGAGAGAGGAGAAAATCGACCTCCACTCTTGCTTCAGATCTGAAAAAATCCACAGGTGTTTCTGTCCATCCTCCCACTGTGAGAAGACAACTCAGCGCTATGAGTCTAAAAGTATGTGTAGCTGTAAAGAAGCCCTAAAAAAGCAAATAGACAAAAAAGACGAAAATTTGTACTAGAACACAGAAACTGGACATCTTAGATGTGGAGTAAGAATTTATGGACTGATAAGTCAAAATTTGAAATTGGGATTACTTGGATCATGAGAAGTAGAGAATAAAGCCATCTTCTAAGACTGAATTTTGGAGGTGTGGAAAAATATCCCTGCAGATTTCTTTAAAATCTGAAAGCAAGTCTCCTGAACAGACGGGAAGCTGTAATAAAGGAGTGTGGAGACACTAAATACTGCAAAGATTTTTAATTATATTTAGTTGTTGAGGTTTTAGTGTATGTTTTACTTTTTTCCTGACACTGAAAAATGAATGACTTGTTCTTAATGTCTGTTTTGACTGAAAATGAATGAAATAAAGGATGGTCTCTGACTTTTACACTGTACTGTACATTTTTTTTCTATCTTTCTCCTAGTCTTTCTGTACATCTTAGTGTCTCTCCTTTTCTGACACCCACCACTCTTACTCATTGAGAGTTATATTGCAGTTACTGGAAAAATCACTGTTTGTGACGTTTGCTTTAGGCTGTATTGCCAGTGTACCTAATGAGGCAGAGGAAGATGGGTGCCATTTCCAAAGCCACGTTACCAGGCTGAAGGTAAACAAACTGAATACACTGACTGGGCTAAGAGTTGGATTTCTGATGGTCCTTAACAATTTCGATAATTGCGAATGTGTAAAGAAAGCATCCAGTTATTGTCTTGTTTTCTTTTCTAGGGTAAGTGTTCAACCTTAATAATGAGCTGGAAATGTAGACAGAGTCTAGTAGAGGTACAACATTTTTTTTTTTATTCTAATGCTCTCTCAGGGGTGTAATTCTATGCCAGACCTGCAGAGGGAGACTCTGCTGGAGGAGCTGGAGATGGAAGCACTGCCAGCAAGGCCTCTGTCCCCTTCAGTTCTTCTGTCTACCAACTCCTGCTCCCCTCTTAAGAAGCATATAAACCCTGCTGAGGATCTGAAGAGGTCAGCAATACACACAAACATGAATGTATTGATTCATTGTGATGCACTGATCTGAAGGTGGCGGTTTAACTGCATCGATTTTGGAATTGTTTAATTGATCAGTAATAAAAATACATCAATATAAAGAAACTGGGGCTCCTGTCAAACCATGCTAATAAGATATGCTAGACCACCAAAACTGTCACCATCGAATAAACAGCACTTAAAGCTTTCATCTTTGTGAGAGAGTAGAAAATCAAACTCCACTCTTGCTTTAGATCTGAAAAAGTCTGCAGGTGTTTTTGTCCGTCCTTCCACTGAATCATTTCTTATTTCAAGTATCCTAATCTAACTGAATCTTGTGAGGTCAGAGATTTACACCCCTAGTCCAGTGTATGGATGTGTAAAGAATGGTTAGATGGTTAAAGGAAAGTAGACGATATCAATGTTTCATTTCTTTATGTCTGTCTTGAGAACATAACTCTTATTGCTGTTGTGGTTCCCTATAGATCTTCAGACCTCACTATAGCAACACAGCTCTAAAATGCCTCAGTGTTTGTCTGTAGATTGTTACAGGACACAGATGCGGTGGATACGTCCGCGCTGGCTGATTCTGAGGCGGATATTCCTCCTTTAATACGAGCTTTGGCTGGCAGTGGCTCCAGCAAACTGGAAAAGCTGACACAAGTGTTGCAGGTACACAGTCTCTCTCTCTCTCTCTTTCTCTCTATCTCTATCTATCTATCTATCTATCTATCTATCTCTATCTGTCTCTCTCTATTTCTATCTATCTCTATCTATCTCTCTATCTCTCTCTCACTTCACATTCACGTGGAACACTATTACCACCACCAGACCACTGTCTGAAAAGCAGGATGAATAGATAGAATGTCTGATACAGGGGTAATGAGGAAAGTGCTCTTAAAACCAGTGCGGTACACAGTGTGTTGATTATAAAAGACTTCCAAACCCTGGTCCTGAGGCATGTTCAACTTAGACAGCGTTCCTAACTAAGTTTCACGTTCACAAACCTAACTAATGCAGCTGCAGTTAACAGCTTTCTCTGTATATCCTGGTTTAGAGACTCAGACTGTGATTGAGTCCTCATGCCTATGCATGTGAAAGCGTGATGTTCATGACGAAAGGCCAGTCATGTAAAATATCTTTTCAGAAAATAGAAATACTGTGTTAACATGTAGAAAGTTTATAATGGAACAATGTAATGCTGTCACCACTGCCACCGTTAGTGCTTAGTGGAGTAACAGTTACTTTTTTAATGTTTAATATTTTTTTTAATATGTATGTAGTATGATTGGTTTCCTTCAGTGAAAAGTGATATTTTTTACATGTCTGACGCCACAAACATCTGAAAGAAAAAAAAGTATGATGAAAATAACGGGAGGGGTCCATGTATGTCAGTGTCCCTGATTGGTCAAAGGGCTGTTTGGGATCTGAAGTTTAGAACGTAATCTGGAGCAGGTTATGTGTGCAACATAAGTTGCCGTGGCATTGTAGCACAGTAAAAAGCAATCAAGTATTACTCCGATAAGCACTAATGTGGTGGCAGTGGAGACAGCTTTTTTTTCAGTGTTATAAATAATTTACTTTCTACATATTTATGTAGATTTCTGTTCTGCTCATCTCTTCATGTTTCATGCGATTGGCAGTTCGTTATAAAGGTCATGCTTTCTTGCGCATGAGGATTAATCATAGCTTGAGTATCTAAATGTAGATTAGCAGAGAAAGCTGTTAACCATCTTTGTGAAGCAAATTAACCGTGTTTCCATTTGCTAGCTTTTGTGAAGCTGAAACTTTGTTAAAAAAAACTCTGTCTATGTTGAACTTACCTCGTGAGACTGTCCTAGAGTAAATAATGACACTAGAGCGTCCGTGTAAATGAAAACCCTCTGCCCAGTGTATTTGTGTCATTGAGACTTTAGGCTAAACAGGGTGGTGTATAGTGTGAACACAGTAATATTGACTAGGTAAGGTAGAGGCATTTGTGTTGTAGTGTTCTCACTCCTCTCTATGTGTCTGTCTGACAGAGACTGGAGGAAGAAGAGGAGGAAATGTTGAAGAAACAGCTTGAATTGGCGAGGCCACTGCCGCCTCAGTCAGACGTGGAAAGTGTAAAGGTATCCACTCAGGGCGTTGCACGTATAGCAGCGGCTCGCGTGTCCGACAGGGTTCTGACTGAGACTGTCAACATCAGCATGTACCCACCTGTCTACAATGACCTCACTGGAGAGGTACAGTAACTTTCTTAATATACCTCACATGCACGTTCGTAGACATTTAAACACATTAGTATTGCTGTGCCAAAGATGTGGAGACCAAAAAAACTGTTCAAAAATGTTTCTCTTGACAGAAAGTGTGTTTGTGCCAGTAAAACCCTCCAGTTATCCTATGGATTTGTCAAATTCCATCAGCAGCGTATCTGTTTTCATTTAATGAAGGATTAAATAAAGATAAAGGTTAAATGAAGATAAACTAGGTACTGGATGATAACTGTATATACTGGGCTTCCATGGCAATGCCTAAGCTAACATACTGCAAGACTTAAAATCACATTTTCTTGTTTTTGCTGGTGTTTTTTGAACAAATAAATGCTTACTGCCCAGATAAATGACTAGGGTTTTTGCACAGTACTGTATGTGTTTGTGAAGCACATGGAAATGTGATTTGTCTGATATACAGTTTTGGAAAGTTGACCTAATTGGGGATAACTATAAGGCTTATGTTATGATCTGCGCAGTAACAGTCTATATTATATTATCCGCCCTATAACTTGCTGTTTAATGTTTTGGGTAGAGACTTAAGGTGGCAAACTCACAGAGCTGAGACCAGTTTAGTAAGTACAAGCTCGCCCCCTTAATCTCTATTAATGAATTAAATTAAATAAATGACTGAAAAGTTTTTGAGATATGATAATAAAGAAAATGTGGAGGAGTTGTTATTGGTTATTGAGAAATATTTTGAATATTGAGCACAGCATGATGGGACACTTCTTCAGTTCTAGTTGGTTGGGTATGGATGTTTTTTTAAATGTTGTAGCATGGAACACGCTGGTGCATGGGCATTAAATCTACAGTGGCATCATTGGTATAATATTGCACACCAAGACTCAAAACTCAACCACAAATTGTTGTAAACGTGTTTTAGATTGAGCCTTCATCTGTCACTTGGCTTGATCGGAATCTGTTTGGAGGGGCTGAAATAAAAGAAGTCTACAAAGAACTATCCAAAAGTCTTTCGGATGAGTACCTGCACTTTGATGAGGTCAGTAGCTGGCCTGCATTCTTAAAACTCCAAGTTAGGCATATTAAATGAGCTTATACACTATATGGCCAAAGGTTTGTAGACAACTGGTAATTTGTTCCAAAATCAATGATAGTTATACTGTCTGCTTTGCTGCAGTAACAGACCCTACTCTTCTGGGAAGCTTTACACTAGATGGAACATTGCTGTGAGGATTTAATTGCATTCAGTCACAATAACATTAGTGAGGTCTGATATTGATGGATGATTAGTTCTGGATCAGAAACACCACTTAAACTAAATTCCACTGCTCCACAGCCCAATGCATCCTCTCTAGCTGACGTTTGAAATTAGGCATAGTGAGCTTAGACTTATTTGTGGCTGCCCCAGAGTGTGTCCCATTCTATTTGCAGTGCTTGACTATGGAAATTATACAAGCCGTGCATGCACAGTTGAACGCGTGTGTTAGCAACGAGGGCACCTTAAACCAGCTGAATTCACAAGTTAGAAGGGATGTCTGGATACTTTTGAATATATGATGTATTTTGTGTGATAAAGCACATATGAACTATATGAAGTATGTGGACACCCCTCCAGGTGTTTCAGCCATGGCCATTGCTAACAGTGTATAAAATCAGACACTTAGCCATGCAATCTCTGTAGACAAACAACAGTAGAATGGGTCACACTGAAGAGCTCAGTAACTGTAAACATGACACTGTCATAGGATGCCACCTTTCAACAGATCAGTTTGTGAAAATTCTACCGTGCTAGATCTGCCCTGGTCAACTGTAACTGCCATTATTGTGAAATGGACGCATCTAGGAGCATCAACAGCTCAGCCTTAAAGCGGTAGATCACACCAACTCATAGAACGTAACTACAAATATTGTCTATCCTCTGTTGCATCACTCACTACAGAGTCCCAAACTGCCTTTGGAAGCAACATCTGCACAAGAACTGTGTGTCGGCAGCTTCATGAAATTGGTTTCCATGGCCGAGCAGCTGCACACAGGCCTAAGATTGCTATGCGCAATGCCAAGCATTGGCTGGGGTAGTGCAAAGCAGGTCGCCACTGGACTCTGGGGCAGTGGAAATGTGTTCTCTGGAGTGATGAATCACACTTCACTATCTGGCAGTCTGATGGAAGAAGTAAACACAGTAGTAAAGTTTGGTGGAGGAGGGATAATGGTCTGGGGCTGTTTTTCAGGTTTTGGGCACTTTAGTTCCAATGAAGTGTATTGTTAATGCTACAGCATAAAAAGATATTTTAGACAGTTATGTTTCCAACATTGTGGCAACAGTTTGGGGGAGGACCTTTTCAGTTCCAGCATAACTGTACCCCTGTGCACACAGCGAGATCCATAAAGACATGGTTTGACACGTTTGGTGTGCAGTGGCCTGCACAGAGCCCTGACCTCAGCCCTACTGAACACCTTTGCCATGAATTGGAATGAATGTTGATTGTGAGCCAGGCCTTTTTGTCCAACACAAGTGCCCAACCTTACAGATTTTCTTTTGACTGAAATTCCTTCTTTTGACTGAGCCTTCCCAGAAGAGTGGAGGCTGTTATAGCTGCAAAGGAGGGAAACTTCATATTAATGACCATGGTTTTGGAATGGGATGTCCATCAAGCTCAGATAGGTGTAATGGTCAGGTACCCACATACGTTTGACCGTATAGTGTAGTTCACTGTGTACAAACATTAGAATGTTGTGTTGAACTAAAGTCTGTTAGCAGCTTAAAGTTGTTTGACAGTAATTAGTAATTAGCCTTTGTCTACAGAAGCCTCCTAATTTTCTTTTCATTGCATACAGAAATTGCTCATTAAAAGTAATTTTCTTCAAATTCCATATTAAAGTAAGTATTTGTGGGTTTTTTTTTCCTTTTAAGGACCCTATGATAGAGCCTGCGTTGAGCAATGCCGAACTATTGCATGGCCTGAAACGGAATCATGAAAAGAAGCTGATGAACCCTTCACTTCGGATGCCAAATCCTTGTGGAATATCGCACAGGTTGTGTTCTCTCGCCTTTTTTTCTCTCTCTCTTTCTCAGTCCCTCTTAACAGACAATGTCAACAAAAGCAGAAAAGACCAACTAAGACGCCATTTCACATTCAGTCTGCAGGAGGCTACAGTGTTACGTGAAGGTGCTCCATGACCTGAACTACTCACACAAAAAGTTGCAAAAAACTGAACATGAGGTTTTGTAAGATACATCCCACAGTGTGTCCAAACAGTTAGCAGTCAGCTCTTGGTTTTGGTATTTTTTCTGAGAGCAGGAAGAGAATGAAGCTTGCTGCAGATCGTAAGAGGCCAGCGGAGGTGACATCTCGAGCTTATGTAGCTTGGCATCAGTGGTGGAAGTCTAACCTGTCCCTGGATGATTACCTCAACTACATTTCCAACCAGGTGATTCCTAATCAGTGCATGTGAGAAATTTGATTAATGCTGCAAGAGCTTATAATGCACACCTCACTGGTTCTTGTTTCTTCACACATGAAGGAGTCAGATTACCTGTCTGCAGTTTTTCACCTGTACAACAGTGATGACAGCGACGAAGAGGACGAGAAAAGGAAGATGCTGCAGCTGCAGAGAGAGAAAATCAGGTCATTCAGTCAGAGAAAGAAATGCTGATTCCTTTGGGTTTTTTGTGTGTTTTTTACTCAACACATGAGTCTCCTATTGTTAAAGTTGTCTGCATAATTAAATTTAAGATGTAAACCAACCGTCCACAGTGGTTTAATGTGAACTGCTCTGTTCTAGAGAAACTCAAAATTCTTCACAGTGGTACAGATGGGAACCAGACCTCTGAAAAATGTAAAGGGCTTATATCCTACATTTTTCTTGTATTTTTTGCCTCCCTGTATTTGGTTTCAGCGTTGCTCCAAAAGTGCTTTGTTGCCATCTCACAGATGCTGCGTTAAACGCTGCGTGCTAATTTTCAGTACCAAGTCTGTTTTCGCACATGAACAGTCTGAAATCAGAAAGAAGTCCGAGTTTACATGCACTGAGAAATCTGATTACCGCGCTGAAATCCAGCTCTCTTTATTTTGGATTTCTAGGCCTTACTCTGATCTAAGAAATTGGAGTAATCTGTTTACACGACACCTGTTCAGGGTGTATCCTGCCTTCCACCCACTGACTGCTGGGATAGCTCCAGCTCCCCCTGCAACCCAGAAGGGTGAGCGGCTTAGAAAATGTGTGTGTGTGTGTTTGATGGCCATTTAAATAATCAGATAACAGCAGAAATCTGATTATGATCTCATTATTGGGTGCATGTAAACACACTCAGGGTGCCCTCTGGTTCCTATCATGAAAAAATTTGAGTCAGTGGAGCATTTCACATGCAAACCACTCTGACTTTGTTTACAACTTAACCACTGGCTTATGCAGAAATTTCAGGGGAGCTGTGTTGTTATCTTGGCTGTATAGGTTAGAAAGCACACAGGCCCTCTTTTATGTAGCACTGCCAACAATGCATGTAGTTTCTGTGTTTTCATTAGTGCGCTAACTCGCTAGCGCTAGCATCTTGTTTTCTTCTCTTGTCCGTCCAGGTTGTTTCATCAGAAACTCATTAGGAGGCACAGGCGTTAGAGATGCTTTTAATGTGCAAGCCTGTTATACATTATGTTAAGTGACCTAGTTGTGCTCTTGTTTCAGAAAGCAGCGAGAGAAGATGGATGCGCTGAAGAAGCAGAAGCAGGCCTATCAGTCTGGACTCTGGAACGTCAACACAGTGCTGATGGGGGGTCTGTGGAAAGAGCCAGTGCCAGATGGTAAGTTATTCCCCCTGCTGCTACAGCTTCCACAGTAACCTATTTTAAGCCACACCATTGATATGGATGTCATCAAATTCCAGGTGGATCTTTCATTTGAGCGATGCTGGTGTCAGTGTCTGTTCTTATCCACACGTAATGTGTAACTTTCCACTTGACAGTACTTCCACTTGATAGCCTTGAAATTATTTTCGGGGTGCAGCATCAATTCCGCAAGGTGTCCTCAAAATAATAGTGGTCAATAATGGAATCCTCTAAATAATAGCATTAAATATACTTATAAAGTTCATTCTAAACCAGGGGTGTCCAATCTTATCTGCACTGGACCAGTGTGGCTGCAGGTTTAATTCCAAACAAGCAGAAGTATCTTATTACATGGTGTCCCCTGCTCCAAACAGTTAATATACTTAGTATAGTGAGTAAAAAGCAAATGAAAACATGTCTTTTACTTGTATTTAATCGAAAACAGCACAAAGAAGAAATATTTAATATTTTATTTCATCAACTTAGTTGATTTTTGTACATATGCGTTAATTCCAAATTTAATGCCTGCAACACATTCCAAAAAAGCTTGTATAGGGACAATGTAAGACTGGGAAAGACTGATCAAAAACAGTTGTTTTGGAATTTTCCACAGGTAAATTTGTGAATGGGTAACAAGTAAAGCTATCATGATTGGGTATAAAAGGAGCATTCACAGCAGGCTCAGTACCTACACATTTTGAAGCGATATGTTGCCGTCTAGATGACGTCTTTTTCAAGGATGTCCCTACTTGTTTCAACAAGACAATGCCAAGCCACATTCTACACTTTATAACAGTGTGGCTTCGGAGTAAACGAGTGCAGGTGCTAGACTGACCTGCCTGGCCAGACCTGTATCCCATTGAAAACGTATGGAGTAGCTTAAGTGTTATATCAAGCAAGAATGCTAAAAAAAAAAAATCCACTTTCTCAACTACAACAACTGGTGTCTTCCCAAAGGTTGCTGAACATTGTTAAAAGTGGTAAACAAGCTCCTGTTCATAACTTTTTTGTAGCATGTAGCAGGCATCAAATTTAAAATAAGAGTATATATACAAGCAAATACAATAAATTTAATTAGTTTAAATGTTACATATGTTGTCTTTGTACTGTTTTCAATTGAATACCAGTCAAAAGGGATTTGCAAATCATTGCTGTCTGTTTTTATGTCCATTTTATCTACTGTTACAACTTGTTTGGAATTAGGTTTGTAGCATCTGATTGCAAACCTGACTGTAAATAAGTTTTCATGAGCTGAAATGAATGAATTCAGACATGACCGTGAAAGTGGATAAAACATGATTTGCTGTGTGTTTCAGAGGTGGAGGGCATGGAGAAGGAAATCCAGCATGTGGTGAGCTGGTGTTTTTTGTCTTTGTGATCAAAAGCTGCTTCACTGACCAGCACAGCCTAATGTGTTTCCTAATGTTCAGCAATTTCAGCACATCTTGCTTTTTATTTTTGTTTGAATTGACTTTGCTTTTATGTGACTCTCATGACGAGTTCCCATGGCGCAGATGAAAGCTTACACTGTTAAACACTTTAGATGCTAATCCTCTGTTGGAAAACCCTAGATAATAAACAAGGCGTCTGTGTCCAGGAATTGTCCCTCAGTGTCTAACAAGCAAAATTACACAGATACACTAGTTTTGCTAGAATTACCTGCAGTAACACCTCATGGGTATGTCTAAGAATTAATCTGTGTGTGTATTATGGTCAATGTATGTGTGTGCAGGGGACAGGGGAAGACCACACTGTGTCTGTAGCAGAGCCTGTAGATGGGGAGCAGGTACAGGCCAGGCTGGAGAAGATCTGGACGATACTTTGCCTGCCTGAGACACAGAGGTTGGACATGGCCATTAAGTACAGCTCTCATGCACACAGGGACAAGCTGGAGGAGGTAGAGCACCATGGAACAGTGGAACTATATTTTCTTTTGTCACTAATAGGGATGGAACTCTCCCTGATTGGAATGATATACTGTGGTATAAAACCCAACAGCAATCATACCATTTAATAATTTTATTAATTTAGATAACCATGTACAATCATCACCTTTTTAAAATGTCACAGTGGAAGTAAATGGCCTACTGTCACAGTTTCCCTGCAAAGACCACGGCAGGACAACACATAGTTACGTACTTACAGTCAGGGCCCAGTTACCTGGTAAAAATCCCTCACTTTAATTTCGTTCGTCAGAGTTCTCTCACTACAATATTCAGCCTGCATATTAAACAAATACATCACATAACAGTTGCAAAGCACTGTGGTGTCAACCAGTCCTAACTGCTAGCCTAGCCACTGATCTGTAGGCCTATAAATACAACCAAGCTGGTATCAGTGTAACTCCTATCTCAGTCATCGAAGCAACCACGAGTCTACCTTTATTCCGCACAAATTGAGCGCCAGAATCAAGTTTTACCCTTTTAGCCAGAAAAAGAAGCCAAACTGAGGTATCTAGATAGCTATGAAGTTGTATGTCTGCAGTAAGATATTTTGCTTCTTATTAGTGACCTTAGTCATCTGCCTTCCTTTTAAATTTACCAACCACCAAAACAAACAAACAAAAATTTCAAGCAGCTTGCTCCCAAAAATCAACTCTAAAGTTGTAGTTTTTGAAAAGTTCCTCACATCTTCAAGATATGCCTACAGAATGGGGCTTTTCTTGTCTTTAAACTGTAAAATCTCACTTTAGAGACAGCACTGTAGAAATCTCATTCTAGAGACACAATTGTAGGATACATATAAGTATGTTTAAAACTGTGGCGATGGTCACATTCTTCATTTTGGCCCGAGGCTGCATAAAATGCTAATGTTTTTGATGTTATAAAAAATAAAGGTTGTTTAAAAGTTCAGTAGAACGCATGTAGTGAAGTGATTCCAGTATGTCTTACTGCTTTTTTTAAAACAGTATATTTTAACAATAATATGATAACCTTCCTAGTCCCTAATGGTATAACTTGTGCAAAATAATTTTTAAAATGAAAATGGCACATTGGTGTGTTTGTGTTAGGCGACAGCAGCGTGGGAGCAGGCTGCTCAGCTGATCCAGCAGAGGGAACGTGTGCTATCTCAGCTGGAGCAGTTTGAGAAGGTGGCATCAGACCCCAGCAGGTTCTTCCAGCATGGTATACATTTTACCTCTCCAACAAGGAAGTGGAAATTGAGCACAAAAATGTAAAACTAAAGAAGACTTTTGTACATGTATCATGAATTTTATTCACGCCACACAGCACAATGAAATGCCAATAGAATCAATGACAACGTGAGTGAATATCTTATAGCTGTGCTTTAACGTATACCATAGCAGTGAGAAGAATGTATAATGTGTCATATTTCCTTTTCTTTTTCATTTTATCTTCTCCCTTCATTTTTCTTGCTCGCACAAGGACTGGGCTGCCAGTTTATTAGGTACACTTACTTAACCTTGTATTTACACTGATTGGACATTTTAATAGGTTTTACTTTTTAAATGTAGGGTTTTAGTACCAGTAACATCAGTGGTCTTGTGATTGTCCCTTTCTAGTGATGGACAGAGTAAACTGTGAATAAACTGTGCAGCAACATATAGGATACAGTCAATAATTGTAAAAGTGCACCTATATGGTGGATTTACTTGATAAAATGGCCAATGAACGTAGCTACAGGGTAGTTACTAAACTGGCAACTCAATGGATTGTATACCCTCTGTGTCAAGGTTACCATGGCACCTCTGCAGCCAGAATGGAAGAGGCAAACCACAGACAGAAACTCGAGTCTCAGATTGCGGCTCTAGAGAAGGTGTTGTCCAAGACTATTCATCACATATCAGCAGCCTTCAATGACACTGTTACCTATAAGGTGAGTTACACACTATGCTATTGCCGGTCATTCACTTCTGCATACCTAGTCTCTAGCATGCAGCTGTATTCAAAACCATCCAACACTTTATAAGCCAAATGTTCTCTGCATCCACACTGCAGTTTTTGGTTTGGCACTGTTGCAGGGACGGCCATACAGAGAAAAGATGCGTTGGGACCGCATTGAGATGCTCTACTGGCTTCAACAGGAGAGACGAGTTCAGATGCTGGAGAAGCTTGTAGAAGGGAGAGGGAGTCTGCCTGCTAGACTGCCCCCTCTTGACTTTAGGCATGGGCTCTATCCAGGCACCGAACCTGCCCCAGAAGACCACTGCCCATTGGCTAGTCAAGGAACTATCCAGTCTCATGATCTCCTCAATTCTACGGAGCTCTGCATTCCATGCACAAGCATTCAAACTACTAGTAAATAAATATAAAGTTAGGAGGTATGTCTCTGCATACGTTTGTTTATGTAAGGTCCATAATTGCACTGATGCAATGAAAATATTTAGGTTTACTTTAATGACAGTGATATGGCCAAAAGCATATGAACACCCATTGCTAACAGGTGTATAAAATCAAGCATATAGCCAGGCAATCCCTGTAGGCAAACACTGGCAGTAGAATTGGTCATACTGAAGAGCTCTGTGACTTTAAACTTGATTCTGTCACAGGATGCCACCTTTACTACAAGTCAGTCAGGAAATTTCGCAGAGATTAGGATGAGGAACTTCAGTGGCCTGTACAGAGCCCTGACCGCAACCCCTGTGAACACCTTTGGGGTGAATTGGAACGTTCATTGTGATCCAGGCCTTTATGTATAACATCAGTGCCTGAGCTTACAAATGCTGTTTTGAATGAATAGGCATAAATTCCCACAGACATACTCCAAAGTCTTGTGGAAAGCCTTCCCAGAAGAGTGGAGACTATTATTATTATCCATGATGTTGGAATGGGATGTCCAACAAGCTCATATAGGTGTGATTATCAGGAGTCCACATACTTTTGGCCAAATAGTTTGCCAAATTTGGAAAAATGTAAACAAGGAAAAGTAAAAGACAGTTAAAATGATGAAGAAATGTTCAAGATTCTGCACTATTTCAAGGTCAAAAGCAAATTTGTGACATCGACCATGTTAACACTTTTGTAAAGATTTTTGAGTCTCTTTCATTGAAACGTTCGGACAGTGTCACTCAGGTGGATTCGATGTACTCGACAGAGGAAAAGAAATTCTGAAATTCATGTGAATATTTCAAAGACTCTACGTTTCACTCAAATTATTATACTAATTTGGAATTTGGAATTGAATTTTTCTCTTCAATTAGAAAAGAATGCAAAATAGAAGCATTTTCACGAGTCTCGGATTTTGGACCCCCCAGTATATTTTTGATGACTTTTTTTTGAGAGTGGCTTCCATAAAAACTCACGCCAAATGAAACTGCACTGTCGCTAAGCTGAAACAGAGTGAATGAAGACGCACTGTTTGCCCTTCTGAGCTGTAGGTAAAACATTCCCTCTGGCTGTGTGCAGCAGTGCTCAGCTACCTTAACAGCCAAACCCCATTACCTTTTACTTATATCAGCATTACATGATTATTGTGTGTCAGTGCTACAAAACAAAGGGTTATTCTAGCTTGACATTGTCACAATAGTGGAACCCTTTTTGGTGCTATATAAAACTATTTTCAAAGAGGTTCTTCATAAAACCATAAACGACACAGATTCCATGGAGGAACCACCTTTTTTGAAATCCACGTTTGAATTCCTCCCTAAGTTGGTCTCCTCTAAATCCGCACCCTCGTATACTGATATTCCTTTGTATTTTGCTTGATTTATTCATTTGAGAATACAGCCCCATTTACAGCAGTTTGGTAGTCATTTAAAGCATCAGATGGAGACCGTGTTTAATGCTTATTCCAGTAGGTGGTAGTATGTATTTTCCTCCTCAAACTGAAGAGAGGGAGAAAAAGAAACCGCCCAGTGCTTTGTAGTGAACAGTCCTGTCAGCGGAGCTTTTTCAAAGCCCTGCTGTTTCATTAGGACTAATTCACAGAATGACAGCGAGTCAGACGGGGCGACACGGGTACGTTATGCTCGCTTTGCGTGTTTAACTCGTAATAAATAACATGAAGTTCAAATTGTCCATTCATAACGCAATACTAGCACTGGACTAGCTAAGGTTAGCTAGTTAGCCGATGCAAAACACATCTGTTCGAGAGCTTTTTGCTCACTGACATGCACAGTTTGGTACCAGAAGACCACGAAGAAGACTTATTTGTTCATATAACAGTATTTGGTAGCTAAACTTTGCCGAGTTTGTTTACGGCTAACCCTCTCTCAACTTCAGCTTAGCGCAGTTGTCCGGCTAACTCACTGCTTTAGCAGGCGAAACCGAATAAGTTAACGCTAGCTTGTAAGTTAGCATCAGCTATCATAATATTACTTGTAAAACGTGCTTTTTAATGTTAATTTTAGCAAGGGTGTCGTTTACCTTTCCTGTATTAGATGTGACAATCCCTGTTATACGTTTATTATTGCTCCGCAGAAAGTAAACACCGAGACCTGTTAGCTTTTCAAAAGAGCAGGCACTTCAGCTCAACTTTGACTTTACTGATATTTGTTTTACATCAGCGTCCAGACCGTCAAACAGTCCGTTTAAAAGTCGACAGCGTCTAGAAGCAAAGCTTTGCTTTCAATCACATCTTTCAGCCACTTTTCCCGGAATCTGGTTTTCCCTGGCACATGTAGCGTCCTGGTCGACTCGACCACAAAGCGCACCTCCACAGGCAGAGTCTGGGCTTTGATTTTGGAGGTCTCTATGATGAAGTAGACGGCCGCCGTGCCTCTGGGGACCGGGCTGCGGCGGGTAGGGAGGCTCCAGAGGGCTCTGTAGTGGAACTGCCTCTTAAACTTCAGCTCCTTTTCCTGGAGGAACTGGACGCTGAACAGCCAGTTGGGGTGCACCTCCCACGTCCTCATGTACTCCTCGATCTGGGCTCTGCCCCGCTCGATGGTGAACTCTCCGCAGGACACCCAGTCGATGTTTGTGGTCTGGTATCCGGGCTCTGTATCGTTGCTGTCTGAGCTCGGGCAGCTCAGCGCGCTGTGAGCGCTGTCCAACACGGCCGTCACGAACTCGCACGCCTTCGTTTCCAGCGCTCTGTCGCCCGGTTCCGTCTCCATTGTGGGTACTGTGTCTCTTTTTTTGGGTGGTAAAGTTATTGAGCAGATTTCGCGAAAAAAAGACGCTGGTTAGTTTAATGTGTTGTTCCAGTCAGTACGTTGCTCGTTTCCATGGTGACCGATGCTTCATCCGGGTATTTGAGTCCTCCACATAGTTGAAAACTTCATAATACACTTTTACTGGCATTAGAGGTTCTTTAACCTGACTGTTCTACATAAGTACGTCCATAAAGAGGGATCCACCCGGTTTTTCAAAACTTCTGCCCAGTCAGTCGTTAAGATGTAAAATCATTGCTCAGTGCTCTGTTCTAGACAAACTCAGAGACAGAACTGTTCAGTGGTAGTGATAGGAACCAGACGTCAGAAGAGTTTAAAGGGGAATTCCACTGATTTTTCAAAATATGTACATAATTCAGTGGTTGAGATGTAAACGGAGTCATTCATAGTGGTTTGATGTGAAATGGTCCATTGTAGAGAAACAGGCTCAGATTACAGTGGTGGTGATAGGAACCAGGGGTCACGATGCCTACAACACAAATATGGTCATTTTATTAACTATCCAAAACCATCATTGAACCTACACGTGTCATCTGAGTTTTTATATGTAATGTTGATGATGGTAAAATAGTGGTAAATCTGAAAAAAAAAAATTTCTTTGAGGACTATTTTGCCTTAGAACACCCTTCATGTACCCATCCACCACGAATAGATTAAAATAAATTGATTAAAATACATTTTAGGCAAAAATTTTATCGTAAACCTACTATGAAACAGTATCTTAGACATCAGGCTAAGTATTCATAACCATTTAATATAATAACTTTCTGTGAGGGAGCGTTCAAAGCCATAAAACTCTTCAGATGTCTGGTTACAATCACCACCACTGTGAACAGTTCTGACTCTCAAGTTTCTTTAGAACAGGGTTGTCCAATCTTATCCACAAAGAGGTGGTGCGGCAAAGCAGGAGCACACATGATCAGTTATTTGAAGACTGAGACTGAATGATTAAACAAGTGGAGTCAGGTGTGCTCTGCTTGTATGAAACGAAAACCTGCACCCACACCGGCCCTCTGCGGACAAGATCGGACAGGCCTGCTCTGGAACAAAGCATTTCACACCAGACCACTCTGAATGACTTTTTACATATTGACCCTTTACTTATGCATACTATATACTATACTTATAAAACTTATTTTGAAAAATCATTGGAGTTCCCCTTTAATGCCTCTAAAAGTTCCCTCACAAGAGGTTATTAACGTTACAGTTACATGGTAACAGATACACTGTCCAGTGCCTTAGATCTTGTTTTACGATAGTTTAACGAGAAGATTTTGGCCTACAATGTATTTTAAAACACATTTGTGGCAGAGAGGTACATGCAAGGGTTTAAAGTAGTACCCAAAGTTATTTTGTCCTATTTGCCACTATCTCACCATTGTTAACATTACATATAAAAAGTCAAAAGTCTCTGTGGTCATTTTGAATAGTAAATTATTTGAATAGTAAAGATTCTGCCTTTGTTAACGTCTTAATGATAGAATTTTGCTGAAATTTTGCAGAACTTATCCATGAAATTTTTATGTTAGGAGACATTTTAAATTTTAAGCTCTTAAATTAGTTATTGTTGTAGTGAGCTTGTATGATGTCATGGTTTTATGTCGTGTTTTACAAGTCGGTTATTCAGTAGTAGTAATATCAATAGACAGTTGTATGTGCTGTGCCACTAGGTCATTCTAACAAACCAAAAACACTTTTTTATTCTGGACAAGTGTATTAAAGCCTGATTTTGTTTTGTTTAGCGTGTTGTTTTGCTAATGAGCCCTCTGTTCTCAGGTGTTGTATAGGATGAAAAATCGTACTGGACACATTAACATGAAAGCTTGAGTGAGATGAGGGCTTTGGAAGGCCGGGAGCTGAGTAGCTAAAGACTTCGCCTGAACAACACTGCCCACTGTCCTTTCGAGTGACCTCACCGCATGTCGCGAATCCGGAATACACTGGACACTGTCACCAAAGCTGTCAGCGGGACAGTGAACACCGAGCTGCTCTCCAAGATCACTCGCCTCAGGCCCAATGCTGCCCCCTTGGACAAAGCTATAGAGGTCAAATTGGAGTGCCCGGAGTCGGAGCCCACTTCAGTTGTGACCGTGGCAGCACCTCAGCAACTGAGGACCAAAAATGAAGAAGTGAAATGTAAAGAAGTCAGCAAAGATGCCCCCAAACTTCAAGTCAGCCCAAATACACCTCGGGGGGGTGCATCCGCAGCAGTAGCCAAACAGACACTGCAGCGTTTCCAGCCCTCAGCCTTTGCTACAAACATGGACGAAACCTATAGCCACTTGGCCGAACATGTCAACACATACTTTGGAAGCAACACCCAGGAGGAGAAGATGCCACAGCAGAGGAGCAGTGATGCCTTTGTGCCATCAAGCACTGCTCACTTCAGTGGGACCAAGGAGCACTTCCCTGTGCTTTCACCTGTAGCTCAGAGAGCTGACCTGGAGCCACCCACCGCTCCACCTGCCCTCGACCAGACTAGACCAAACACAAAAACTTCAGATAAGCCTGGTCTTCAAGAGTCAGAGAGCAGTACACCACCCTCTCCCACTCCACAGAAGAAAGGCATCAGCCAGTATCTGTCATACAAGAGGCCCAGCATGCAGGCTTTTGTGGGAAGTTACATTGCCCCTCTGGTCCCCAAGTTCAGGGCTGATTCCAAGAGTGTGGATGCAGAAAAGGACAAAGCTGCTGAAGCAGCTCAGGGGGTTTCTCAAGACACAGAGGATGCAGAAACCAAGGAGCGGAAACAGGCGGAGGAGAAGGCCCAACGGCTGCTGTCTCAAAGGGAGAAGGTACCACAGCTGGGCAATAGATTAAATGAGGCATTTTGAAGACATCAAATACATAGAATGAATTGCTGATGCCAGAATGTATCAGTACATCAATTTAGGTTGATACAAGCCACACAGTGTTATGCACTGCTCTTCAGTTTTTAATATGATGATCTTGATAGATATCGTCCGTCATGATAATCTGACAGATGATAAATCATGTTCTGTTATCTGGTGTGTAGATCATAGCACGTGTAAGTGTGGATAACAGGACCAGAGCACTAGTGCAGGCAATAAAGAGAGTGACCGATGTGAAGATCACCATCAGCAGAGTGGAGGAACTCAGCTTTCATCTGCTGGAGTTCCCTGAGACCAGAGGAGTGGCTGTCACTGTAAGTGTGTCCATGTGTTTCTGTGTTTATACTGTTCAGACTCTCTTTTAGTGAAGTATGGTCACCATAAAATGATCCGTTTACACAGGATAAGAAATTACAGGGGAATGTCTACTCAATTAACACATTGTTTATTGTTAAAAAAAAAAGTTTATTGTGAGTTCTGTTATTTTAACGATAAACTATAACGCATAAAGTCAAACAGCAGGGTATTTTTTTGCCATATATGTTTTAACATTTGTTGATTCACTGATTTCTTTCCTTAAATGTGTTCTTAAGTAAAGTCTTAAGAAAAAGTCTGCATCAGATTCATGACGTGTTCTTAAACCACAGAATTGTTCTCACCTTTGTGCTCTTGAGTGTGTAGATTCTGTTCTTACATAAGAACAAATCCCAAATAAGAAAACATTAGTAAATGTCGGAATCTTCGTGAAACTGCATAAGTGGGTTTTAAGAAGAAATTCGTCTTTAGAATGGTTGGTAAATGTGGCCCATTGTACTTAAAAACGGGAATATATCACTCAGTTTAAAAAGGATTGACGTAACCTGAGTTTTTCTACAGTTCGTTTTGTAGTAAAAACCATCATAATCTTTGCAGATGCAGTTATGTACAGCCTGTAAAGGGGACATCCACCAATTTAAAAATGTCTGTATAATTCTGTCATTCCAATTTATCAGATATCATAAAAAAATATTGTAACAAATCGTGTATCGTGAAAGTTTTTCCCCATATCACCCAGTTCTACTGAGAGGAACATGCTGGGTGTTTTAAGGTAAAATAGTAACTGAAAAAAAGTTGTTTAAGATTACCACTATTTTACTGTTATAATCATTATATATAAAAGCTCATAGGACACGTGGATTCACTGGTGGTTCTGGATAGTACACAAAATGACTATATTTGTCTTCTAGACATTGTGACCCCTGTTTCCTATCACCACCACTGTAAAAAACGCGTACAACTACTCTGATTGACTTTGTTTACATCTCAAAGATTGAAATTTTGAAAAGTCTGTGGAATTTTCCTTTTAAATATTACTGTCATAACCGAATCAAATTGACTTTAGATATTCTGGCATTAACTACATTACTGAACCCATCATTTTGGAACTAAGCCTGTCCAAAAGTTTATCTTACTAGTTCACAATGACTTTAACTCATTGTCTCACTTGTTCTTTCTCTTTGTCTTTCTGTTCATCTGTTTTCGTCTCTTTGCAGGAGAAAGTTATTCCATGTCTATTACGGTTGCGTCAGGCGCGGGACCCCAGACTACAGGCAGCAGTGAGGCAGGCCCTTGCCCTGGTGGGCTACACTGACCCGGTCAAAGGCAGAGGCATTCGGGTCCTCTCCATTGATGGGGGAGGCACTAGGTATATGCTGCGTCATGTAGTTTTCTTAATGAGGTTAAATGGTATGAAGGAACTTTTTGTTAATGTTTGTTTTTTCTGATGTTGCATGCTGTTCTTATTTTAGAGGTCTGGTTGCGCTGCAGACTTTGCATAAGCTGGAGAACCTCACTGGGAAGCCCATCTACCAGTTGTTTGATTACATCTGTGGAGTCAGCACAGGTACAGAGCCATAGATATTATTGTCTCTTTTGTTTACTAACTCTATATTACGACTCCTTTAATTCTCAAAAAGTGTGAACTTTTATTAGATTACTTTGTGCACTCATAAAACAAGGAAACTCCTCTGATGCTATTCATGGATGGCCCTGGCGTTGTCTGAGCAAACAGCTTTGTTATACAGATTAAATATAGGTTCTAATGAAAGCCACAATCTGACATTCCAGAGCGACACTAATTGAAGGAAATTCACAGCTCCACATTTAAATACAATGAAGTCATTCACGTTTCTATATTTATCACACTGAAGGAAGCTGAAATCTGATTCCAAGAAGACAGCACAATACCTTTCTTTGCTAATACCAATATTGAAAGTTTGAAAAAAGTTTTTTATAAACTTATAAGCTTTAAAATGAGCTGTTTTTAATAAGCTCTTCACTTACGATGCGCATCTTAAACTAGGCTGCCAATCACAAACTACGCAAGTGCTCTACTACCTCACAGAAAGAAATGCTCAGCTGACAACATCACATCCCACAGAGTGATTCTGGATATTTCAGGATCTATCTGTTGCAGGACTGGATCAGATTAATACTCCAGTATCCATTCCAGTATTTTCTGCTGATATCAGCCCAATAACGATACCCATCGATACAGATATGCCATCTCTACCAACAACCAGTATTAAGTGACCTAAAGAAACACTCAGAAGTGCCATATTGTGGCACAAAGGTGCATTTTAAGGCTCTAAATGTTGCCTCAATACTGTGGCATTGTAACATGAGCTTGAAGGAAAAGTGATGCAGTGTTGTAGTCTACCAATAAATCAGCTGCTGATTATAATGGTTATAGAAGCTTTACTTGGTGGCTTGTTTGCATATTAACTTTGGATACCAACTAAATGTAGCTGGTATATAGATGTGTGTTTGACTGGATTAAGCCCTAGTGTGTAGTGTGACCCTCAAGAAATAAGTGTGCATAGGATGAGTGTTCAAAATATTAGGGATGCTTGCTTTTTAGACAGTCATACTGTACACCATCAATTGTTACACACATTCTTGGCTTAATTGTTGTATTCAGAAGTTAGTTGACTACCAAGAGCATGTCTTGAACTCTTTTTCACAGTTCTTAAAAACCCCAGTCTCTGATCTAGACTGATCTGATCTAGTTTACATTAGAATTACATTATGAATAACAGTGCTCTCTTATTATAATTACAAACCCAATTCTGAAAAGGTTGAGGTAGTATGTGAGATGCTAATAAAACCTGTGTTAAATTAAAAACATTACAATATGTGTGTTCTAAATTTGATGCCTGCAGCTCATTCCAAAAAAGTTGGGACAGCAGCATGTTTGCCTCTGTGATACATTATCATTCCCTTTAACAGCACTCAATCATTTGGGGACTGAAGACAGAAATTGAACCAGGTTTGAAAGCAGAATTAGTTGCCATTCTTCTATTATCAAAGTCCCTAGCTGTGCAGCCATACAGGACTTTGTCATACTTTGAGCTTAATAAGACACATTTTCTGTGGGAGTTTTTGACTGCAGGTAGGACAGTCTAGCACCCGCATTCTCTGATTACACAGTCATGCTGTTGTAACACTTACAGAATCCGGCTAGGTATTGTCATGCTGAAATAAGCATGGGTCTCCCTGGAAAAGATGGCGCCTAAAGGCAAAATAGGTTGCTCCAAAATGTGTTCATTGTTAATAGTGCTTTCACACTGATGTACAGGTTACCCACTGATAACCCCTCATACCATGACAGGCGCTGGCTTTGTTTTTGGTGAAGTGGCAAGTCTCGACCCATCCTTGATCATTAAGGATTAGGCATTTCCTTGATACTCATTTTATATCCGAGTATAATTGTGACCAGTTTAAGACGTCTTCTGAACATTTTACAATGTTCCTTGTCTTAAACTGCTTGATTTTATTTTTTTTTTGGAATGTGCTGCAACTCAGTAAATTCATAAATCACTGCTTTCTGTTTTTATTTGCATTTTACCTGCTGTCCCAATGTTTTTGGAATTGGATTTGTATTGATATTATTATTCTTACAATCACTTACATTAATAGTAATAGTAGTAAAAGAATTTTGGATGGCAGTTTTCTGTAAAATGTTTTCTTGCTAGTCGTGAACTAATCTGGTTGTTGCACAGGTGCCATACTGGCCTTCATGTTGGGGGTTTTCCAGATTCCTCTGCCGGAGTGTGAGGAGCTGTACAGGAAGCTGGGCTCTGACGTCTTCAAACAGAACGTTATCGTGGGCACAGTGAAGATGGGCTGGAGTCACGCCTTCTACGATAGTCAGATCTGGGAGGAAATCCTTAAGTGAGACCAGTAACTTGTTGGATTTTTATCTTATTAAAAGCTGCTTGTGTGTTATTGCAGTGAGATGTGTTATGCGTTTGTTAATAAATGTGTAATTTCGTTTTGTGATGTCTTTTACCCAACAGAGAGAGAATGGGGCCTAGTCTAATGATTGACACTGCCAAAGATCCAAAATGCCCAAAGGCGAGTTTCACATAGACCTTCAAGTAACTGTTCTTTCAATTAACACTCAGTCCTTGTCCTGGAGTACCACTGCCCTGCATATTTTAGAGTTTCTGGGTAGTAACGGAATAAATGTAATCAAGATACAAAGAAGGTAACTATAACTGTAATCCTGTAAACTGTAAAACCAGCTTTTCCGTAGTAGAAAGTAAATGTGTCACAATATGCATGTAAATCTTCATTGTTTTTGATTTGGTGGTAGCAAGATGATAGTTAGATTTCATGTTATAATGTGATAATGGGAGTGGTTAGATTTAAAGAGGACCTTTCCCTTTTTTCCCTTTCCTTTAGTGTGTAATATAGGTTTTTGTATATGTAAACGGTTTGCAAAGTTGCAAAGTCCGCGCCAGAGTGAGTGACTCACTCCCACAGAAACACTTTTCTGAGCTGCCTGAAACGTCTCGTTTCAATTTCAGCCCTTTTCCTTTGTTACAAGATGATGCAATCTTGTAACACAATCCTTAATGCCTGCCTACCGGCAAGCTTGGCACACCCTCACACCACACACAGCAACTACTGGAGGCTGGGAAGAGTTTGTTTAGTTTTGTAGCCATGTCGAGGAGACACTGTGTTCTGCGTTGTGAAGGGAAATCCCCTTTGTAGGTAGAACAATAAAGAAGTCAGTGATTGAAATTTGTGTTGGGGCAGAACTTGTAGCAGGATGCATCTCCCACTTTCAACTGCTCTGGCAGTTGACCAATTAGAACAGAGTGGGCAAGCTGACTTGCCCCCCAATAAGGGGACACTGGGCTCGTCGGGATGGGGGGCTTAAAGACACAGGGGCTGTAACAGAGTGTTTCAGAAATGTACAGTATATGAAAAATGTGTTTTTCTGAGCTGTGCTAGTTCCTAGCGTAGGCTTCTACTTACATAGCTATAGTGGGCTAGGTAAAAAAAAATGGCTAGTCCTGTACAAGGTAGGACTCTGGTTTATTAGCCAGGTGTGCTGCAGTTTAAATTTTCTTTTTTTCTCTCTCTCTGTTTGTGAAAGCTACAATGAAATTGTTGGTAGTTGTTGCTTACTTGGTAGTTGTCAGCTTCACTTTAACAGTGTTATTGTGCTTCCTAGCTACACCACTGGCATAATTTTAGCATTTAAATATCACCTGTGTCATTCATGTTCAGAAAAACAGTGCGGTTTTCTTGTTTGCCTTGTTTAAAGATGCCTTATTGAAATTTGTTTGTTTTTATGAGTAGTTCAAAAAGGCAAGTAATCCAAAAAGAATAAAAAGTCATCTGATTACGTCTCTTTAAAATAGTAATCCTTTGGATTATGTTTTTTAACAAGCAATCAGTACCTACTGCCAACACACATGATCTGTCTAACGAGTTAAGTAAAAAGCTTTTCCTGAGGTGAAAGGAAAACACTATCTGCAGGGCAATGATACTCCAGCACCAGGACTGAGAATCGCTGTTTCATACCTACTCATTCTGCATATGAGCATTGAATATGCCTCTGTCCATCCTCCAGGTGGCAGCAGTGAGCACCATAGTAAACAGAGGGCTGCCTCTGAAGGCTTATGTCTTCAGGAACTACAACTTCCTTCCCGGAGTGCGCTCTCACTACCTGGGCGGCTGCCAGCATAAGATGTGGCAGGCTATTCGAGCATCATCTGCAGCCCCAGGCTACTTTCAGGAATATGTGCTTGGGCATGACTTACATCAGGTACATTTGGCAATATGTGTTACACTGTCATTTTAGTTCCTGTCTGTTGAATTGGGTGGAGATTGAATTTAGTCATTCCAGCTGAGCTCTTAACTACAGCCCTAAAACTACATCACTGGTGATGTCAGTGGTCTGTTTTAAATTAGCTGCTAAATTGAAAAGAGTCTGTGAAGTTAATGGCTTTAAAAAGCTTTAAAGGGCCCATATTTTACATTTTCTTGCGTTTTACTTTACTTTTCTCTGTGTTTCGTGAGTTTCACTTTTGACACTTGTGACATTTCTTTTGTACCAAAAACTTAGCTAATTTTTACATGACCATTTCCAGTCTCTCTGTATGCAGTAGAAGTACCAGGCTATTAGAGGTAGTAATATAGTAAATATTATTTTATTAATAATATTATTATTAATAAAGTTGTTTAAAGTATTTTGCAGCTTTTAAGAGAGAGATTGTTGCGAGTTTGCACATTTGGTTCCCTCAGGCTTGTTTTTGTTGCAGCCCTGCTACACGTCACTCTAAAACCGTGGTCTGTGATTGGTTATTTTGCACATCAGTCAAATGGCCTTTCCTGTCAAAGAAGGCAGATCTTAGCAACGTTAAATGACAAAATGCACCAAACTCTGACAGTCGTCTAATTTTTTGATAATTTTGAGATTAGTACTGGTCAACTAGCTGTTGTGGTCAGTATGAAATATTAATGTTGTAAATTCACACACACACACACACACACATACATCTTCTAAGCCGCTTATCCTTCTGGGTCGCGGGGGGGAGCTGGAGCCTATCCCAGCAGTCATTGGCCAGAAGGCAGGATACACCCTGGACAGGTCGCCAGTCCATCACAGGGCAGACAAACAGACATATACATTCACATACACACACACTCACACCTAGGGGCAATTTAGCATAAACAACTGGCCTGGCTGCATGTCTTTGGGCTGTGGGAGGAAGTCGTAAATTCAATGTGATGCAGTTAAATATCTGATATAGCACAAAACAGAGCACTGGATGTACTCAGTTGTTGTTCTCTCTTACTGTTCCCCTAACATGAAATGACATTAATGGCGTATTCACATACTTTGTCATTTATCAAATAGCATGATGAGAGAAAAAAATATTCACTATAATTCAGTGCAGAAAGAGGGCAGTATTATCACAGGCTGTTAATGCAACACAGCATGTACTGGGTTTAGCTACAACTGGACTTGTCACTAAATGGAAGTGAGTGTGTGATCCACCCTAGGCTTTGCTTTTGCACTCATGAGAGTCCTTCAGGAAAGCTGTCAGCCTGTGTGTAGTAGCTTGAGAAGAGCGCCACACTGTCCAGCTGTAGTGTCACCCACCGAGTTCACATCCACACCGCCTCAATGTGCCTGTTGTCTGGAAAGGGCAAGGAAACAGCCGGCCACAGTGCTGAATGAATGCGCCAATTCAGACTAGCACTACACCACACCAGATCTGAATTCAATGGAGAGGTCGCTTCTATTGATCTATGGAAGAGACGGTCATATAACTGATGTCTCCGCTGCAGAGGGACGAGAAGTCAGTATTTGAGCGCTTGTTTGGGTTCAGTAGATTCAGAAGGTTCAGAAGTTCTTTCAGCTGAAATGAACACCATCGGGAATCCTATTGGAGGGTTGAAATAACCAGACAGATTTTAGGATTTCTTGTGCTCTATTTAAAGGAAATCAAGCTGGATAAAATAGAGGAAATGGCAGATTTTTGTTTTTAGGTTAAATCTCATATGTTGTAGGCATCAAAAGACTTTTATCTAATCTGTGGTATTTTTCAGGGAATTTATTTGACCATAAATTTAGATATTTTATGTATTCGTTTCCAAGCCTCTAAAACAATGGAGCACTTGCGTTATCTGCATAGTCCTTGCTATCATTTTCCCCCTCTTTTGTCTTTTTGTTGGTAGATCTAGTTTTCTGACTGGAGGATAACTTAACCTCACTAATGCATGGTGAATAGACTTTTCTCAGTCTAGTGCCCCATTTAACGGTGCGCTTAATATGGTTGTGCTGTAGTGGGATGAATGGTGGGGAGATTAAAATGTAAATGCGGTGCAAGCTCTTGGCTCGAAAACCTGTTGACGGCCAAGCTCCTGGTGGCTCTTGATGCCATGCTTTATTCCATGCTGTATTAAGAGGACTGCTCCCCATCTCTGTCTTCAGACACAGCTCTGAATACCACTTCAGTGCATACTCTTCATACCAAGCCAGCAATCTGTTATGCATAGCGTCTTTGAGGACTGCGCACAATGAGAAGTCAGCCCTGTTTCTTTGTTTCATTTTATCAGCGAGTGTTTGGGGTCTGAAGCTAATCTCACACCCGAGGCCAACTCAAACTGTGTGGAAGAGTTGGGTCCCAAATTTCTAAACATACATTTGGCTGTATTAAGTTGGAGTGACAGTGGAGAATCAGAATGAACTGCATAAATTGGTGTAAGAATTGATGATATATGGTTAGATTAGCCTTGCACATGCAAGTGACTTCAGTGCTATTCGAACTAGATTTGGTGTACATAGGGAGATGGTATAACATAATTTTTACCAGCACTTCTTAGTGATTTTAGTCCTGTCCAGAAGCAACATGTCAGTCATTTTGTGGACTGTGTGCTCCCGCTGCAGTAAAGATTGCAGTGCCTTTTTTCCAGTTTTCTCTCTAATTTAGGCATATCCAATCCCACCCACTAGTTAGGACTCCCCCAATCACACAACACCACCAGTGCTAGGAGGACGAAAGCTAGCACAGACTTTCTCCAATACCTGTGAAGCCAGCCACTGCATCTTTTCAAACTGCCGCTCACGCAACGTAATTGGACCGCCGAACGCGTTTAGTGGAAATGCCAACCGCCAGATCTGTTACGTCAGCCAACAGACACCTGCGCTGGCTAGCATCGGGCTGAGTGGTGGGGGGAGACAGAAAGGGCCATCCTACCCACCCAGAGAGAGGGAGGCCATTGGTGCTCTCTTGGACTCCTGGCCACGGATCAGATGTATCAGTGTGAAGAACCTTTTATAAAGCTTCATGAATCTCCACATAATGTAAAGTTTCTACAGCTGTAACAGTTTTTCCTAGAACCGTATGTCCAAGCCAAGAACGATTTGAGAACCTGTAGTTTGTTTTCTTCTGATTATATAGACATGGGCTATGCAGGAAAAATGTAGGCCACATAAGAACATAAGCAGGGAGGGTTTGATGTTTTTGCATTGCTTCTCTTTGTTTACCAGCATTTGGAATGAAAGAGATGATGCAAATAAAATTGGATTTCTGGTGCCTCAGGTGAAATGCGCGTGTCCACCCACAGTTTCACACTGAAGAAGCGCACATTTTGTGTGTTGATCATGCCGTTCTTCAGGGTTTATTTTAGGCGCAGATATTAATGTGCCAGGCATTTGCAGTTTTCTCTTCATATCCCTTCTAAGAGTAGACTGGATGGCTGAAAAAGTAACTAGAACATATTGAATTTGTAGATTGTTGCAGAGATACACGTTCCTCATAACCCTTCATGCATGTTTGTTCCAAGATAATGGAATCTTCCAAGAACCTGCAGCATATTTCGGTCCTAATTTTCCACTTGAACGATTTAAATTAGGCATAATAACAGAGCATCAGATGGTTAAATTCCTTGGCCTAAGGCAAAAAGAAAATGCACAAAAAGCACAACAAACTCAAAGCACTGGTAGGTTTTTTGTTAAAATATTGATTGTATGTCTTTTGTAAATTTCCTTTGTGACACCTAATTAGAAATTCTGTATATTTGGGGTAAAATATACATTGAACTAAAAGCACTGTACTAGGTTATTACATTGTATCAAAAAAAAGTAAAAAAGTACACTTAGAATTAACATCCTGTCACCAAATCATCACCCAGTCAAGAACCTTTTCAAATCTACGTCCAGCAGCAGATCTAAACTCCCACCGAAAATTTTTAAAGCAGACAAATGTGGCGTCGGTGCAAATAATCTGTGCTTTAGAACCGAAACTGCCATGTTTCTATAACTGCATTCAAATTTAGGTTGCACACTGTCATCTCTCCATTTTCTAGGATGCATTTCATCTCACTTATGCTCAAATTTGAACTGTCTTTGGAGTGTCTTCCATTTTCTAATGATATTAATAGCTTAAAGGGGAATTTACATGTGTCTTCTGAGTTTTTATGTGTAATATTGATTAAAAAGCGGTAAATCTGAAAAAAATGGAGCTCATTTGATGTTAGACCATGATGGTGCCCAAGCTTGAAGTTTAGATTACATGGAAATCCGATTGTAGTGCATGGAGGCTTCTTTACGGTAGATGTAGGCTTGAAGTAATGGTCTAATCACAAGCCAGAAAACTGCAGAGGATAAACAAATGCACATACTTTTAACGCAGTCTTCTTTATCATTTGCGCAGTTAAAATGAACAACACAGACTAATTGTGTGGAGTATCTGTAGAATCTGTAGCGATGGGTGAGAATTGTCAATTTGTAGAACATTATGCAGGTCAGGATAACTGGAGCCAAAACACGTTCTTATCATAAATGTGGGTACACTCGTCTTTTAAGTGTATATATAGGCAGCGTCCGTATAAGGCAATGACCCTTATTCATCAAAGTTGCATACAGTCACATCAGACAGTAAAATGAGCACAAATTTCCTTGACAGTTTTGTTATTCATCAGTTTCATCATTGGTATGTCTGTACAATTTAACTCACGACTGATAGGAATGTGTGTAAGTTTGCACATAACAGTTTAACAACCTTAAAGTTAACAGGCCAAATATGTCTTTAATATCATCTATTTTTCCAATAATAAGAAGAAAAATAGAAAATAACAATAGAAATAATAATTTGTGAACATGACAACCCAGTACAAAAGTGGATGCACTTATTTTACATGCACATTGGTATAAACAAATGCTGCAAAGACATATTATGTTGTGCTTTTGTTTTATACTGCTGACCCACTGCAATAACACAGCTTAAATATGCTATTTAGGACACAATCACATCATTCTACCTTAGTCCCAAAAAAGCTAAGCTTGTTTATTTCACATTTCCTCATCATTTTAACACTATAAAGATCAGTGGGTGAAGCAGTGCACTCACTGCTCGACCTCATACTCCACCTATGAGCACAGCCATTGGCTCACAAGCTGCTGAATGGTGTCATTTTATTGGCTTCCCACCAAAATGTATGCAGGAATTAGGGCGTGCTTCATGTAAATGATATGTAAATAAGGTACTGGTAGGCTGGTGCTTGATTTCATGCACTGAAGCTGATTCATCATTTGCGCTCAAGTCTTCCACATCATGTAAAGGTTTCGTGAATCTGATGCAGAGTGGTTCGTACGTTATTAAAGGCAGTCAGATTTGTGCTCTTTATTAACGCAGCTGTGATGAATAAGGGCTAGTGAGTTTCTGCTCGACAAGACACTTCTGCTCACCTCCTCTGCTTTTGAGTGGTCTTCTCTTCCAGCTCCTGTCTTCCGCCCATCAGGTCCACCCTTCAGCTGCAACTGCGTCTTCTTAACTCCATCATCTCTTCTTGTGTTTAAGTACTCCCTGTCTTTCCCTGTTTGTTTTGCAACGTTGTTGTGCTACCAATACCTAGATACATTTCTCATTTCCACTGTGTACAGAGTTTGAGTGTTACTTTTGCCTGCCTTATTTAGTTGTATGATTATGAATTTGCCTTTGTTCGCCCTTTCTGTCTGTGTCTTTGACTGTTCATCTTTGACCAGATGCCAGATTGGTTATGGGCACTTATGTGTCAGACTCAGTAACTGTGTTTGCCATCTAGTGCTTTGTTCTTAGCCCAGTCCAGAAATAGCTCAGCTGGTGAATCATAGCATGAGCTGTTGGACTGATTCCAAGTGACCTAAGAGGACAAAATGAAGAAAAAGAAAGTTCAGTCCTTATTTAAGTATATAGAATAGTTACCAGTTACCAGTGCTTATGCCTCTACCAAAGATTGTACTGGGGTGTGTGTGAATGAATAGGCCAGCTTTATTCTGTCATTTTTTTGTTGTCTGTGTTTTGTCTGCTTAGTGTTTTGCCCACCTACTGACTTACTTCTTGAGTCTGTAATCAAGCGTTTAGTTTGTAATGTGTCAGGAGCTGGAATAGAACAAAAAGGTGAAGTAGTTGGGGGTCCTAGAGGCCCAGGCCAAAAACCTTTGCACCAAGTTCTCCCTTCTAGTACTTGTTTATTGCATATCAAAGCCAAATTCCAGTGCAGTGCTTTTAAGGTTCCATTTGGAACTGGGTTCTTTGGAACATAGAAGCCTTAGAAGTGAACTGTATCTGACGCAGAAAATAGTGACACTGAAAAGGTAGATAATAGAATACAATACAATACAATAAAATACAGTTCAGTTTTCTCAAAATTCTCTGTTCTATTTCAAATACCAATGGACATCTAGAACCAAAACATTATGAAAGAAATAAAATACAGAATTTAAAAATTAAAAACACATCTAAAACCACCATCCTCAGACTGCTCCAACAAACACTGCACAGGACAAACTACGATACAAGATGAAATATAAAACCAGATAAAAAGGCTATCACTAGAAAATGGTTAAAACCAGACCCACCTACCGTGAATGAATGGATGGATGTAATACATGATATTTATATAATGGAAAAGCTCTCCGCCTCCCTCAATATGCAAAAGGAATTGTTTAACCAGATATGGGCAAAGTGGATTGAGTATATAAAACCCATAAGGCCAGATCCTTTTTTTCCTGCTGGACTGAACAATATGTGAATATGTGAAGATGAGCTATGTAAAATCTTTAGAATGTAAGCTCCCCTTATTATGTTCTGCTGTAAATAGTTTTGTTTTAAAGGAACATATTCTCAAAATACTGGAAAAGCTGTGTCACAGACAGGACTTGATGCACTGAGGATTGTATACTCACCTTTTTTATGTGTAAAGGTAGTATTGATGCAATTTGTCAATATATTTCTGTGAAATCAAACAGCTATTTCCTAATAAAAATATAATAAAAAAAAAAAAGAAATACAAAACGAGCAACGTGACATAAACAAACTGGTGCTTTGTCATCCATTTAAACTCTTGCAATAAAAGAAATATCACTTACAGTGCAAGTTTGTGCAAAATTGGACTGTTTCAGATAAAATAAGATTATGGTAATGCAATGACCTACATCATTTTTATGTATTTTAATACATGTACTAAACATAAAACCTACAAGGTAATAAATAAAACACTAAATACACTCTTTGTATTAATAAAAATCTGCTTTATGTACTAAAACAGAGCTGACAATAAATAAAAACAGTTTACACAAAATAAATTGAAATGATTGCAATATGTGGGCTACAGAATGTGCCACAAAATCAAACGTCCTCAACAACAGAGAATGGTTGATCATTCAAGGCAGTGAATTCCATTATTTTTGTAGTTTGCACTTTGGCTCTTTTTGCACTTTGGTCTCAAACCTGTTGTGGAAAAGTTCTTGGGTGTTATATCCCCTCTTGATACTCAATATGAACAGTGATTATAAATCTCTTGTCTGACGTTCGTCGTAGAAACTGTGAAATGGTTTCACGTGGCCACCCCCCCGCTGTTTATCTGCTGCTGCTCAAACTGTTTGAACCTGTCTGAACTGACCCAGCATAGGAGAGAGAAAAGAACTGACAGCATGTTTAATCACTGTTTCTTGTTTTAAGTGGTTTATTAAGTGTTAGGTTTTGACACTTCATTGCAGTCGTATTTCATGTTTTGTTGTTGATTTTAAGGTTTTTTTGTTTGTTTTTTTTGTTGTTTTTTTTTGACCAAATTTTCTGCCTTTTTTTTTCTTTCAGCTGAAAACTGGCATTTTCCGTTCCAATATTTTGGTGCGTCCCTAGTAATTGGAATACTGATTCTAGTGTAGTACACCTACAAATGCCAAGCACAATCAGATCAGAGTTGTATCAGATTTAATTTTGTTTTTATCCCCAATATCTGTTCCAGAATTTACTGCTGGAATTGGTCCTGTGCTGATACTGGGTGTCAGACCGGTACCACCTCTACGTTGTACGCGCACACATCATGCAATACATATGACTGGGTGAAAGAGACCCAGGGCTTTTCCTTTTCTCTGTTACTCACACTCATACATGCGTACATACAGATACCCATAACCCCCTGTGGCTCTCTTGGGTGTCTCCTGGGAGCAGGTGGTTCTGGACTGTTAACACTGCCTCTGTAATGAGTAGCACTGCAGAGCTGTTTGATCTGTACTGAGAGCAGTCAAGCCCCTCCCTGCAGTCTGAACCCCAGACTTCCCCCTCATCAGCCCCTCCAGACCTGCTGCTATATAATGGCTCTCTGCCAGCTCACCCTCAGGCTTCTGGATTCATAATTGGCAGAACTCTAAGCATATGAGATGTCTGTCACTCAGTCAGCAAGCAGTCCCATGTGAAGGGCTGCTGGGATATTATGCGACACATGCCACATAATGTCTGCATGGTCTTTTGTTAGCCAGTGAACTAAAGGCTTTCATCCAGGCAGAGATTTCGGGTGCTTTTATTAACTCATAAAAGGCATCACTGTCATCATTTTGCTGTATTATTTAAATAAAATTATGCACATCTATTGAATTACATAGCGAAATGATCAGTCATTTTTAAATTAATTTACATTGTGTATCAACATGTTAGAATCTGCATTTCTGACTTCTTTGCTGTGATGAGATCACAGTGAGTACATATTTTGAGCTTTGTCTGTCATCATTTGGGAGCTACTAAGTATGGGCAGCTAGGAAGCAAGATGGCTAATCAGATATCAGCCAGTTTGGTCACTTGTACTTTAATACGGTGTCCTAGTTGTGGTGTCAAATAATGACAGAAACATTTCAAAAACGTAAAGGATGATTTTTCTATCTCCAAAATACGACTGTACATGAGTGATGCACCAAAGCAAAAATTGAAAACTAAAATTCAGGGTGCACTTAGCTGAAAACTGAAAACTGAAAAATAAATGAAAAAGTTCTTTTATATATAACTTTATGTATAGTTTTTTTTTCTCCTTTTGAATTAACATAATAAAATTGGTGTATTGGGAGGAAGAGCTGGGCTGATTTAATTTTAAACAGCTTGCTAAATCACGTTAAATATTAAAAGTAAAAATATTTAAAAATATTAAAATATAATCCTTTATGATTTCCCAAAGCCATCTATAGCAGAATTCCAGCTAATTTTTTTTAATGGAGAAAAAACTTTGTAGGTTTCTTTGGTCGCTTGCACAGCCATCTTTTTTTCTTTTCTTATAATACTCTATGTTTGAAGTGTGCTTCTGAAAAACCTCCGTTTGAACGGTCATGCAGCCCTAACACTAGGCGTGAATGCCCAAAACAAAAGGGTAAGGGCTATGTGGTAGGGGTGATGGGTGAAATGGGATTGGGCCTATATTTGGCATTTCACCTCACTCTAGTGCAGTTCACAGCAACCCAGCATTCTGGATTAAGTTGACAAATGGTTGTGCCATGTTTACTATCTAGGTTACTTTATCTTTTTTGTGTGCAGGATGGCGGTCTCCTGATCAACAACCCTACAGCACTGGCCATCCACGAGTGCAAGTGCTTGTGGCCCAACACTCCTGTGCAGTGTGTGGTGTCTCTGGGCACGGGCCGCTACGAGACGGCCGGCAAGAGCAGCTCCGGAACGTACACCAGCCTGAAGACCAAGCTCACCCACGTCATCAGCAGCGCCACAGACACTGAGGGTGAGAGAGAGAGCGTGCGAGAGTGTATAATGATGGGACAGAAGTTTCCCAGCCCGCATCCGCTTCCACATCTGTCCACGGGTTGAGATTAACAGTCACTCAACCTCTACAGTTATTTTTAATCGGGATTATGTTGCCTGGTTTTGGGATCCTCTCCAAATGGCAGGTCACCTTACTACAGTGCCACTCCTCTGCTCACTCGTTCAGGCCCTAATGTTTTTCTTTTCCGTGACATCTTAAGCTTGCGGAATGTTAATTTCATTAGTTTTGATAGACATTTTGGTGGAATGTTGTCTCAGGATATTATAGGAGTAGTTTTCCACCATATAGCAGCAGGCGCATGAAATTGTTCAAGTGCTACTATCACAGTTTTAAGCAGTCTGTACGTAAATGGACAGAGACACAGTTTTTGTTGTTGTGACTCTGTACTCCAGCACATTGGATTTGAGTTGCAAAGCAAAAATGCAAAATGTTAGCTTTCAATCAAGACTATTTACATCAGTATTGGATAAACCGTAGAGAAATCACAGCCCTTTTACACATAGTCCCCAATTACAAGCTACCATACATAAAACAATATATTTATATTTCATCCCCCTAGGCAAACAGTCTTTACTAAATATGACAGTTTTAATTTCTTGGTTATCAATTCCTTGGAGTCAGCGACTGACCTAAGTACGCAACCCACAGACAGTAGAGACTTTAAGCAATTATGGTAACAGGAACAGCTACAGCAGCTCACTGCGTCGTGCTGCCGTAGCTTGCTGTAGTTGCTGAAATGTGAGGTTTGAGCGAGTTAATTTCATGTTTTGTTTTTTTTTGTCTTTTGAATTAGAATTTTATTTACACCAGATAACTCCACCTGTCCTTTACCTAATTCAGTGCAGTTTTTTCAGAGACACAGAAACTTCTATTTTTTTGAAGATATGTCATTAGTTTGTCTTGGAGTTGTTGCTTTGGTTTCCACAGCCACACCACTAACGCAGGTTCATTTCTGGTCCCTATTAAAAAGAAATGAGGCATCTTGTTAAACTCTTTAATATAGTCTTTTTCAGTTACTGCTTATTTTTGCCATCAGTGTTTAGTCAGCCTTTAGAGGATTTTTATTGGATATGAGTAGTGAAAAAATAGGTCTGTATCAGGAATGCACTGGTCGTAAATGTTTATGGCTGATAACATTTTAATTGCGAGACCTTTACAGCCATGATGACCATTTTTTATTGTTGATTTAAATTAACTTTATTCATTTTTTTTTGTTTTTTTTTTTAAACCCAAAACTCTGGAAAAGAAGTCTGTGTGGACTAAACAAACATGTAAAAAATACAGTTAGCCAAAGTTGCAATATAAATAACATTTATTTGATCTTTAATAAACCAAATTGCCATTTTAAATTTGTAAATGAAAAATTTTATTTTTTAGCCTATTTAAATCAAATAAATCTGTGGTTTTCATCCTGTGGGTGGCGGTGGTATTGCTAGAAGGTCATTGGCTGTCAGGTTTTTTATTTTAGTTTTACTACCAAAACTTGTTGTGATATATAGACATTTAACAAAACAACTTTAAATATGACAAACACTATTGTTGTGATAATTATTTGTGAAAAAGAAAACATAATATTTAGGTTCAGTTTGTTAATTGGTCTGGCAAAATGACTGATGTGACTGACAGTTATATTTTCAATGCAAATCAATGCAAAACGTTTCTCTTTTTGATTGTATGGAAATCATCCGTTATGGATAAATGGACATGTTTCATATATTTTTTGGCATTTATTATCTTGCATACAGTCAAGTGAAATTTGATAGGCTACAATGTTTACATTTTACATTTGTTAACATTTTAAATGATCCACTCGGTTAACTGTTCTCGTCAGCCACAGAAACATTTGTGGTCAGTTGTAAGGGCTGTGAGTTGTAAAAGGCCGGAATCCTTTGACATAAATCACAAAGTGCTACATTGAAAGTAAAAGGCAGCTGGATATTTAGCACAATTAGTTGTGTATCAGCAGCATTTAAAAACAACATAAGTTCACTTACCTGCCTTTCGTTACTTGTCATAAAACTGTAACACAGATTAGCCAAAATTTATGAATCTGCCAGTTACGATCATCACACCCTATTCTGTACACTTTACAGGATGCAGTTACATCATCAGTAAAGACAAGTGATCTAGTTCCACTGCCAGCTACATATGTTTACGCCACCATATTTCACAGACCAGCTGGTGTTCCCTGGTGATCATCAGCAGTTTCTTTTTTTTTCATCACTCTGGCTCAGTCCACCAGACTCTTAACTCTACAGCTTTGTTCTTCAGTTCTGATTCTGCCAGTGCACTGCACATTTACTCTGCTCTAACACTGTCCTTTTGTTTCATTGCAAATCCAATGTGCCTTGTGCTATAACAAAAAGGTCACTGTCCACCTATAATATGTAATACCAGCTGATGTTTTCTCATATTTTGCAGAGGTGCACACGATGTTGGACGCCCTCCTCCCTCCAAATACCTACTTCCGCTTTAACCCCTGTATGAGTGAGGATATCCCACTGGACGAGAACCGGCCCGAAAGGCTGAACTTCCTGCAGGCCGAGGGGCAACGCTACCTGGAGCGCAACGAGACCAAGCTGAAAAAAGCTGCGAGCATGCTTTCTCAAGAGAAGAGCACCATCCAGAGGCTGGCGGAGTGGGCTCAGCTGAAAGCTGACATGTACGATGGCCTTCCTTTCCGCTCGAAACTTTAACACTTCAAGGCAGCGCTCTGCAGCTGTGGAATAAAATGTTTAAAAGCACCTTTAGCACTAACACGGCACAAGCAAATGACCACGAGACCATGACACAGTTGGTTTATCTCTGTGAAACTAACGTTACATGATTGGGTTAACAGATTGGTGCTGTGCAGGTATTTTATTGCTGAAATTGTTCAGTAGCAGTGCTGTTGAACCACACCTCTGGTATTTTAGAGTACATACAGAAAAGAAAAGGCTCAACATGGATATTGACTGATCTTTACTGTTTATTGGAAGGTTGATCATCCTTTTCCCTGCCTCTGGTTTGGGCTAGAGAGTGAGATGCTGAAAGCACTTTTAGGGAGATTAGAAGTTTAAATATTTAAATAAAGTTCAAGCAAGAGCTTAAGACTTTTAAGCGGGAGCTTAAGAATGCAAGGTTTCAGGTTCCCTGCATGAGATGGCACTTTCAACTGATACCTACCTGACACATTACATGTGCTCTATGTGTTTGTGACCATGTTGTAACAAGAATGAGTAGAATTTTGTGTAAAAATTGTTTTATGGTGACTAGTTTTAGAAATAGTCATGTTTGTGTCTCACCAAATGTTTGCACATCCTTTTGTTGGTTCTTAATGTTTCAAAAGCATTCAAAAAGTTGCATTGACCTAAACTTGAATCCTTTAGCATGCACTAGGATACCATTTATGATTTCTGTGTGAATTGTGGGCTAAAAGATTTAGAAATCAAACTTTTTTGTTTTATAAACAGAATTTGTTCACTATGAGTAGGAAGATCATGATCATCAGTCGTGTTTAATACTGTTTTTTTACTGAGGGGGAACAAAAGGATAAAGAACTCTTAATTCTCTAACATTATAAAGGCCTTGTCACTGAGAATTGTTAAGAGCAGCTTGTAATACAGTTAAGTTATTGCCAAACTAACACAAATTAACACTGACCTTATGTGGACTATTGTATAATAAGCTATTGTATAAGACGTCCAGTTTTGTTGTGTCAAGAATCCATATTGAATTGTGATGTTTCTTCAGATAATGTTAATTTTCCCTGGTTAACCTTGAACCTGAAAAACATGGATTGTGATTACACTGTGTACATAAATCCTGTAAGTGATGTTTCATCCTAAATCCTTAAATAATTTAATAATAATGACATCATAATATTACCATATTCCTGATGGAGTTTACTACAGCAGTCAACAGTAGATCATTTGTAAGTAACGTTTTGCAGTTTACAAATGCTCTGTTTACTCAATGTGCTTTTGTAAATGCACCTTCTCAGTTTCCACAGAGAAATATAAGTGTGTTAATCCACCCGTTATCTTACAGAATGCCTATCATTGTCACATCTTTGGCACCCTATGAATTTTATTATATCTTCTGAAATAAACTGAAACTGAAGAATCCTGCGTCTGAGATGGAGTGTAAGACAGCAGAGCGAAAATGTCCCTAAGAGGATTAGAAAGCAAAAAATAGTCACTTCTCTTGTTGCAGGTGGCCACACGTAAAAAAAAAACAAACAAGTATTCAGACCTTAGATATTTACACTGTTAGAATTTGTTTAAACTCAATGCATCAACTGAGATAGTAATAAGCTAAATACACAAGATCTTTTTGAATTTTTTAATTCTGGAAGATTCAGATTTATTATGAATTACATTTTAAAATAAAAATCTAACTTCAAAAAATGCTGTTTTAGTCCATAGGCGGAGCCTTATTATAGCCACACCCCTGCATGTTAGAGCAGGAAGTGAGTCTGCATGCCTGTCCCTCATAGCCACATAGTGAGCAGTTAGATCTCATTGTTTCTGAAGTAAAAATGTCCCAAAGCTTGAAAATCAGTTTGCAACATTAAGAATTTGCAAACAAATACTAAAACACATTTTCTGCAGTTTTTATTTGTGTGTGTACAACTATTTAAAACTGTTTGCTAGTCATGTACTTGCTAGCACTTTTGAGTTCTGCTCAAAAAGAGCTAAAATTGTCACAACTGAAACATTTAGTGGTGTTTTGGTGGTGGTATAATTGTTAGTGACAAAATGGAATATTCAGTCATTTATTTTCATAAAATAAACATAATTAAGCTGTATTGTCACTCAAAGCAAGAAGCTTTTATTCAGCTAGAAGCCTAAAATGGTTTTCAACTCTGACTTTGAACCAGTTTGGTAAAATCATCCATACAGGAAAACAACAAGCTAACTGACGGCTACGAGAAACATGAAGAAGCTATTATACTTGCCAACAGCTCTGCAACTTAGTACTAGCTAAAGACTTTTTTTACTTTCTTCATTCAAACCAATAAGATTTCTCAGGAAGGATGAGAATTTTAGTGGCTTAGTAAGCTGGATTTGATCACATCTTATTTCACTATGCTACACTGAACTTTTACTGAACGATGGCGAAATTAAAGCATCATATTTAACCAAGAGTTGTGAAGGCTGCTGTTAGACTGTGTTATTCCAGACAGTAGGCTTTTTGTTTTACTTATGTGAGTCTATCAGAGGTTCAGTGAAGACCATAACCATAACCCAGTGACAATTCACTTCAAGACTACAAATTATTGTAGTTATTTCTGAGACTTAAGGCCATGTTTTTGTGATCTTGACCATCTTATGATGATGTGATGAGCTGTTGCTGGCTGTGTTCTGTACCTTGGCTACATCATTTTAGTCCACATCATTTTAATGGTTAAGTTTGAAGATATCCAGATATAAAAGATGTGTCATCCTAATTCCTCAAATAACATAAAAAGTAATAGGCCACATCTATATTATACTTTGTTACAGCAAGAAAATCTGATGACTGCCCTCATAGTGAACCTTTTAACCTCATTCCAAAGGGGAAGGAAAACATCACATTGAAACCGAAAGCTAACTGCAGTGTTTAGTGCAGGCAGTACCATTAATCCCATTCACTGCACTACAAATAGGCAAGGTGGTGACTGTGTTACTGGAATGAACAGCTTTTTCTTGTTAGGGCATTGATTTACTCTGCCTGCCTGTTACCTCACATTGCTGTAGTGGTCATTAGTCTATAAAAACGAACCTGAAGTAGAAAACCCAACACTGTTAATGTGAAGTTCTCCTCGGATTCCTCCTCAGAAGTAACAAAGCCGCTTATGTAAAGCAGTGAAACAGACTGCAGATTGGATTGTTTCAGCTCAAGAAGCAGTTTGTGAGAGTAACTCCAGTACAAAAGGTGACGCAGGTGGGTTTTCTTCCAGCAGAACCTGGGATGCTGTAACTTAATTGACCATGAGGAATGTGTCTTATTCGTGGCTGGAAAAATTCACTGATGTGACAAATCCCGCAGATGTGTGTGAGGGGAGCCTGGAGGAGTTTGCACTGCGGCGCAGTTACAGCTCCAACAAATAAACACTCTGACCGAAACTGCAGGTCAGTGCAGAAACCTGTAGCTGCTAATATTCATTAGACAAAAAGGGTGGACGATATGATGATATACTGTTGTTATTGTGATAACTTGCAATATGTATTTCTGGGTATATCATTGGTATCAATAATATATATATATATATATATATATATATATATATACATATATATATATATATACATATATATATATATATATATATACTCTTAAAAAAGAGTTTATCAAGCATTTTTCAGGAAAGACAGAACCCTTTTTGGTGCTATATAGAACCATACACACCATCAATCTAAAAAAACAGTTCACCATGCAAAGAACCTTTTAAGCATGCATGTAGTTCTCTTTTAAGGTTCTATATACTATTGTCTTTACCCTGAAGAACCCTCCTTTTTTAAGAGTATATATATCCTTCTGTTGGAGGCAAATGTCAACATGAAGGCAAAGCCAAATCCCAGACTGTTTAGGCACTTTAGAAATCCCAGCCTAGTATGTTTTTTAGGTCCCAAAAAACGAGACCTGGAAAAATGGACATCTGGTCACCATGTTATTATTATAAAATTTTCATTTTTGTAGTGTATTTAACTCAGGGGCGCTTCACAATTCTCAACCACTAGGCCGCAGAGTACAATTACCAACCCTGATCAGCTGCGTTTGATTTAATAGTTTGCCTAGCTTCTATAAAATATGGTAAAAGAGCTTTGTTTTTTGTCTTGCTTTCAAAATGGAAGAGAAACACTAAAGCACATTGCATTGTGTTTGCATGTAGGAATGTTCATGAATGAAGTTACCTGGTAGTGACTGAATCCAACCTTCTGTCTTCTGTTGCCACAGTAACCGAGGCTTCAGCTAGGAGCAACAAGACCCCAAGGAACGCAGATCTGCCTCTAAAAGTGTTCCCTTGAAAGCATCCCCTCACTCATACCAATGAAGTGTGAAGTTTTCTACTTGATTACTGTGTACACAATAACAATAATGTACATTTAAATATCATAAACTAATATTTTAGGTTTATAAAACATTACAAACATCACCAAAAAGTATTTTTAGATGTTCAATACAACATTTCTAGTATGTTCAGATCAACAGTTTTTAAATGATGAATTATTACTTTAATTCTCTTTTCATTTTTGTCATTTTTGTCAGGTTTTCTGCCTCAAATTTCGATCACAACTTTTGAAAATAGAGGCATTCTGGATGTTCATTTTATTTATAACTTCATTCTTGATACACTGAAGCTTTATAAGTCATTTCAGAATCATCTACAGCTCTCTTTATTTTCCTTGACACTTCTAAAATGTCAGCTTCATGGCTTTCTACTGATTATTTAAAACCATGCTTTATGCATACTAGGTATAGTCCTCTGTTGTTTTGGACACTTTTCTGAAATATCTGAAGTATATTCATTTGTAAATCACAATGAAAGTGTGCTCAAATTATTTTCAAAACACTACTCATGTTACACAACTAGTATATCACATTATCACATATGCTCCATTGTGCACTGGAATACATGCTAAGTCTACAAAGTTATACAGCTCTATTATAGCACACAGCATACATAGTTTAGAGTGGGCTCCAAAAGTGTAAGACCACACTGCAAATCTTGGATTTTGTTCCATTAAAACCTAGAAATAAAAAGTCATTCAAACTGAAGCAAATTTGTGACAATGACCATGTTGAGGCCTGTACGGAAAGGTCAGAGTCTTTTCTCTTCTGTTGAATCTCAGGTTCAGACTAATCTGGATTTGATCTACTCATTAGAGGCCTTTGCACAACAATGCAGAGCCTGGTTTCACATCAGTTTCTCTTAGGTTTCTCTGCTCAGGTGTTTCATTAAAAAAGCATTCCTCATTTTCAGACTCCTGCCTTAGAGAGGGAGGCAAAGTTAGTTATCACTTAACATCACCCTCTCAGCTTTTGTTGTGTTTCTTCACCCCATCGTCTCTCTCCATTAGCTTAGCATTAGCATTGTCCTCCTTAGTCCTCATCTCTGCTCTATCTTTTCCATCACCATTCTCTAACTCAGCCTTCTTCTGTCTTTTCTTCTTCATTTTTCTTTCCTTCTTCTCAGCCTCCTTCTGCAGAAGTTCAGCTCCACGTCTCCATCTCTCCCTCTGCTCTCCCAGCAGCTTCCGCTCCACCTTTCTCTTCTTTTTCTCCTCTACCATCCTCTCCTCCCTATCTGTCTCCATCAGTTGACTGGCTGTCTCCATCTTTGTCTTCGCACTCTTTTTCTTCTTCTTCTCTGCTCATCTCCCTCTTAACCTCCTCTACCGCCATCAACCTACAGAACTTTGAACTCTGATAACAAGCCAGATAGTCTTTGTCCTGAAGGATGCAGCATCCATGATTTCCAGAAAGAATTTCAAATTTGTCAGACCACAGGACACTTCCACTTCACCTTAGTCCATCTTAAATGAGCTCAGGCCCAGCGAAGGTGGCGGCGTTTCTGGATGCTGTGGTAAATGGTTTCTTCTCTGCATGGTAGAGTTTAAATTCTAACTTAACTTTATGGATGCAGTGATGAACTTTGCTCACAGACAGTGGATTTTCTGAAGTGTTCCTGAGCCCATGCGTCTCCACTTTCACTCTTTTCTGGTCTTTTCTCTTGCTTTTCCCTATTTTATTTTTCCTCTCCTTCTAACAGTCTGTTTGCTGCCTCTGTCTCCATCTTCACTCACTTCTGCTCTTTTCTCATCCTTTTCTGTCTTTGCTCTTTCTCAAAGCTCTTCAGTTTCATCATCCTCTGTTCCTTCCTGCTCAGTTCGGCCAGTCTCTTTTCCTCCTTCTCCTCTTCCTTAACCCAAGCTTCGATCTCAGTCCCCTAATCCACCCGATCTTTCTCAGCTTTCTCCCTCTGCACCACTATCTCCTCTCTTAATATGGCTAAAACAACATTCTCTGTTCAACAAAGGATCCTGCTCTCTCCTCTTTCTTGCATCCTCCTCTTCCTCAGGTTTCTTCTTCTGCCTCTTAATCTCCTTCTCAGCTACCTTCTTCTCCCTTTCAACAGCATTCCTCTTCTCCTTTATCCTCATCCAGCAACATCTAGCTTCCTTTTCAGCCAGCCTCTCTCTGTAGGCCTGCATCACTTGCTCCATCTCCTTTTCTTTATTGATGGCCTCTTTTTCTGCCTCAATGTTCATTGTCTCTATCCAAATGAGATTCCGTTCCTTCTTATTCTGTCTTTTCCTTGTGTGCAAGACCTTTCTCTCTTCCTCTAGTGTCCTTTCCTGTATCTCTTTCCATCCTTTCTTTCTGCTCTCTCAGTCTCTCTATCTAGCACTGTCTTTTCTGCCTTGATTCGCTCTCCCTCTCTCTCTCTCTCTCTCTCTCTCTCTCTCTCACTCTTCCTAAATTCCTCCTGCACCATCTAGTGCTCCTTGTTCTGCTTCTGGAGCTGCCTCAGTTCTTCCCTCACCTCCACCACTTTCAACTATAACAGGTGAATTCAAATTTTGCTTTGCTATGATATAATACAGGCTCGTTATTCAGTTGTATATGCTTTTCTGCTCCTCTTTGTGACTACTTTTATAATAAGTTGTGCTTAGATTTGGGAAATGTAAGCCGCATCAAAGTCAAGGCAAAAAAGCAACTTCTGACCGCAGTTCTATGATACGTTATGAAATTAAACACCTGGCTGCTCCTTCACAGTGTTGTGAAGCCGTGGCTGGAGATCTGACATGCAGGTGTTCTATTGTAGAGATCAGAGTGTGTGTTATGTCACAAGCTTGTTCACACCTGCACAGCCAAAACACAACCATTAATTAGTCATGCATTAAATCCAAATGCACTGCTGTGACTCAGAGCTTGCAGTTCTGTTTATGTTTAAACACATATGAATAAAATACACACATACTAGGACATATTTAGTCATATAAATGACACGTTTTGTTTTGAGTTTGGTTTAAGACCAGGGAGCAGGGATAACACTAACGTGCAAAGCAGGGATACTCCACATTGTTAAAGATTCTGTGCAGGTACAATTTATGTTCATCAAGTTACAAATGACGTAAACGTACCCTTAAAGGTACAACAGTGGTTTTAAGGTCCAGTTGTAAACCTTAAATAAGTTTTTTCCAAGGTGAAAAGTACATATTTGCACCTTGTCATAATCTAATGTTTTAAAACAGAACAATAAAATAAAAAGCCTGGAGATGAGATGGGGTGTGTGAACTTAGAAAATATCATTTCAATGGATTATGGTACAGTTATGTTCCTTGACTAAAGGTACTGAGATGTACCACCCCAGTGACAAAAGGGGTACTGCCCCAGTGACAGTTTTATACCTTTTTTTCTGAGAGTGCTGGACACCTTGAAGGATTTACATTGATGCAGATCCTTTAGGGCTCAGCACTATCTTGAGTCAAACCTAAACACACTGTATAAAAGTATGTGGGCACCCTTCCTAATTATTGAGTTCAGGTGTTTCAGCCACACCCATTGCTAAAAGGTGTATAAAATCAAGTACAAAACCATACAATCTCCATAGATACACTACCAGTAGAATGGGTCGGAAGAATCCAAACCCTTGTCAAACTAGGGAGCAGTCTAATGTCTGGGGACATAATCTTTATTTCTTGCACGCAGGTATCCAGACATTTCACCAGCCCATTAAACAATGGATGGTCACGTTTATATAGGCTGGACTGATGTCGAGATTAGGTCCAGTCTATACATGGCAAGTGACAGGTGTAACAGACATGCCCATGTAGGGATTCACAAAAATACACGCAAAATACTGAAAATAATAGCATATAACAGCAGTACAGCACGACAGTACATTCCTTCAGGTCATACTGAAGGGCATTCTGTGATCTGTAATACCGATCTCTGCTCTCTCTTTTCCACCATCATTCTCTTTCTCTCACTCAGTCTCCTTCTGTCTTTTTTCTTCATTTTCCTTTCCTTCTTCTCAGCCTCCTTCTGCATGAGTTCTGCTTCCTGCCTCTCTTTCTCTCTCCCTCTGCTCTCTCAGCAACGTCCGCTCTTTCTTTCTCTTCTTTCTCTCCTCTACCACCCTCTCCTCCCTTTCTGTCTCCATCTGTTTTTGGCTGTCTCCATCTCCATCCCTGGCATTGTATGGGTCATATTGAAGAACTCAGTGACTTTAAACGTGGCATTGTCACAGGATGCTACGTCAGTTTCTGAAATTTCTGCCCTGCTAGATCTGCCCCAGTCAACTGTAAGTGCTATTATTGTGAAATGGAAGCATCCAGGAGCAACAACAGCTCAGACACGAAACGGCTATTTTGTGTATAAATCAATCTATACTATATAAACTATACTATGTATCAGCTATATTGATGGAGAATGTGTTGTATATGGTTCTATATAGCACCAAAAAGGGTTCTTTTATTGTTACAAGCTTGACTTTTTAACAGCCTTTCTTGGTTCTGTATAAAACTGTTTTCAAAAGGTTCTATATAGAACCATATACAACACATTCTCCATCAATCTGAAGACCATTTCACCATGCAAAAAACATGAAACGTTTGAAATGGTTCTATATAGAACTCATGGTTCTGAATAGAACCATTGCATTTACTAAGGATCTCTTGAAGAACCATCTTTTTAAGAGTGTAGTGTAGGAGGCGTGGCTTTGTGAGAATACAGGTGGGAATGTACTTATGACTTACAGTAGTGGGCGGAGTTTGTCTGAATACGGGTGGATAAAGAAATACCGCGTCGCTGCTCGCAGGACAGCTGGCAGAGAGAGAGAGAGAGAGAAAGAGAGAGAGAGAGAGAGCGACAGAGAGAGAGAGAGGGGCAGCGCGCGCTCTCAGGCTCTCAGGCTGAGGGGGATAAAAACAGGAGTGCGTCTACCGGCCGGAGACGAACCGCAGACAGCGACCACTCGACCCCGCAAGAGCTGTTGAGTTGGATGCGAGCGGAGGCTGGACGGTCAGCGGACAGCGGGTGAGTGAGCGGCGGAGCGGCAGCTTTAGCCTCAACACGCGAGATACGCCAAACCGTCGTTTCTCCTCACGCAGCTCCGCTCGCGCTGCAGAGGCGGATTTGCAATATGCGAGTCGCGCGTTTGGCGCAGTGCATGTGCCGATGAGGAGGAGGAGGAGGAGGAGGATGATGGCGTGCGGTCGCTCATTCCCCCATAGCAACCGATGATGTTGCAGATAGTGATGAGGGGGCCACGGCAGGTGTTTGCGCCGCGAGGGAGGGACTGCCGAGGAAACCATGTATACACAGGCTGTAGGATCGAAATGCGTTCTTGTATTGTTGATGCATTATTGATAGACAGGCCTGCTGCAGTGCTGACTGATGATGATGATGATGACCATGTTGCTCATCGAGGCGTCACCGGCCCGTATGCCAGATTGCCTGATCCACAGCTTTGGTCCTTTAGCTTCCCATCGTGGTCTGCAAGGCAGTGATGGTAGCAGAGAGAGGCATCATTATCTGAGACTTGGTGCCTGTTAGAATGGGGATGTAGAGGGCAGGTGCATCGTTAGTGATACAGTGCATATGGGGAAAATAATGATACAGCCTCCTTTATTTGCAATATTGTATGACACACTGGGAAATAGCACTGCATCTGTCTGATTTAGGTAATGTGGAAACATACTGTGGCGCTGTATTTGCCTTTGGAGACATACCTGTCTCGGTCAGCCCATAGAGACAGTGTGTTATTGTGGTATGGCCAGTCATAAATCTGGACACAGTTGGGCCTCAGCACTGGACAACAGTCGGATATCTGGATGTTTAGATGCAAAGGGTATGCCCTGATTTTATTCTGCTGTGTATTCGTTGTTCTCTGAACAGTGACGTGACGTGGTGATATAAGGTGATAAATGTCTCGAGTGGCTTCCATGGCAAACAAAGTAAGCAGGGTAAGAAAAGAATTCGGCTATTGACCTCATCTCCTGTTCTCTCACTGAAGCATGTAGTCCGGCCAGTGAGTCTATTGTCCATCCTGTGTAATGCATTACCGTGCCACAGTTTCTCAGCTAGCCGGCTGCCTGACGTCTCCAGGATTTCTCAACTGACCAAAATAGAAATATCTCTCTGCCTTATATCTGAAAAAATATATATTTTGTACAGATTTTTCCAAAAAATACTGTATGGTTTTGATCCTATAGGGTACTGTTTTTTTCATTGCTATAATTGCAAGGCAAGCTCTACTTTGTGTGGCATGTGTAGTAAAGTCATTGCTGGGCCTTTATTCCCAGGTTCTATTGCCTTATATGACCTAAAGGCTGGCTAACTGTGGTGTGATTCAGGTTATCCTGTGTGACTGTTCTGTTTTTAAAGCCTGAGGCTCATTCAGCTCATGGTGGTAATGTAATATTGAGGTTCATACAAAGGTGTGAAAGTTAAACTAAAGTACATGCACATTCACACACACACACACACTAGCAGTATTTCAGTCTGAGGTCTCATCGGGTGTGTAATGATGATATTATTGTGTTTATGTAGCTTATTTTCCACTGTGTTATTGATACCCTCGTTCTCTTTCTGTGAGTGGATGAGAATTGATGGATCGGAAAATGTGGGCCAATGTTTTCTGTTGCTGCTGGCCATAGGGTATAAATATGGAAACCACCTTTAGCTCTATTAGCCACTGCTTTAGAACCATGTGTGTTATACCTACATTTTCTCCATAATCTCCCTTTTGCGTATTTTTAATGTGGTCCCTGGGGGGAGGGGTAGCCACACGTAAGCCTGGGGCTGGGCCTACCTTGATTAAACACAGGCCCACCTAATAAAATGAGCACAAAATATTTAAAAAGCACCACTTTTAAGATAAAATTTGGTTTGTTTTTTGTTAGTGCTGTCATTGTATTATGGCCAGTCAAAACCACTGCGCTCACTGCTAAGCTTCCTTCTTTTCTCAGCCTTCCTGTCACTACTTAGCAACCATCATTGCCTCAAGCCTTCAGTTCTTTATCATCGTGCCAGTGTTTGAACTTGAAGTTTGAATTCGAATTTGAAGCTGCAGTTTAAAAATGTAATGTGTAAAAATGAGATCCCGTCTCCAGTAGAGTAAAGCATGTAATTTTCTGCCCATTTCCAAAGAAAAAGCAAATTTAAAACCGTTGTTGTCATCAGTGGTCTGCTGGCACTTAGAGTGCTTTTTTGCAAAAGCTAAGATGGCAGTGTCAAAATATCAAAGCAAATGTCTACTTCAGTGCATCAAGTCATCAAAGATAAGATGTAAAGAGACGTTTTCATGCCTGCTGTGGCAGCATGCTTTAGCCTAAGATGATCTAATGGACATGATGAGTGAGAGTAAGGCAAGACATTATCTTACATCTCCTGACTTCATGATTCAATGGACCTGTTTCCGATCATAAGTACAGGTGTGAACATAGAGGTACACTGCGTCTTGGAGACATAAGATTTCTAGTGTAAACGCTGAAGCGTCTTGAAAGTCACATTAGCAGTTCATGTGGTCTAAACGTTTGTAACAGCCTTTTCATTTAACCGAAAACAGATTTGCGGTACATCTTTGCCTGACAACAAATGCAGCGAGACACTGATGTAGTAGATGTGTGTGGTATCTTTCCTCTAGTCATAAAATCCGGTCAGTGAAGAGGCATTCGAGACACATGGAAATGCCAAGTGTGAACGGCTGCACATCTCACCTTCCATTTATGACGGATGTTAATAATAAGTGTGAACAGGGCTATTGTCTTTGATTCCGACGTTTTGATTCCGAAGTTTTGAATCCAAGCTTGACCCTAGTCTCAGACACTCTGTTTCCACAAAGGTTTGCACACAAAGCTGGCCACAACCAATTTTGCCTGTTGTATTCTGATTGGTTATCCACACGTCCTTGTGTATGCACTTCTGTGCAGCGTTTTTTGCCATCCGAACCGTAAACAAAGGCTGTGTACAAAACCGCATACTACCATACACTCAGAAAAAAGATGCAAAATTGTCGCTGGGGCAGTACCCCTCTTGTCACTGGGGTGGTACCTTCAAGGGTACATCTTAGTACCTTTAGTCAGGGAACATAATTGTGCCATAATTCAGTGAAATGATATTTTCTAAGTTGTATTGACTCCACGCACCCGGCCTCGTCTCCAGGCTTTTTATTTTATTGTTCTGCTTTTAAAACATTAGGTTATGAAAATGCACAAGTGTATACGTTTCATCTGGGAAAAACTTATTTAAGGTTATATTTGGACCTTAAAACCACTGTTATACCTTTGAGCGTACTTTGGGGACCTTAATGGATGAAAAATATACCTGCACAGTACCTTTATTTCTAACAGTGTACATATATAATAGTATGCCAAAAGCAGTACTCCACTATTAGAATTCTATTTTTTAGTGTAGTATGTATAGAGTAGTAGTAATCGGTTTTGGATGTAGGTAATGCTTTGTTTTTCTCTGTAAAATTTTAGTCAGCAAAAGCAAACAGCTGTTTGCACGGCACATGTGTGACGAAAAATGATATCTGCCTTACCTTATGCTGTGCCGAAACAGCAGGCTGTGAAAAGCACCACAGTCTCTGCTGATAGGCAGATATGTGGCTTGCGAGGCTAACCTGAACCAAAAAATCTGATCCCAATGTGAACCCAAATATTTTAAAGTTTAAAGAGCCTCCACATAATGTAAATATTCTAGGAAAAACCCTTAAATTGATTGATAAAAGGTTCCTCATACTCACAGATCTATTTCGAACATGGCTCTTTAGGGAACCAAAGGTTGTTTTTTTTATGGCATCACTCATGAACCTTTTATGACACTTTTTAAAGAATGTATCCTAATCAGTGAGGAACCCTCATGTCTTCAGAGATGGCCTAATGATGTCTGGAATCTTAAAAAATACATTTTTACATTTTTATTCAATAGAATCAGGCCTGTATTTAAACTCTGCAAGTATTACGGCACTATTCTTGTTTCATTGCAGTGCTTTGGATGGAAACAAAAGGGTTCAATTCTTGAAACCCTGAGCCAAAAAGGAAAATCAGGAATTGTTTTTCTCTGTGGTATTCAGTGTGCGAAATACCCCCTGGTATTCAAGGGGGTCCCATGTTGGCTGACTTCTTGAGCGTCGGCGGGCTTCTAACTCACTCGCCATAGCAGCGCTGATTGGTTTAACAATTCTTCTGAAAATGCTCTTTTCTAGTTAGTTTTCCTTACATGAGATCTTACACATCTACTCTTCTGTCTTTGGTTTGAGAAATGAGTAACAGTTTTTCTTTCCTCCAGTCTTTTGGGAAACTGGGCTAGTTTTCAAATTTACAATAATGCTGTTGCATATTGTGAAGTTTTTCAGAGGTATCCCAGGTATAGTAACAGTTGCAAGACTATGAAGGGCCAACTGGGTGAACCAGTTTGCTACAGTGCCACCTTAAGGCAGACCAGTGCTGCAGCTCTAGTTAGATAAGAATATCAAAGACAGAAGTTCTGTTTTGTGAGTGAAGCAGCTAAACAACAGTCTTTCCTTGAATTTGTATTTGAGCATCTATTTCTCTAATGGACAGTATAACTTCATAAGAATTTTAATTTCGGGGAAGGAGAATTTTGATTTTGCGACATTCAGAGGGTCCAAGAGGTCAATTAGGGGGTCCCAGATACCACAGAACCCCCTGCATTCCGCACCTTGTTGGTATCTAGGTAGATATAGATACAGATAATCAAGCTCTTCTATTGGTTAGGATTTCAAGGGCTAAAGAGAAGGCCTAACACATTAGATAAACCATCAGCATAAGTACGAAATAACAGAGGAATCAATCATGTTTTGATGTGCAGTAGGCGGGACCAATTTTGTGAGAAAAAGCATCACTCTAGGTCTTCTGAGAGTCTAAGATATGGCACAGACTGTGAATACAAGCTGAAGACTAATGGGTTGTTAGAAACAGAAAAGAGCAGCAGCTCCACCAGGCCTCTCTACTGAAAGAGTCACAATGCTACATAGCAAAATATATGCATATATGTCTTGTTACAAG